CCGTGGACAAGGTCACGAGCGCTACTTCCTGCTTGTTGTTGACGACTACTCGCGTTACACCGCAGTCTTCCCCTTGCGCGGCAAGGGTGATGTCACTGAGGTGCTGATCGACTGGATCCGCGCAGCTCGTCTCCAGCTCAGGCAGAGCTTTGGCTCGGACTTTCCTGTTCTGCGTCTGCACTCGGACAGAGGCGAAGAGTTTTCCTCTGGCCTTCTGAGAGCCTACTGTCGCGCACGGGGCATCCGTCAGACCTTCACGCTTCCGGACTCTCCGCAGCAAAATGGGATCGCTGAGCGCCGCATTGGCATGGTCATGGACGTCGCTCGTACGTCCATGATGCATGCGACTGCCCCCCATTTTCTGTGGCCGTTTGCGGTGAGGTACGCGGCGCATCAGATCAACCTCCACCTTAGGGTCTCCAAGCCGGAGACCTCCCCAGCCTTGTTGTGGACGGGGAAGGTTGGCGATGCATCGGCGTTCCGGGTCTAGGGATCTCGGGCGTTTGTCCGCGACTTGTCTGCGGACAAGCTGTCCCCTCGTGCTGCTCCTTGCGTCTTCCTGGGGTTCCCCCCTGACGCGCCTGGGTGGCAGTTCTACCACCCCACCTCTCGCCGTGTTCTGTCCTCTCAGGACGTCACGTTTGACGAGTCGGTCCCCTACTACCGCCTCTTCCCCTACCGCACTCCGTCCCTACCTCCGCCCCCGCTCTTCCTTGTTCCAGGTCCCCCCCCGGTAGACCCCCTCCCCCCTCAGGGTCCTGCCCCTTCAGGTGTGTCCCAGGTAGACGCAGTCGAGCCTGTCGAGGTCACAGGTGACTCTGGTGCTGCTTAGGGTGCTGAGCCTGGGGGTGCTGTGACTGGGGGTGCTGAGCCTGGGGGTGTTGCGACTGGGGTTGCTGAGCCTGGGGGTGCTGAGTGGTGGGGTGCTGCGACTGGGCGTGCTGAGCCAAGGGGTGCTGAGCCTGGAGGTGCTGAGCCTGGGGGTGCTGAGCCTGGGGGTGCTGCGACTGAGGGTGCTGAGCCCGGAGGTGCTACGCCTGGAGGTCCTCCGGGGGCTTCGTCTCGCCGGGAGCCACTCTCTCCACCGGAGCTGCGCGAGTGGTTTTCCCTGCGCTGGAGCCGTGCTGCTGGAGCTGGAGGTTCTTCGGCTGCTGAGGGTGCTGGTGCCGCGGGTCCCGGAGGTGCTCGTACTGGGAGTACTGGAGCTGCTGGGTCTGCGGGTTCGACTGGAGCTGGTGCTGCTGCAGGCGTTGGTGCTGCGCCTACTGCTCGTGGTACTGGTGGAGGTTCTGGAGCGGCTGGAGGTGCTGCTGGAGCGGGTGCTCCTTCTAGGGGTACTGGTGCTGTCCCTGCTGTGTCTGGCGTCGCCGCGCGGCCTCGACCGTACTTCGTTCCACTCCTGCAGCAGGTTCTTGGTCTTCCACCTTCTACAGGTCCTCCTCCTTCTTTAGAGTGTCCGCAGCCTGTCCAGTCACAGCTACAGTTACAGCCTGCCTCCCCACTACCTGCTCCCTCTCCCTACACTGGTCCTACTGGAGGTCTTGCTGAGCGTCGTGAGCCTGCGTCTCGTCCTGCGTCCCCTGTTCGTGCTGCTCGCACTAGTGGTCGCGGTTCGCGTCAGCGTCCTCCTCCTGTCCGTGGCACGCACCAGATGTCTCTGCGTCCGTCCACTGCTCCCCTGCGTGCCCCTTTGCCTTCTCCTCCTGCGTCCTCTCTTCCTACTCTTGCCGACCCGGAGTCGGACTCTCTTCGTGCTGCCAGTCCCACTGTCACGCGTCTCCTTGCTACTGTCGTCACTGACCCTTCCTTTGATTCCACTGCTGCGTTTGCCCTAGTTGCTCAGCTTGTCGACTTTGCTACTCGCTGTCGCCTAGACTACGCTGCTAGTCTTGTCGCCGAGTTTGAGTCTGTCTGTCCTCCATCCGTCGGGGGTGAGTGTGCCCTTGGCACGGACGTCCTTGAGGACAGGCAGGAGGAGTTCCAGTGTCTGGCAGCTGCTTCACCTCATCTCGTGTCCGTACTGCTTACCCCTGAGGGAGACCCGGAAGCACTTGACATCCCGACTCCGCGTTCTTACGCGGAGGCGATAGAGGGTCCCTACTCTTCTCAGTGGCAGGCAGCTATGGATGCAGAGATGGCTTCCTGGAAGTCCACAGGCACCTACGTTGACGCTGTTCCCCCTCCTGGGGCGAACATCGTCAGTGGCATGTAGATTTTTAGGGTGAAGCGGCCGCCGGGTCCTCCGCCTGTCTTCAAGGCACGGTACGTGGCTCGTGGCTTCAGTCAGCGGCAGGGAGTTGACTACTTTCAGACCTTCTCTCCCACCCCGAAGATGACCACTCTTCGGGTGCTACTACACGTTGCTGCTCACCGTGACTACGAGCTGCACTCCCTCGACTTCAGCACAGCTTTCTTGCAGGGCAGCCTGCACGAGGAGATCTGGCTGCGCTTCCCACCTGGCTTCATTGGGTCGTTCCCTCCTGGTACCCAGTGGAGTCTCCGGCGTCCAGTTTACGGTCTCCGCCAGGCGCCCCGTGAGTGGCACGACACACTGAGGACTACACTTGCGGCTCTTGGGTTTGCTCCTTCTACTGCCGACCCGTCGCTGTTTCTGCGCACCGACACTTCTCTGCCGCCTTTCTACATCCTCGTGTACGTCGACGACTTGGTCTTTGCCACTGCTGACACTGCTGGACTCGCCTACGTGAAGTCCGAGCTGCAGAAGAGACACACGTGCACAGACCTGGGTGAACTGCGCAGCTACCTTGGCTTGCAGATTACCCGGGACAGAGCACAGCGCACCATTACCCTGACTCTGTCACACATGGTGCAGCAGGTCCTTCAGCGCTTCGGCTTCACGTACTCCTCGCCTCAGGCCACTCCTCTGCCTACTCGCCACTCTCTCTCAGCTCTGCCTTCGGATGAGTCCGTAGAGTCGAGTGGCCCGTATCCAGAGCTTGTTGGCTGCCTCATGTACCTGATGACCTGCACTCGACCTGACCTTGCATACCCTCTTAGCATTCTCGCACGCTATGTTGCTCCTGGGAGACACCGACCAGAGCACATGGCTGCAGCGAAGAGGGTGTTGCGCTACCTGTGCAGTACGTCGGGCATGGGGCTAGTGCTTGGAGGGCGCAGTCCAGTTGTCCTCACTGGGCACGCAGACGCTTCTTGGGCTGAAGACCAGGCTACACAGCGGTCGTCACAAGGTTACACCTTCAGTCTTGGTTCCGGCTCTGTCTCGTGGCGGGCTACTCGCTCGTCTTCTGTTCTCGGCTCCAGTTGTGAGGCTGAGATCTACGCCGGGGCCATGGCTGCACAGGAACTTTGCTGGCTCACCTACGTGCTGACCGACCTTGGAGAGCCGCCTCGTTCTCCTCCTGTTCTGTACGTAGACAACAAGGCCATGCTGGCCTTGTATAGAGAGCAGCGACCGGAGCACAGAACGAAGCACATTGCTCTCCGCTACTTTCTTGCTCGTGAGCTACAGCAGCGTGGTGAGTTACGACTTGCGTACGTGGCCTCTGAGGCCAACACTGCTGATGTTTTCACCAAGGCACTTGCGTCTTGTGATCATCAGCGCTTCTGCACTCAGCTGGGTCTTGTCTCTGTCTTGCCTCACTTGCTCACCTCTTGACCTTGCTTGTACTGTTACATATATATATACCTGCTCTTGCTTGTCTAGCCTTTATATATATATGTGTACTCCTGCATGTGAACTGGCCTTGTGGCCTTGAACTTGTGCTCACAATGTGTGGTGGCTTTGTGATCCACCCTGAGCTTTGCTTTGCTTTGCTTGACTGGTCTTGTGACCCCCTGTTCTCCCCCACTTTGCCTATGGGGGTGTGTTAGAACATTATAGCTTATGCAGTTGTGTAGGCTATAGTGGGTTATCCCATAGGGGGTACAACCCAATTAGGGTTTCCTATATGTACTCACTTCATTCATAGTTCATTCATTCTCGTTTGCATTTCCTCAGTAAAAACCCTCAAGCTGCGCACAGCATCAGCGGAACTCAGAGCTAAGTACGTAATTGCTCGCGCGTTTCCAAAAAAGCAGCAACACCAAACTACAGCTACTTCGAAACGCATAGCAAAATCGCAACTACTGTCGAAGCTCTGTACCTGTGCCGCCCATCTGAAATTACAGATCTCTCCCGGGGGTTGAGGGGGTTGCAATGCGAGTTATCCCACCGCGCACATACACGCTAGGACCCAGAAGTAGTGACGGGAGGGGGCAGTGCAAGGTAGCAGTAACCTGCTTCTAGAGAGTCGCGCCGAGAAGTTGTTTGGCTGTTTACGAATGAGGACTTGCTTCAGAGCGTGGTCACTGAAATACGCCTATGCCTGGGGATTGAAGTCGTCTCACAAAGGCTGTGAGGAGAAGCCGCCCGATTGGTCAGCTAAAAACAACCACCGTTAAACCGAAGCCATCACTGTACCTGGTGGCGATATATACATACCACACTAGTGAGCAAGGACCTGGGACCCTGTATGTTGGTTGGCATATAAAACTGGCAAGCCTATCATATTTTGTGCAATCCAAACGATTGGTTTGGAAGCTAGGGAATGTGGTGCGCAGGCTCAAATACCCTGTAAGAAATGTACGATCGACTACATTAATCGACTACAGAGGACACACAAACAAACCCACCGGAAGCATCGAAAGGTAAATACGATAGAATAAGAGCGTGTTCCTATCCTCGTATCAAGATAACCTCGTATCAAGCTCACACTGAGAATTCCCCTAAACCCAAAACCTCTCGCTAGTTTTACCAGGCAAAATCAACATTCTTGATACGAGGTTTCCTGATATGAGGCCGTAGGAACACGCCCTAAAGAGCCAAAATAAGGAGAGAGTCAATGGGGCAGCGAAGCATAGAGAGGTCACGGACTGCTGCGCATGTCACCATGAGATGTCTAACAGCGTCTTTCTGCGATTGCATCATTGCCAATGACCGAAGCCAAGAAAACCCAAGGCCGGTGGCAGGATACACATGTTCATACAAACAGAAAGCCGTCCCCCCATGCGGCCTGGACAGGTCCAGCCTGTGTGACCGGGGCAGGCCCTGCCTGTGCAGCCGGTGCAGGCCCAGGACGTGCGGTCGGGACGGGCTCAGCCTGCGCGCCCGTGACAGGCGCAACCTGGGCGGCAGGGACAGGCACAAATGGTGCGGCCGGGACAGGCACGGGCTGCGCGAGTGGGGCCAGCATAGTCTGGAAGGCCGGGATAGGCACAGGCTGCATGGCTGGGGCCAGCACAGGCTGCACGGCTGGGGCCAGCACAGGCTGCACGGCTGGGGCCAGCACAGGCTGCACGGCTGGGGCCAGCACAGGCTGCACGACTGGGGCCAGCACTGGCTGCCCGACTGGGGCCAGCACAGGCTGCCCGACTGGGGCCAGCACAGGCTGCCCGACTGGGGCCAGCACAGGCTGCCCGACTGGGGCCAGCACAGGCTGCGGGGCCGGGACAGGTGCAGGCTGCGCAAAGCGGTTGATGCCCTCTGTGTCTTCAATGTCGTTGATGGAGATGTAAATCATTCCGGTCGTAGAGAAGGCCCACGCCCTTTCACTGGGCTTGTACCAGGGGCCGCTCCCGTTGACAGAGGGGGCCATAATGGCAGCCTTGCACCATGCCGTCACTTTCTGTAGAGACTCGCGAACCTTCCTGCCGTTGATGCCAGGACCGTGCGACACATCGGCACCGTTGTTGATAATACGATGCTCGACCTGCAGGATGATAGGGCATGCAGGACAGGAATGGATAAACAGGCGGGATGTAGAGAGAGGGGGACGTGATAGGGGGAAGGGAGGTTATGGCAGGATGGACGTGTCAGAATAGATTTTGAAAACGCCCGATAATGGACCTGCCCCACACCCTCTTGGATATGCGGTGGGACTGAATCACCGTCATGACTGTAATGTTGTCAAGGAAGCAATAATTTGGGCAAATAGGCTGACATAGGAGGGCTTGGGGTGAGGAATCAGAGGAGAGGGGGGAGAGGGGGAATAGGATTGCATGGGGGTGTGAGAAGGAATTGTGAAAACACCAGGGTGTGCCCTGGCCCCACTCCCTCCCAGATAATCCGTGGACCGAATCACCCACAGGGCTTGGGTTGAATAAACAGAGCGGAGAGGGGAGAGGGGGAATGGGATTGCATGGGGGTGTGAGAAGGAATTGTGAAAACACCAGGGTGTGCCCTGGCCCCACTCCCTCCCAGATAAGCCCTGGACTGAATCACCCACAGGGCTTGGGTTGAAGAAACAGAGGGGAGAGGGGAGAGGGGGAATGGGATTGCATGGGGGCGTGAGAAGGGATTGTGAAAACACCAGGGTGTGCCCTGGCCCCGCTCCCTCCCAGGTAAGCTCTGGACTGAAACACCCACAGGGCGGAAATATGGGCAAGGAGGCTGACATAGGAGGGTTTGGGGACAAGAAACAGAGGGGAGAGGGGGAAGGGGGAATAGGATTGTATGGGGGTGTGAGAAGGGATTGTGAAAACACCAGGGTGTGCCCTGGCCCCACTCCCTCCCAGGTAAGTCCTGGACCGAAACACCCACAGGGCGGAAATATGGGCAAGGAGGCTGACATAGGAGGGTTTGGGGTCAAGAAACAGAGAGGAGAGGGGGGAGGGGGGATAGGATTGCATGGGGGTGTGAGAAGGGATTGTGAAAACACCAGGTGCGCCCTGGCCCCACTCCCTCCCAGGTAAGTCCTGGACTGAATCACCCACAGGGCGGAAATATGGGCAAGGAGGCTGACATAGGAGGGTTTGGGGTCAAGAAACAGAGGGGAGAGGGGGGAGGGGGGATATGTTTGCATGGGGGTGTGAGAAGGGATTGTGAAAACACCAGGGTGTGCCCTGGCCCCACTCCCTCCCAGATAAGCCCTGGACTGAATCACCCACAGGGCTTGGGTTGAAGAAACAGAGCGGAGAGGGAATGAGATTGCATGGGGGCGTGAGAAGGGATTGTCAAAACACCTGGGTGTGCCCAGGCCCCACTCCCTCCCAGGTAAGCTCTGGACTTAAACACCCACAGGGCGGAAATATGGGCATGGAGGCTGACATAGGAGGGTTTGGGGACAAGAAACAGAGGGGATACGGGGAAGGGGGAATAGGATTGCATGGGGGTGTGTGAAGGGATTGTGAAAACACCAGTGTGTGCCCTGACCCCACTCCCTCCCAGATAAGTCCTGGACTGAAACACCCACAGGGCGGAAATATGGGCAAGGAAGCTGACATAGGAGGGTTTGGGGACAAGAAACTAAGGGGAGAGGGGGGAGGGGGGATAGGATTGCATGGGGGTGTGAGAAGGGATTGTGAAAACACCAGGGTGTTCCCTGGCCCCACTCCCTCCCAGATAAGCCCTGGACTGAATCACCCACAGGGCTTGGGTTGAAGAAACAGAGCGGAGAGGGGAGGGGGGGAATGGGATTGCATGGGGGCGTGAGAGATTGTGAAAACACCAGGGTGTGCCCAGGCCCCACTCCCTCCCAGGTAAGCTCTGGACTAAAACACCCACAGGGCGGAAATAAGGGCAAGGAGGCTGACATAGGAGGGTTTGGGGACAAGAAACAGAGGGGATAGGGGGAAGGGGGAATAGGATTGCATGGGGGTGTGTGAAGGGATTGTGAAAACACCAGGGTGTGCCCTAACCCCACTCCCTCCCAGGTAAGTCCTGGACTGAATAACCCTCTGCTTCAACAGTACATGGATGTCACCGCAGGGAGTCTCGATGCATACCGCAGCGTCATGCAGCGGCATGGATACAACAGCGCCGAGACTCAGGTATGCGGGACAGTGGTGCGAATAGGTGGGGTTGTGGATGTCACATGGTGCGAATAGGTGGGGTTGTGGATGTCGCATGGTGCGAATAGGTGGGGTTGTGGATGTCGCATGGTGCGAATATCTGGGTGGCGAGAGAGTAGTGCTCACAGATCGCGGTGCGGACTGATACCAAGGTGGACACTGAGTAAGAGAAATGCGTGCACCCAGAGGGAGATGGGGACAGAGGGAGATGGGGACAGAGGGAGATGGGGACAGAGGGAGATGGGGACAGAGGGAGATGGGGACAGAGTGAGATGGGGACAGAGGGAGATGGGGAAAGGGAGAGGTGGGGACAGAGGGAGATGGGGAAAGGGAGAGGTGGGGACAGAGGGAGATGGGGAAAGGGAGAGGTGGGGACAGAGGGAGATGGGGAAAGGGAGAGGTGGGGACAGAGGGAGATGGGGAAAGGGAGAGGTGGGGACAGAGGGAGATGGGGAAAGGGAGAGGTGGGGACAGAGGGAGATGGGGAAAGGGAGAGGTGGGGACAGAGGGAGATGGGGAAAGGGAGAGGTGGGGACAGAGGGAGATGGGGAAAGGGAGAGGTGGGGACAGAGGGAGATGGGGAAAGGGAGAGGTGGGGACAGAGGGAGATGGGGAAAGGGAGAGGTGGGGACAGAGGGAGATGGGGAAAGGGAGAGGTGGGGACAGAGGGAGATGGGGAAAGGGAGAGGTGGGGACAGAGGGAGATGGGGAAAGGGAGAGGTGGGGACAGAGGGAGATGGGGAAAGGGAGAGGTGGGGACAGAGGGAGATGGGGAAAGGGAGAGGTGGGGACAGAGGGAGATGGGGAAAGGGAGAGGTGGGGACAGAGGGAGATGGGGAAAGGGAGAGGTGGGGACAGAGGGAGATGGGGAAAGGGAGAGGTGGGGACAGAGGGAGATGGGGAAAGGGAGAGGTGGGGACAGAGGGAGATGGGGAAAGGGAGAGGTGGGGACAGAGGGAGATGGGGAAAGGGAGAGGTGGGGACAGAGGGAGATGGGGAAAGGGAGAGGTGGGGACAGAGGGAGATGGGGAAAGGGAGAGGTGGGGACAGAGGGAGATGGGGAAAGGGAGAGGTGGGGACAGAGGGAGATGGGGAAAGGGAGAGGTTGGACAGAGTGGGGTGAATACAGAGTGGGGTGTGGTGACAGGGTGGGGTGTGGTGAGAGAGTGGGGTGTGATGAGAGAGTGGGGTGTGATGAGAGAGTGGGGTGTGGTGAGAGAGTGGGGTGTGATGAGAGAGTGGGGTGTGATGAGAGAGTGGGGTGTGATGAGAGAGTGGGGTGTGATGAGAGAGCGGGGCGTGATGACATAGTGGGGTGGGTTTCTGAGTGGGGTGTGAGGACATAGTGGGGTGTGATGGCAGAGTATAGTGGGTTTCAGAATGGGGTGTGAGGACATAGTGGGGTGTGATGGCAGAGTATAGTGGGTTTCAGAGTGGGTTGTGAGGACATAGTGGGGTGTGATGGCAGAGTATAGTGGGTTTCCGAGTGGGGTGTGAGGACAGAGTGGGGTGAGGACATAGTGGGGTGAGGACAGAGTGGGGTGAGGATAGATTGGGATGGGAGGACATAGTGGGGTGTGAGGACAGAGTTGGATCCATGACAGAGTGGGGTTTGAGGACAAAGTGGGGTGACGACCTTGAGGGATGTGGAGAGAGAGGTGCAGAGCGAGATTGATGTGGTCAGAGCATACACAACACATGCACAGCACTGTTTTCCCTCACCAGAACTCCCTCTTGTAAGCCCGTCCGTTCCTGGAAAACATGTCATGATTGCCCACAATTGTGTGTGTCTTCGCAGGTTCATCGGGCGGTCGTGCTTCCGGCATGGGATGTGCGCACGGGCGAGCCCTCGGCTACATATGCACGCGCGGTACCATCGCACCATGGATCACCCACGTTCTCATGTGTGGAGCATGGTGCTGTGGACACCGAGAAACGGTATGGCAAGTTGGTCCTTATCATGCGTGCGAGGAGGTCCGCAGATGGGCAGGGAGGCCCGCTTCATGCGGTGGCGTACATCAAGCCCTGGAAGGAGTGTGGCGTTGACCAGTTGACGGGATGCGTGAAGTTAGAGGAGGTTAAGGGTGCCAATGCATGTGTGGTCGTGCCTGTTGCACACCTTCGTCGGGTTGTGCACGTCGTCCAGTCCTTTGATCGGGAAGGTGTGTGGTTACTGAACAAGTGGGCTGCTGGCCTGCGTCGGGGGGTGTTTGATGATCACACTCCAAACCCTGTGCGACATTTTTGTGTGTGGTGGTTCAAGGGGACACTGTTGGCGAATGGTGTTGAGGGTTTAGGAGCATGCAAGATCGTTCACGGCTCTTTCAAAATCCCTCTAGGACGTCTAGGATAAAGTATACAACAGTCCTTTGCGTAGATGGGTATAATACTTACCTCTGATGTGGGGACAAATTTATACGTGGGTGTGCTCCTGGCCTTAATCAATCCTCCTTTTGTAGGCAGGTATGTGGCAAATTTTACATGGAGCGGCACACCAAACCAGCATAAGGAATTTGGGCATAGCCTGGACAATGGCAGACCCAGTAGGTGGAAACGCAAATGTGTGCTGGTTCTATACTCTCTATGTTTAAATAGTGGTGTTAAATATGATATGTAGTGATATTTTACATCTTGGAAATAGAAATATGTAGTAACCGATTTGCTTCTAGTTCGCAATCGGATATAACAATAATGGACTCCCTGTTTGAACCCAGCCTCGACTCCCAACCATATCGGAATCCGAAGCTGGCGACGAAGCAATTTCCGAAGCTGGAGGGTATCCCGTGGGTTACAACGAACTGAGAGACGCCCTGATTGGTCCGCTTCATTCTCACGAATTGCAACTAGCGAGAATTACCACTTCGTACACGTCTCTCGAGCGCAGAGGAAACCTGAGGGCGTCTTTAGGGAAACCTGCGGGTTACCCCCCGAGGGTATCCTGGGGGTATCACACACTTTCCAGCCGATTTCAGACTCGTGATTTTTAGGATGTGGGAGGGGAGTGGGAGGAAAGTGGAAGGGGTGTGCTTGCGGCATGGGAGGTGTGCGGGGAGAACGCACCACAGGAAAAATGAGGTGTGCGTTGGGGCAGAGGGCAAAGACGAAGGCGCAAATGGAGACAATGACTGGGCGGCAAATGGATGGTTAGACTGTTGGGGCAACGGGGAAAGTCGATGGGGGAGAGGGAAAACAGCTTTGCCTTTTCCATGGAGACCTGAGGATGGTGGCCCGGTGTGAGGATGGTGGCCCGGTGTGAGGAAGTCCAATAGTTGTCATACCACACTCGTCCACCACGCCACACCGCAAACATTCATCCCTTCATGCTACTGCTTCCATTGCCCCTTCTTCCGCAGCATCCATGACAGCTACTCCAAGAATCCGACGCCGATTCAACTCATGGCAATGTGAAGCCGAGTCAATTCCTGGCAGTGTGAAGCCACCGCACCACACAGATATTCAGAGTTGGTGTGAGAGAGGTGAAAGGCAGAGAGGAAACAATATGGGGTAAAGACATGACGATTGGCATGATGATTCAACTCCTAGCAATGTGAAAGCCACCGCACGCCATCGCACGAAGAACTGTGGCTTCCAGCAATTAGCTGGAAGCCTTCCTCGTGACTCCCGATTTCGGGAGTCCTGTCAGTCTGATTTCAATACTGGGGGGTAATTGCGGGGCAACAGAACCACCCTGCAGTCAACATGCGCATTGCCGAAACCAACCTGCGAGGCGACTGCAGGGTGTAAGTTGCGCATCGCATGTCAGTTGGAGCGACTAGTTCGAGTTTGTTACCATCGGAGCCGAAAACGAGACCATCGCACATGCGACGTATGAGCAGTTGCGTTGTTACCACGCGTAGCATTTCGGGTTACCCTGTATTTATTGAAAAGCTATAAATCAAACAGTAATCTGATTACATGGAAATATAGGCTATTAATTAAGATAATTACACTACCGGATAAAACCAGAATAAGACACGGTAGATATATTCATGTTAAACATTACAGCACTCAGTTCAGCCACGGTATGGAGCGTTTCGTTGGCAATTTAATATATTAAAGCTGACAATACATGGCAACATCATATATGCCTACTGCCACATCGCTACACAAACCAGGGAACGCTAGCCTAGCACGCTGCAGCTAGTTCTATTCTGAAGGACTCCACCACATGTGCTGTAACGCATCTGCTTCCTTGCTGAAACTCCCGCACAATAGATTATTAGCTCTAAACACTAAAGAAAGAGTCAGGCAGAAAACGCGACACCAACCACAGCTACTTACCGTTGACGAAAGGACGGTAAAGCACTTGTAGTAATTATGCCATGCTCCTTAAACCTGCAAAAAAAAAATCGGAATACCATTGCTCATAAGCGTAGGGGCAAGAACTCCCAACACTGACGAAACTCACCTGAAATGCTGAACCACGCATATTCGCTTCAGAGGTCTTCACCGTCTTCGCCCAAGCTTCATTGATTTCGCCCAGGCAAAACCACACTTCGCGACTCGACAGCACCTCGCAGATAGCACCACTCAGCTTCATGATAAAATACTTCACGATCTGCAAGTGCGAGTAGCTAACAGTATAAGACGTGGCAAGGACATAGACAGGGTCAGTGAGAGAACCAAGTAATGGGGAAGCATAGCTATTATTGAAGGACATGTTAAAGCTTGACATAGCAAAACGGAAAAAAGATATCGACGAAGAGCACATGTAGGGACAAACACAGAAATCCCTCACCGACATTCACGGCGGCGTCATGCTCAACACCAGGTTGCAGTTGTTTGTCATGAAGGGGGGTGTGGGAACCATCGTGCACCAAGTCCTCGTTGAAAAAAAGGCAACACAAAAATGAAACACTAGTTCAAAATGAGACTGATATTGCTGGCTCTGTTCGTAACCAGCTCAGTTCAGACAAGATGTGAGGTGAGGACCTTGACAGTTGGGAAACTGGTTCCTCGTAAAAAACGCTGCCCAGATAAAACATGTCAGCAACTGCGGACTAATCACGAATAGCCAGGTACTAGTAGATGTTGCTTTTGTTGACCTTGGGCAGAAAAAATCACGCGACAAGGCAGCATTTGCAGGTGAGAAGGGAATGTTCGGAAGAATCTGGCTGCGAATCAGATACCTCGAGCGAAGCCATGCTGGGTGCTGAAGTACAGAGGCAGGCTGTACAAGGAGCAGATTTCCGGCAAAATGCACACCCCCAATCCATCGGCGCGATCTGGGATGAAGCGAGTATGTGCACCCCGATGCACACATCAGCACTGTAATCGACGGTCAGCGTGGAGGGATGAGGTGGTGGTTGGAAATGGATGTACGTAGTCAGTTCGATGTTCCACCTTCTGTGTGTCTGTCAATATTTCACGCGTCTCGACATCGAGGTTGGTCCACTCGATGATGAGTGGTGATTGGTCTAAATTCTGCCATCTTGTAAATCTTCGCTGACACAGCAAAGCATTCAGGAAGGAGGTCGCCTTGTTGGGAGATCGTGATATAAACCGGTTAAGAGAGATATCTGGAGTAAAATATAAAAAGAAAATGATATAAATATAAAATACGATATACCTGTCTGTGATATAAATCAATACATATTGAACTTGCTAAATACAAAACAACCCCCACTAACCCAGTCATATGCGCTGCTCACAAAGTGATATCCAGCTCCAGCACTCAGTCATAATCAAGCTCTCTCTCACACGAGAACACCTGAGGTTTTGTTACGAGTGCAATTTGAGTGATTGGGCAAGAATTGCACTACCGAAACAGAGTACAATGAGTGAACGCATGAGCGAAGAATATATAGCGAAACTACAGTGGTAATGGTAATGGACTGTGGTTCCTTATGTGGAGGGCCCTCAGAAGCGTTCCCACGAGAGAACCTGCTGTATACCATGTGAAGAATGAGGAATGAATGAACTAGCAAGCAGGTGGGTACAAGTAGGAAAACTTAAAAGTGTTGTACCCCATATAGTCTACCCCACTACAGCCTACAGATAGTATAGCATATAAGTTTGCCATACACGACTGTGTGGGACATATTTCATTGTCGTGTAAAAATCACCAAAGAACATCGTAAAAATATTAGAGATTCATTGGGTTTACAATGTTGAAGCAATGAATTACCAGTATGTGAAGTCATTTTTAAGTAAGTGTTTTACAGAATTGTATTGGCTACTTGCATATTTTAGCTTTACATTACTAGTCTAATCACACAATGTAGCAGTACAGTATGATACGAACCACTCCTGGACAAACGTGAAGTGTTTTTGCCAGATATCCAGAATTTTTGGAAACCCTTGGAACCACGCTGGATCTAGATTTTTTCAGCACATTGAATGCCTGTGTTACGGGCTGTTTGCCCGAAAACATTATCGTGACAACTCCAACCAGAATTTTGGTAACTGCGCGCGATCAGAATCAACTCGGAGTCGGCGGGCAATTAGAAAACATTCCCGCCAGCAAATTGCGGGAACCTGATGTCGCCGAACTGTCTGCCAGCAAATTCCCGTCCAACACCCCTAGAGTTGCGATGGCATCACACAGAAATTCAGAAAGCAGAAGAAAAAGAGTGATTTGGGAGAAAGAGGAACGAAAAGAGCAGACTTGGTGTGAGAGAGGTGTAAGGCGGAAGCGAAACGACTTTAGGCAGAGAAGGCAATTATTGCTTGCATATGAATTGGGGACCTACATCACTCTAGCTGCTGTGAAATGCAACGTTGATGGTGTGGCACCACATGCTGCAACATTGATGATGTGGCACCACATGCTGCAACATCGATGATGTGGCACCACATGATGCAACCTGCAGGTGACTGGGAGGAGCAAAGTGCGACAAACAAGACAATGATGCAAATGTGCTAACCATGGGATGCCGTCAGGAAGAGACAGCATTTGCACCTCAGCTGCATCGCCACTACTGCAGCAATTGCCCACCCCCAATGCATGAGCAACAACACCATGCGCTACAAATGGGATGCACCCCCAACTTGTTTCAAAAGCAACACCATGCGCCTCTGTCAACCACCTGTCTGTCTCCATCCCAGCCAATCGCTCAACCACAGTGCAGCCACAATGTTGAGCTGAGGCACGTGTTGAGCTGAGGCACGTGTTGAGCTGAGGCACGTGCTGAGCTGAGGCACGTGCTGAGCTGAGGCACGTGCCGAGCTGAGGCACGTGCTGAGCTGAGGCACGTGTCGAGCTGAGGCACGAGCCGAGCTGAGGCACGAGCCGAGCTGAGGCACGTGCCGAGCTGAGGCACGTGCCGAGCTGAGGCACGTGCTGAGTTGAGGCACGAGCCGAGCTGAGGCACGTGCCGAGCTGAGGCACGTGCTGAGCTGAGGCACGTGCCGAGCTGAGGCACGTGCTGAGATGAGGCACGTGCTGAGCTGAGGCACGTGTTGAGCTGAGGCACGTGCCGAGCTGAGGCACGTGCTGATCTGAGGCACGTGCTGAGCTGAGGCACATGCCGAGCTCAGGCACGTGCCGAGCTGAGGCACGTGCCGAGCTGAGGCACGTGTCGAGCTGAGGCACGTGCTGAGCTGAGGCATGTATTGAGCTGAGGCACGTGTTGAGCTGAGGCACGTGCTGAGCTGAGGCACGTGCTGAGTTGAGGCACGTGCCGAGCTGAGGCACGTGCTGAGCTGAGGCACGTGCCGAGCTGAGGCACGTGCTGAGCTGAGGCACATCCTGAGCTGAGGCACGTGCTGAGCTGAGGCACGTGCTGAGCTGAGGCACGTGCCGAGCTGAGGCATGTGCCGAGCTGAGGCACGTGCTGAGCTGAGGCACGTGCCGAGCTGAGGCACGTGCTGAGCAGAGGCACGTGCTGAGCTGAGGCACGTGGTGAGCTGAGGCACGTGCTGAGCTGAGGCACGTGCTGAGCTGAGGCACGTGCTGAGCTGAGGCACGTGCCGAGCTGAGGCATGTGCCGAGCTGAGGCACGTGCTGAGCTGAGGCACGTGCCGAGCTGAGGCACGTGCTGAGCAGAGGCACGTGCTGACCTGAGGCACGTGGTGAGCTGAGGCACGTGCTGAGCTGAGGCTCGTGCTGAGCTGATGCACGTGCCGAGCTGAGGCACGTGCTGAGTTGAGGCTCGTGCTGAGCTGATGTGCTCATCAGCGCTTCTGCACTCAGCTGGGTCTTGTGCCTGTCTTACCTCACTTGCTCACCTCTTGACCTTGCTTGTACTGTCACATATATATATATCTGCTCTTGCTTGTCTAGCTTTATATATATGTGTACTCTTGCATGTGAACTGGCCTTGTGGCCCCTGACCTTGTGCTCGGACTGTGTGGTGACTTTGTGATCCACCCTGAGCTTGTTTTGCTTTGCTTTGCTTGACTGTTCTTGTGACCCCTTATTCTCCCCCACTTTGCCTATGGGGGTGTGTCAGAACATATAGCTTGTGCTTATTGTGTAGGCTATAGTGGGGTAGCCCATAAGGGGTACAACCCAATTAGGGTTAGTACTTGTACTCAGTTCATTCATAGTTCATTCATTCTCGTTCACATTTTCTCATATACGTGCAGGAACTCCTGCAAGAAGCAAAAATTCCAGCTTCGCCCACATTTCGCCTTCACTGCGACAACCAGAGCGCGATCCGCATCGCGAACAAGGCCGGTTTCATTAACCGCACCAAGCACATTGCGCTGCGGTACTTCTTCGTGAAGGACGAAGTGGACAAAGGCAAGGTCAACTTGACCTACTGCCCAACAGGTGACATGGCAGCAGACTTCCTCACGAAGGGACTGCCACGCTAGCAGTATCAGCACTGCTCCGAACTCAGCGGTGTGGTCAAGCAGGTCAATTCGCGCCACGGCCAGGAGTGAAGGGGGGTGTTACGAATAGTAATATTTGATATTACTAAGCACTCCTCGCCGCAGCAAAAGGAACACGCAATACCGGGAATGAACGCGAAGCGTCAGACGCTTGGAACTGAATCGAAGCGTCGAACGGTTACAGGACATCTGGACCGTCAGAGGAGACAGCACCGGGCAGCTGCAGGCAGGATGGTTTTGGCGGGAATAGTTACGAAACTGTACGAGCCGCACAGTTAAGAATACATCTGAATAAGGGAATGTAACCCTTAGAGTACATGGCTAGCTAGGTCGTTTCGTCTTCCCTGTACTCATATTTATATTTCCTGTACCTGCATGTTTTAATCATCTCAAGCATTTTACATTCACTCTGCCATTTGAGATCAAGGGCCCACCAACACTACCTCTCTTCAAGCGAACCTTCCTGAGCAGATCCTGGGCTACGATCAACTTCTGATCGCAGCAAGACCATCAGACCAAAATGGTCTGATAACGAGAGCCCTGCCCTTGGGGTCTACTGAGTCAGCGAAATGTGTTTGAGATTGGCGAGAAGTTGGGCGAAACCAAAGCCCTCAACCCACCCAACACCTCGACTAGCCAACCCTGCTCCCTCACCTCCCAACATGCAACTTTTGTAAAGTTGTACAATTTGGGCCGCGAGCTTTAACTTGATGTTAATGCAGGAGGACCTTTCGTGAAAGCTGTTGTAGCTCCCTTTGTGATGACCAAATTTAGGCCTTCACGACAGATGAAATTCATGCTGCACATGTAGAGAATAACAATATGGTTCCAACCGTGTGATCAAAATTATTCTGAGTTGGTAGGTAGGGACTAGTTTATAATAGGCTCATTAACCATAACTATTCAATTTTACACGGTTTCACAAGAGTGTTTGGATGCATACACGATACGAGACCTCTTGTATCGCAAACAAGATCCCTAGAAGCCACATCATATGGTAAGCTCGTAGAATTCGCGCCGCCGCTCGCGTGGAGTCACAGCAGCACACGCTGCTGCACTGACAGGCTCGAGGGCCAACTCATCGATTCGAGCCTTACTCCAATGGCGCTCACGACGATGTCTGCGATGTCAACGACGCGCAACGCCACGGATACCCAGCCATGGCTGCTGGATGGATGCACAATCGTAACGGGGCCATGCGTAGGCAGGGCACGTCGCTGGGATCCCACGTATGATGCTAGGCTGGCTACAGCGTTACGGCGGGACCACGGGGGGGTCTTGCCGGGCAGCAGCCAGCTACACGCCACCTCATGACAGTCTTTGGGCGGCACGTTCGTTCGTCGGTCCTTCGTGACGAATTCAATTCTGGTAGCCGCGATAACAATGGGATCGAAAACCCTGGATCGAAACGCCCGGATCATCTATCTCCTCTGCGTCACCTTCGATTTTATCGTCCAATCAGGGTCGTAATCGATCGGCTCGGGCGCAGCTGGAGCGCGAATCGAATCCTTCACTCGATCAGCCGCGAGCCTGCCCCACCAACCTTCCCCACACTCCCCATCCCCTCTGCCCGCGATGATCCACCCACCGGCGATCCCTTCCCTTCTCGCGACCTACTCCATAGCCCCTAGTCAAGATCCAAATCATCTCGCGAATCCTACTCGCGCCTGTTCGACGACATCACACGATCTGCCAGGAGGCAGCGACAGCGTCGGCATGAGCTGGCGGATCCGACACAATTCGTACCACTGGCAGGGTCGCCAGGATTCTTTTGAGGGGATCGCAGGTGCCGTGTCCTGCACTTCGTTCGAGGCTCTGCACCCTGTGCAGTAGTAATTGCAAGCCGAACGCCTGCCTCATTCTTCACTCCACCTCGTCGCTTCAAACTTTCGCTCCGTCTTCTTCCTACGAGCCATCGTCTCCTCTTCCCTACCTCCGAGGTACTCGTTTTCTCCGCTCGTCACTCGTCGTCTCCACTTCACATCTTCGCCTCTCCTCTCCTCGCCTCGCCGCGTCGAGAGGCTCTCGCAATCCTTGGCCTGCCAGGCGATCATGAGCAGCGACGAGCCGCCAGTCAGCCTCGCGGATCGCGCCCACTTCAGCCGTCAGGTAACCATCCGCTTCGTCTTCCGAACCCCCTAGCGCCGTCGCTGCACGTGCTCTCCGTGCTTCGCCCTTCTCCGTGCTCTGCTGCAAACACGGCTCTCGACTATCCAAGCTGATTTCGGAAACTTAAACCGGAAATTCGTGTTGAATTCTACTTGACTCTTCCTCGCCTGTTTGTCCCCTTCCCCTCCCCACTCTTGCCTTGTCTCTACAGGCGCGTCACCTCGCTGCTTTCAGCATCCAGCTGCACCTCCTGCAAGGCCCGCCAATCACGCGCCGCCAGTTGGACGCCGCGTCCTGGTTGCTTACGCGCAGGGAGCTGTGTGACGTCATGAACGAGCGCGCTGCTGCAGGCTTGTGTGGTAACCCGCAGTGTACACGCACTGTAGATGGAACTCTACGGATAATTTACGAAGCAACAGCGGGCTCGAGCAGGTTTTGCAGTGAGGGGTGTGAGGAGCGAGGTAGGGCGGCGAATTTTTGCTTCCCCTTGGAGCAACGCGGGAGAGGGGTCGAATGGGGAGGGGCTTGGAGCAGGGATGATTTAACTGCCATCGTTACGGCTGTCACCACGCCTGACGGCGACGGCGCTTGCACTGACAGGGGCGCTGCTGCTTCTATCAGTGGGTCTGGTCCGGCTGAATCAGGGTCGGCCACATCAGGTTCGGTTGTATTAGGCTCGGCTGGGCCCCAGTGTGTGAGTGAAGGCAGCCCCAGCAGCGCACGAGGGGAGGCTGCTGCTCTGCTGTCAGCGCGACTGCAATCTGCTGCCGCCCGCCTGTGGACTGCCGGCATGGCTGGGGCGAGTGGCGTGGCAGGGGCGGGTGGCGCGGGAGGGAAGGGAGGAGGAGGGACAACGAGTGCTGGCGGCTTCCTGGGTTTGGTGCTCATGGGCGGGGCTGGGGGAGAGGAAGGGATGGAAGGGATGGAAGGGATGGTAGGAATGCAGGGAACGGAGGGGATGGAGGGGATGGAGGGGATGGAAGGGGGTGAAGATGGGGATGAAGATGGGGATGAAGAGTGGCAGAGCGGGAACGCAGAGAGCCTCAGGGGAGTGCGGGGCAAGAGGGAAGGCGGAAGGGGGCAGTGGACTGCAAGCACGAGTGCTGCCCCTCTTGAAGGGACGCTGCCTGCACCTGCATGCACTCATCCCCAGGAAATTGAGCCATGGCGACTCTCTCCTGCAAGTAATGGCTTCAACTGGGCCTGCAGGGAGGCGGCGGGAGCGCCTCAGGGCATTGCGTCAGCAGGCAGCAGCAGCGGTGGCAGCAACGGCTGTGGTGGCAGCAGTGGTGCCCCCGCCACGAGCGCCAGAGCTTGCGGTGCGCGCAGCTGTGGGTCGGGGCAGGAGCCACGTGAGGGCAGCAGCAGCAGAGGGACGCGAGAGGGCAGCAGCGCCTGTGGTGGCCCTCGTGACACGAGTACTGAGCTAGGAAGCGCCAGCGGACTGTGGTCCAACGACTGCAGCACCTGTGCCTCACAGCAAGGACTGGGGGAGGACAGCAAAGAGGCGAGCCGGTGGAGCGGCGGCGTGAGTGCTGCTTTTTGGGAGGCGCTGCTGTGTGAGAGGAGGGATGCGAGGGGGGATGCGAGCAGCAGGTGTGCTGGCAGTGACGTGGATGATCTGTGTCATTGCTCTGGTGCAGTTGGAGAGGCAGCGGGTCTGGAGAGGAGGAGAGAGGGCCAAGGGAAGGAAGAGGAGCAGGGGTGTGATGAGATGGCGGAGCAGGCAGAGGGGGAAGACGCAGGGAAGCAAGGCAGTGAGGACGAGGGGGGACGAGAGGAAGGGGCCAGTGTAGAGGCGGTGGGAGTGGAGGGTGTGGGAGGGGAGGCGGTGTGGCAGCGGCTGATGGCTCACCGGGTGCGCCAAGCAGCCTGCAAGTCCCACGTGCTCTCCAAGCCTCTCTCCTCGCGGACTATCCACCACCGTATGCCGCACCCACAACTCTCTCCGTCCGTGCATCCCCCCTCCCCCTCCTCCTCTCCCTGGTTCTACCCACCTTATCGTAGTGCTTCTTTGCCCCTCAACTCCACTTCCTCCTCCGCCTCCCCGTCCTCCTCCTCTTCTTCCTCTCCATGCCTCTACCCACCCTATCACAGTGCCTCATTGCCCCCCGCCTCCCCCTCCTCCTCTCCCTTTCACTCCTTTCGCTCCTCCTCCTCCGCCCCTGTTTGCATGCCTTCCCCACCAACCCTCTCACACTCATACAACCGAACACGTGTCCCCGCCACATCAAACCCCTGCTCCTCTGCACCCACTGCCAACATCTGTCTCTCAGCCGCCTCCCCTCCCTTTCCACACCTGCCCTGTAACCCCACTCACGAGCCCAGCACCCCAAGGGCCGCCCCTCCTAGCCCCCCCAGTTGGCGTGACCCTCTTCGCCCGGCCCTGCGCACCAGCCCACGCTACCAGCAAGGCAGGAGAGGGCAGCTTCCGGCTCTGCCTCGCAGTGTGTCGTGGGCGGATGCACAGGGGAGGGCTCTCACAGAGGAGCTTCAGTTCTCCAGGCACGATAGACCGTAGCAGACCAAGAGACATGCCAGCCAGGGGGGAGGGAAGAAGAACCTTGGTTTCGTTTCTGCTGCTCAAGCGGGGCTCCATGCACCTTGGCCGGCAGTGCCTCGAATCGAATGGCTCTTAACCCTGCCTGGCGGTCGCTTCATACAGCACTCGGCACGAGTGCCTTTTTACCCTCGGGTCAAGGTGGTTTCTCCATCGCTCGAGTGGTTTTACCTGTACAGTCTAACTCTCTACTTTGTCGAATCTCGGTGCCAGTCGCCTGTTTTTGTGCCGCGCAAGGGCATTCACTTGCCAGGCTACCGTGCACCACCACCACCATCGCTTGCTTGCACCGGAGTTGCTCCTCTTTGATAGACTTTTTTTCCTCCTGGTGTGGAGCAATGTGGTTTACCTTTGCCGCACAGGCAATTGCAAATGATGCGCCCTGTTTTTAGTGCTTGCTCACTTCACACGGGCAATGCACTATTATCAACGCCAAGCTAGTTGGCACTGCCACCACCATTGCACCAGAGTTGATCCACATCTTACTCCTTTTCCCCGCGGTGCTGCGGTGCAATGTTCTGTTTTGTGGCCTGTACTAATGTTATGCCGTATACCAGGCATTTGCAAGGGACTTGCAAGGGCATTCATCCACCTGTAATTTTTTTCCCTCCTGGTGATTGTCACTGTGACATAGTATTACCGGTAGTATATTTGCAATATACTGCTACCGTATGGCACGGCACTTAAAAGGAACTTGTCTTCTCCATATATTTGTGCCGTGGAAGGGTTTCGCTTGGCTCATTCAAGCTGCCTGGCTACACCTCACCTCACCACTCATTGCACCAGACCGGAGTTACAGCAACCTGCTGCCTGCGTTTGTAGGTCCTCCTCCCTAACACTGCATTGTGTGTTTGTGGGGGTTCATCTGACAGGGTCCAGACAGACCACGCCCCACTACTGATCACCAGTAATCCATGCAGCTGTGTGCACTTAGCCTAGTCTGTACACGTGTGCAGCACATGCTGTGATGATGCAGCGGCAAGGCATGCACAGTGCCATGTGGGGGCACGAGAGGTGCCACCTATGGCAACACATGCATATGCCACATTTCTCTGTCCGCCCACCCATGGCACAGCCAGCAGCACAGCCGAATAGTGTCTGCTGCTGCTGCTTCCACCGCTGCCGCTGCTGCTGCTCAACATTTGTGCTGCTGCTGCTGCTACGAACCCCATCAGTGAACCACATCATCGATGCCTCACTGTGCCGCCACTGCTCCCCACCCACGGCATAGCGAGCAGCAACCCAAAAAGAGCCTGCTGCTGCTGCTACCAACCAAATTAGCAGATCAGCAGATGAGCAGAAGAGCAGATGAGCGGATGAGCAGATCACATCACCAATGCCTCCTCTTGCCGCCACTGCCCCCCTCCCATGGCACAGCGAGCAGCAAAGCCAAACAGCAGTGCCACCCTCTCCGCCTCCTGCTGCCTCACCACTGCCTCCCCCGCTGCTGCTGCTGCTGCTGCCCACTGGGAGTGCAACAGGCCAGTAGCACCAACCCTGCTGCTGCTGCTGCCACCAGGGGGAGAAGCATCAGCCAAGGGGGAGGCGAGTGTGAGGGAATGCCATCTGTGGCTCTCCAAACAGCCGAGGGGATGGGCAGCAAGAGGGAAGGGCCAATGCGAAACGCGACTGTCAGTGAGGTGTAACTGCCAGTGTGGGTGATGTGGCTCACTCAACTCAAGCCCAGCGCCCTCCACTCTGCTCTCAGAAACAGTTTGATCGGAAGCCGCATAGACGTCACTGCGAAGGTCCCTAGCACCCCCTGCATTGTCCACACCACCCACCATCACTCCTGCCCCTGCCCCACCCATCGGTGCTGCTATCTCACTATCAGCCACACGCCCCTCAAGAGAGTGCTGCTCATGCGCCAGCAGGGTGGAGTGCAGGCGCTGAAGCTCCGCCCCTATGCGCGCACAGATGGCGTCCAGCAGGGCAGAGGGGGGCGGGGGACATGGTGCTGGGAAGGACGGCGGATGGGGGGTGTGCTGGTCGGTGGGGGTGGAGCTGCTGCTGGTGGTGCGAGCGATCGTGTGCTGCGCAGGCTGTGCATGCTGGCTTTGGTGCTGGTGGTGGTGGTGGTGATGGTGCTGGTGATGACGGTACGAGTGCAGCAGATCAGAGATGTCGATTGGATCGCCCACCATCACTGCCACCTGTGACATGGGGAAGAGAAGGGACGGAGGGGAGGGAAGGGAGGGGGCCGGGAGAGGAGAGAGGGGAGGGGGGGGGAGAGAGGGTAGGGAGGGGAGAGAGGGGAGGGAGGGGAGAGAGGGGAGGGAGGGGAAAGGGGAGGAGGGAGGGGAGAGAGAGGAGGGAGGGGGGGGGGGTGACAGGTACGGGAGGTGGAAACCGGGCAGGCAGGCAGGGAGGGCAGGGGGGGCAGTGAGGGCAGGAAGGCAGGTGCAAAAGGTACGAGAATTGGGAAGAGGGGATTCCCACAGCAGTGGTGGGTGTGGATGGTTAGAGCGGCCAGGATCACATCACAGATGGCTAAAGAATCTGAAAAGGCCCACAGTGCCACAGTCCAAAGAATGACGAGTCTGAGGGGAGATGCGAGGATGGGTGGTGATGAAGGGAGCGGTGACAGGTGGTAATGTGTATGGTGCATCGATGTGGATAGATGGGCATGGATGGGCATGGATTGGCATGGATGGGCATGGATGGGCATGGATGGGCATGGATAGGCACGGATGGGTATGGATGGGCATGGATGGGCATGGATAGGCATGGATAGGCATGGATAGTCATGGATAGGCATGGATGGGCATGGATAGGCATGGATAGGCATGAATAGGCATGGATGGGCATGGATAGGCATGAATAGGCATGGATGGGCATGGATGGGCATGGATAGGCACGGATGGGTATGGATGGGCATGGATGGGCATGGATAGGCATGGATAGGCATGGATAGTCATGGATAGGCATGGATGGGCATGGATAGGCATGGATAGGCATGAATAGGCATGGATGGGCATGGATAGGCATGAATAGGCATGGATGGGCATGGATGGGCATGGATAGGAAATCTGGGTTTACCCGTTGGCCTACGGCTGGCAGCGTTTGTCCTCTAGCTTGCACGCGGTGCATGCCGACATGCACCACCGGGATGATGAGGGGAGGCACAGTGCACTGCGCTGCCAGCCTGGCGGAACAACCATGGGCGGGGAGGGTCATGAGTGGGGAGAGAGATCAGTTGGAGGAGGGTATGAGGAGGGGTCATGGGGTGGGGTGGGGTGGTGGGTGTGTGAAACCCAGCAGCATCACATCACATCGCACATGCACCATCCCACTCGTTCTAATTCCACCTAACCACCCTCATCCCACCCCACCATAACACCACCCTTCCGCCCCAATCCAACTCCCCCTTCCCTTTTCCCCCGCCCCCCCGTGTCCCCCTCCTCTCACCACGCCACGCCTCGGCGCATGGGGCCAACGGTGCGGCCGCCATCCAGCGAGCGAGTGCCCTCGGGGAAGATGTGCACCCACCCGCCGTTGCTCAGCTGCTGTGCCGCTGCTACCATGCCCTGCAGGAGGATAAAGGTGTGCGAAGAGAGGGAAAGAGGTCCGACAGCCCTAGTGAGCGACACATGGCTGGTCTGAGGCAACAATGCGCACCCACCCACCCGCCCGCCCGCCCGCGCTCAGCCGCTCGGCTGCTGCTACCATGCCCTGCAGGGGGTTGGGGTGGAGGCGGGAGGGAGTGCACCCACTCGTTTTCATCTAGGCGCTGTGCTGCTGCAGTGCAGCCGATGCAGGGCGCCTGAGCATGCGCTAGCACACTCAGGCGGAGTGGGGCGGGAGGTGAGGGAAAGAGAGTTCCGAGGGGGTTGGAGGGGGAGAGGGGAGGGAGGTGCATGGCGTGCAGAGGAGTGGAGAAGAAAGAACGCGGGAGGGAGGTCCACACAACAAGTCCCCCCAGTCCAATCCCAACTCCCACTCACTGGCTGCTGGATTCCCCCTCCCCGCTCCACTGGTAACGCCCGCAGTGAGGTGAAGAAGGCGGAGAGGAGAGGCGAGGAGAAGCAGCGGTCGGAGGCACAGAGGGTCCAGCGGAGAGAGGCGGGGCGGGCGAGCATGAGGGATGGCGGCACCACTGCTGCCATGACCAGCGGGTCGTCCATTGCTGCCACGTGATTGGCCACCTGGTGGGTGAGGGGAGAGATGGGAGGGTGTATGTATGGTGCACCGTGGAAAGGGGATCAGGGGCAATGGTGGATGGATGAACGAGGGGGGCAACACCGCTGCTACCACCATTGCTGCCACGTGGTTTGGTGGACACATGACGAGGCGAGGGGAGGCGTTGGGCCGTGGCTAGAGAGACATGCGGTAAGGCAAGGACGTGAAGCACGTGGTTGGTTTTGAGTCGACTCAAAAGCACATGCGGTAAGGCAAGGACGTGAAGCACGTGGTTGGTGGACACATGGCGGGGGAGACGTGGCGTTTGGATAAGGGGCATGGGAATAAGGGGTGCAAGGGGGGATGGATGAGCTGGCAGGTGAGGGAGAGAGAGAGTGCAGAGGAGTGTGTGTTACGGCTCCTGGAAAACAACAGGCGGGGAAAGCGGAGAGGTGAGGGAGAGCGTGTAAGGGACGGTTGATGCAGGGAGTGCAGGCGAGAAGAGGGAGGAAGAGAGGGGTGACGGGGTCGCACAGCATGATGGTCACAAGAAGCACGCACACGTGGGGGAGGAGGCAAGCACACAGGGGGGCAGCAGTGGTACCGTGAGGAGAGGCGTGCCGGGAGGTCGGTGGGCGATGGCGTTGGTGAGCTTGTGAGCGCCGATCACCTGGTGGGGGGGGGGAGGGGGGAGGGGTATGAGTATGAGGGGATGGGCGGAGGGGCGGAGGGGAGGAGGGGAGGAAGGGGGTGGAGGGTGGACACCCAAAAGGTGGGCGATGGCGTTTGTGAGCTTGTGCGCGTCAATCACCTGGAGGTGGGGGGGGGGGGGGGGGGGGGAGGAGTGTAGGCGAAGGGGGATGGGCGGACGGGGGTGGCGGATGCGTGTCGGGGAGTGCAGGGGGAAACATAGTCCAGCAATATAAAACCTTGAACCAGCATAAAGTCGATACGCAACCTAAATGTTGAATACAGAACGAATTCAAGCTCTCACACTAGTTGGTTAGCTATACTCGACCTAAAATATTTGTTATACTGTGGCATGGATGGTGGAGGGAGCAAGGCCAGCAGCAAAGCACAAGGCGGCAGGCACACATATCAGCCCGCCTTGGTGCGGTTGACTGCGGTTGAGCGCACCTCAGTGCGGTTGAGACCGTGCATGAAGGCGTGTGATACAGCGCCCAGGGCAGGCAGCAGCACTGCCTGCGCCATGCGCACTGCCGCGCTCTGCTGCTCCTCGCCCGCCCCTAACCCCCCCACCACCACCGCTTGCCTCGCCCCATCTGCCCCGCTCCCCCCGCCCACCCCCTCCGCCTCGCCTCTCTCCCCAAGCTCGCCCGTCGCCTCTATCCTTGTTGCTGTCAACGCCTCTCCTGCTGCACGTTGCGCATCCGCCGTGTCAGTCAGAAGTCCCACCGGCCCCTCCGCAAATCGCGCCGTGAATCGCGCCTTGAATTGCGCGAGCACGCTGTTGCCTTTGAACACGCGCACCGCCGCCAGCGACGACGTCGCCGCAGCCGCCGCCGTCGCCATCGCCGCCTTGCGGCCGCCGCCCGCCGCGACGGACGCTTGAAGGGAGCCGTAGGGAGCAGATCCGTAACCGTTGTGGTAACCCGACGCGTACAACCCCTGTGCGCGACACTTGACGCGATTCTTCCATTCGCGAAGCCGTTCGCGAATGATTACACGGTTCGTGTGGATGTGGTGTTGATCCACGCCACGTGGCGTAGAATGATTGGCCCTTTCCATTACGCGGAAAGAAGAGGGGCGCAGCTAGTGGAAAATCGCTGGTCCCGTGGCTTAATCTCTGGTCGCGTGGCTTAATCTCTGGTCGCGTGGTTTAATCGCAAATGGCGGCGAGGGTGGCGACTGAAGCTTGGAACGGCGGGCGGAGAGGAGTGGACGGCAGGCGGAGGGAAGTGAAAGAGGAACAGTCTAATTGGCGCTGAGAATTCGAGCCTGCTTCTGCAGACACAGCCTCACAAGCACTTCGACACCAAGCGCCAGCTACAGCTGTGATGGGTGAAAATTGGAACTTGTGGAAATGGAAGCATGAAGAGAGAGATCTGGGAATTCAATGAGGGGAAACTGCTTTCTTATGGTTTGTTGATGGCTGAGGGCGCAGTCAGAAGTTTGCCCACCATCCGAAGTGAGAGTGGCAACTGTGACGAGGAAGAGCTTTTGTCGAGATCTATTGAAGGAGGTTGACATTACCACAAAACAGAAATATGTTTTGCGTTACTCTTCATAAAAGCACGAGTTGACTATGAGCATTGCCGGACGAGGTCGCGCTCGTCTGTAACCTGAGCGGGGGCCAACCCTTTGGATTGTTGCACACCTGCGAGACCCTTCGCCTGCCACATAGATGACTCGTCCGTTCCAAGTTGAGAGTCTGCAGCGGCATCTGCCCGGAAGGGCATGTGACGTGGCGGTTAGAGAGGGGGACACCGCGTGAGGCGGGAAACCGAGCAGCGAAAACCCCCCGCTCCCCGCAGTGGAGGGATAGCGAGGCTGAGTGCGCGGCGGTGGTTTCTCTCGCAGGCTCGTGCCACGGGACCATTTCCAACCCTTTTCCCACCCGCTTTTTCCCACCCGCTTTTTCCCACCCGCTTTTCCCCCCCCCGCTTTTCCCCCCCCCCCCCGCTTTTCCCCCCCCCCCGCTTTTCCCCCCCCCCGCTTTTCCCCCCCCCCGCTTTTCCCCCCCCCGCCTTTCCCCCCCCCGCCTTTCCCCCCCCCCCGCTTTTCCCCCCCCCTTTTTCCCCCCCGCTTTTTCCCACCCGCTTTTTCCCACCCGCTTTTTCCCACCCGCTTTTCCCCACCCGCCTTCCCCACCGGCTTCCCCCCCCCGCTTCCCCCCCCTGCTTTTTCCCACCCGCTTTTTCCCACCCGCTTTTTTCCCACCCGCTTTTTCCCACCCGCTTTTCCCCACCCGCTTTTCCCCACCCGCTTTCTCCCACCCCGCTTTCTCCCACCCGCTTTATCCCACCCCGCGTCCTCCCACCCCGCTTTTTTCCCACCCCATGTCATACTCCCACTTTGCTTTCTTGTTCACCCTAATGAAAGTAATCATTCATAATAGTCTTAATTAGTAAATGTTCCTCGTAGTAATCTTCGCGCGGGCGCGCGCGACTGACTCTCATGGCCGCCAGTGCGAGCCGGCGCGACCCTTGCAACGGTCACGATCATGGTAGTAGCGGTCGCGGCGAGAGCGAGCAGTGGCGGAGGGCGCAGGTGCGCGGAATGCTGCGTGCGCCCATGGCTCGCGCGCGAGTGGTGTCCGTCGATGACCTCGTCATGACTTCCGGCCTCTTGCCGTGCTCCCTTCCTGCCTCTTGCCGTGCTCCCTTCCTGCCTCTTGCCGTGCTCCCTTCCTGCCGCCCCCCCCTATGCCGCCACGCCTGCTATCCCCCCTGCTAACATGCGCCTTTCTTTCAGCAGCGCGGCGCAGCAGCCGCAGTGGCAGTCACGGAAGCATTAGCTGCGGGAAGGAGAGGCGGGAAATATGAGGGAGGGAGGGGGGGAGGGGAGGGCGAGTTGGGGTTCAGCCGCCGCGCTGCCAGCCACCTGCCAGCCACCAGCCACCTGCCAGCCACCAGCCACCTGCCAGCTACCAGCCACCTGCCAGCCACCTGCCGAGTGTGGGGAGAGTGACGTAGTGAGGTGGGGCATGGTGTGTGCGCGCCACGTGGCGAGAGGGCGGCAGGTGCATGTATTCGTGTACATGCACCACCCGCTCATCCACCCCAGCATGCAAAGCATGCGACCGCCGTGTCCCATCCCCCCGGGCGTGTCAGTGGGGGCGACCTTTTCTTTGTGTGACGTTCTGCTGCTCCCCGCCTCACCCGCCTCTGCTGGTAGGTAACACCCGCCTCTGCTGGTAGGTAACACCCGCCTCTGCTGGCAGGTAACACCCGCCTCTGCTGGTAGGTAACACCCGCCTCTGCTGGCAGGTAACACCCGCCTCTGCTGGTAGGTAACACCCGCCTCTGCTGGCAGGTAACACCCGCCTCTGCTGGTAGGTAACACCCGCCTCTGCTGGCAGGTAACACCCGCCTCTGCTGGCAGGTAAACACCCGCATCTGCTGGCAGGTAACACCCGCATCTGCTGGCAGGTAACACCCCGCCTCTGCTGGCAGGTAACACCCGCCTCTGCTGGCAGGTAACACCCGCCTCTGCTGCAGGTACACCCGCCTCTGCTGGCAGGTAACACCCGCCTCTGCTGGCAGGTAACACCCGCCTCTGCTGGCAGGTAACACCCGCCTCTGCTGGCAGGTAACACCCGCCCTCTGGCAGGTAACCCGCCTGCGGCAGGTAACACCCGCCTCTGCTGGCAGGTAACACCCGCCTCTGCTGGCAGGTAACACCCGCCTCTGCTGGCAGGTAACACCCGCCTCTGCTGGCAGGTAACACCCGCCTCTGCTGGCAGGTAACACCCGCCTCTGCTGGCAGGTAACACCCGCCTCTGCTGGCAGGTAACACCCGCCTCTGCTGGCAGGTAACACCCGCCTCTGCTGGCAGGTAAACACCCGCCTCTGCTGGCAGGTAACACCCGCCTCTGCTGGCAGGTTTACACCCAGAATGCAACGCGTGCCATGTTCCGCATCGCGCTACACCCACAGCTCTCGTCCAAAGCTGCTGCGTGGCTCGCCTTTCGTGTGTGACGTGTTATCATCAGTCTATGCTGCTGCCTTGCTGTGTCAGGCCTGTGTCGTCTGAATCAGTAGCTTGGCTTGGTGTCGCTACAACAGCGTGCTCCTCGACCTGTGTCTTCTCCGTGTTGCCTTGCTGTTCCACCTGTCATGTCGAGCGCTAATCGCTGCCTCCGCCCACCATGGCCCAGCTCAGGTGACCTGCCCATCTGCCTCGTGCCTGCTGGAATGGCACCACCTGCTGCCTGGGGTGATGCAGCACATAGCAGCAGGGGTGGTGAGATAAGGGGTGGTGAGATAAGGGGTGGTGAGATAAGGGGTGGTGAGGGCTGGAATTCAGGGCAAGAGGTGGTGCGAGTGCGGATGGTCGCTTGCTCCCAGCATGGAGGGGAGGAGCATGGAGGGGAGGAGCATGGAGGGGAGGAGCATGGAGGGGAGGACACAGTCGTTCAGGGATGGGAAGGAGTGGGTGAGGGAGGCGGCAGGGGAGGGGTGGGAAGGAGAGAGGTGCGAGGGGAGGCAGCGGCGGGATTGAGGGTGGGGGGAGGCGGTGTGATGTGAGTGGAGGAGGGGTGGCAGGAGGAGCGGGTGCAGAGGGAGTGCGCATTCGATGCTGGGTGAGAGAGGGGTGGTGATGGGTGGGAGTGTTGGGAGATGGTTAAAAGTGGGTGACGGTGGTTATTCATGGAGTGTGTAGTTTGGTGTGTGTGGTTTGGTGTGTGTGGTTTGGTGTGTGTGGTTTGGTGTGTGTGGTTTGGTGTGTGTGGTTTGGTGTGTGTGGTTTGGTGTGTGTGGTTTGGTGTGTGTGGTTTGGTGTGTGTGGTTTGGTGTGTGTGGTTTGGTGTGTGTGGTTTGGTGCCTGTGATGAAAACCCGGCCCGGATTTACACACATGAGCACAGGGTGAGCCGATTCAAGTCAAATCGGTTGTTGCTAACGCAAGAAAACGCCAAAGTGGAAACAGGACCTTGATTACGATTTGAACTAAGGCCCGAACTCGGCCGAGCTTTACTCGGCTGAGTGATTCTGCAAACGAGGCGAGGTCTCAAGGAACTCGCCTCATACGTTTGCAGACAGTCCACTCAGATCCTCTCGTGGCATACGATTGAGAATTTTCAAAACTGGCATGCTCTTGTCACGGTCATTGTTCAGTCGATTCGAAAGCACTCCAGCTCCTTTTCAGAGTCTGCACCTTAGCAGAATCCCGCACGTTTAGTCGGGGACAAACTTTGACTCGGCTCGCTGCTCATGCTGCTGTGGGTTGTTGTCTCGGAGTGTCTTTCCCATAGCCTTGCCATGGCAGATGCGGTGCACTCATAAGCAGTCTTGTCACGCTCCCTATTTTCTCCCCCCTTCCCCAGTTAGCAGCAAAGCACGCCATGTGCCTGCTGCTCGTGTGCCCCTCTTTCCGGTCCTTCCACCTCATCCTCCAAACCCCCCTATTCCGTTCCACCCCTATCCCCAGCTAGCAGCAGTGCACTCCGCGTGCCTGCTGCTTGTGTGACCCCCCCCCACCCCCTGCGCTTTTTCCGACCACCAATCCCTTTCCCCCTCCACCCTCACCTCCCCCCTCCTTTTCATTCCACCCCCCTCCCCAACTTGAAACACTGCACTCCGTTCTCCTGCTGGCTGTGCTCCTCCCCGTCCCCTCCCCTTTTTCCAACCCCCTCTCTCTTTCCGCTTTCCCCACGCCCAACCCATGTTGTTCATTCCACCCTCCTTCCCAGCTATCAGCAGTGTATTCCGTCCGCTTGCTGCCTGTGCTCCCCCGCCCTGCCGCTGCCAGCATGTGTGTGTGAGGGAGGGGGGGCCTTGCCTTGCTCCGCCCACAGGCCTGGGCGGCAGCAGGGAGGGCGGCAGCAGGCAGGGAGGCAGCAGGCAGGGAGGCAGCAGGCAGGGAGGCAGCAGGAAGGGTGGCAGCAGCAGGTAGGGTGGCAGGAGGGAGAAAGAGAGATGAAACGTGGGTGTGGGTGGGAGTGTGGAGGGTGGCAGGGGGTAGAATGGATTGGCACGGAGTGAGGGAAGATAATGGGAGTGGGAGTGGTGGTGAGAGTGGTGGTGAGAGTGGTGGTGACAGTGGTGGTGAGAGTGGTGGTGAGAGTGGGCTTGAGCACCAAGACGTACGAATATGTCCTCTGATGGAAGGCGCGAAATGCCATTTTCATCGTCAGATTTGATGGCAGGAGGGTGTGGGGGGGAGGGGGGGAGGAAAAGGTGCCACGCTTTGAGTATTACTGTTAATGTTGCTGCAACCAGCTGTGCTGCTGAGAGGGGAGGGAGGTGGAAGGGAGGGAGAAGGAGGGGAGGGCGGAGGCAGGGGAGGCGCAAGCAGGGGAGGCGCAAGCAGGGAAAGCGCAAGCAGAGGAAGCACAAGCAGAGGAAGCGCAAGCAGAGGAAGCACAAGCAGAGGAAGCACAAGCAGAGGAAGCACAAGCAGAGGAAGCGTACGCAGAGGAAGCGCAAGCAGAGGAAGCGCAAGCAGAGGAAGCACAAGCAGAGGAAGCACAAGCAGAGGAAGCGCAAGCAGGGGATGTCAGATATATATGACTTAGTGTTTGTAGGCTCTAGTGGGGTAGACACTAAAGGGTACATATCTCTAGGGTTTCATATTTGTATCACACACTTTCCTAGTTCATTCATTCGTTCCTCGTGATTCTCACATGGTATAGAGCGGGTTCCCTAGTGGGACCGTTTCTTCCTAAGGTCCCACCTTAAAATTTTTTTTTTTCCTAACCTGCCCGAAGCGCGCTTCGCGCTCTGACCTGCCCTACCCTTTCGCGGCCCCTTAGCGGCCTGCCCTGCTCCTGAGTCCCGTCGCGGCCCCCCTTTGCGGCCCTTTCACTGCCCCTTAGCGGCCCCTTCGAGGCCCCTTAGCAGCCTCCCTTCACGGCCCCTTAGCGGCCCCTTCGCGGCCCCTTCACGGCCCCTTAGCGGCCCCTTCGAGGCCCCTTAGCGGCCTCCCTTCACGGCCCCTTAGCGGCCCCTTCGCGGCCCCTTCAAGGCCCCTTAGCGGCCCCCCTCGCGGCTCCATCTCGGCCCCTTCGCGGCCCCTTAGCGGCCCCTTCGCGGCCCCTTCGCGGCCCCCTCGCGGCCTCTTCGCGGCCCCCCTTCGCGGCCCCCCTTCGCGGCCCCTTCGCGGCCTCGCCCCGCTGCCCGTAGCGGCCCCGCCCCGTCGCCAGTCGCGGCCCCGTCCCGTCGCCAGCCGCGGCCCCGCCCCGTCGCCAGTCGCGGCCCCGCCCCGCCGCCCCTGCCTCGTCGCGACGCCTCAGCGGGACCCGTGCGTCGCCCCTGCCTCGTTGCGACGCCCCTGCGGGTCCTGCGAGGCGCGGCTCCTGCGCGTCGCGACGCCCGGCGGGACCCGCGTGGCGTCGCCCCTGCCCGCCGCGGCGCCCTGCCCTAACCCGCGCCCTGGCCCCGGGAGCAGCCGCCCCTGCAGCAGCCGCCCCTGGCCCCTGGAGCAGCCGCCCCTGCAGCAGCTGCCCCTGGCCCCTGGAGCAGCCGCCCCTGCAGCAGCTGCCCCTGGCCCCTGGAGCAGCCGCCCCTGCAGCAACCACCCCTGGCCCCTGGAGCAGCCGCCCCTGACCACTGGAGCAGCCGCCTCTGGCCCCTGGAGCAGCCGCCCCTGGCCCCTGGAGCAGCCGCCCCTGCAGCAGCTGCCCCTGGCCCCTGGAGCAGCCGCCCCTGCAGCAGCCGCCCCTGGAGCAGCCGGCCCTGCAGCTGCCGCGGAGCCCTCGCCCTGCGGTGGTAGCGGCCTCGCCGTTGCTGCCGTCGTACGCCTGCCCTTCTTGCCACTGGTGAGCAGTGCCCTGCCCGTACTGCTGTTACTGCTGCTCTTGCTGCTACTGCTCTTTCTACTGCTACTGCTGCTCCTGGCGTGGCCAGATGCAGCTCCAGCGCCGTCCGCGTGAGTCCCTCACCCCCCAACAACTTCGTGAGTGGTACGCTAGTTGGGGTTGTAGGGATGGCCGCGCTGCGACTACTGCTACTGCTGCTACTACGGCTAGTACTGCTAATGCTGCTCCTGCCGGTGACCAGATGCAGCCCCAGCGACGTCCGCGTGAGTCCCTCACGCCCCAGCAGCTTCGTGAGTGGTACGCTACTTGGGGTTGTCGGGGTGGCCGTAGTGGGATTCGTTTTGGAGTGAGTAGTTCGGGAGCTGCTTCGCGTGGCCAGGTGCAGGTGCAGCGTCGTCCGCGCGCGGTCCTTTCGCCCCTGTAGCTTCGTGAGTGGTACGCTCAGCGTGGAGCGTCACGGAGTACTGCTCGCTGTCCGTACGTCATTCGCACTGGTGCTCCGACTGGTCAGCCTTGCGGGACGTTTGGTCACACAGAGTCCCGCTACTTCGCCCGTCTGAGCGACGCCAGGCGTACGGAGTTTGGCGACGCGGCTGAGCTCCCCGACTGGGTGCAGCTGCTTCGGTAGAGGGTAGATATCTATACTCTTGACTATGATACTATTCTCACTGCCATGTATGCATTCCCTACTAGTGATGAGGGTGACTGTTACCTGTGTGTTCCGCCTGACCCGGGCATTAAGGCTGCTGCTCTAGGTGCTAGTGAGGTTGCTGCTCTAGGAGCTAGTGCGTCTGCTGCTCCAGGTGCTGGTGAGTCTGCTGCTCCAGGTGCTGGTGAGTCTGCTGCCCAAGGTACTGGTGAGTCTGCTCTCTCAGGCACCACGTCGGCTCAGGTTTTGCACACCTTTACCCTTGACTCGGGTGCTTCCCGCTCCTTCTTTCGAGACCGCACCACACTCAAGCCGCTAAGTCGGCCGATTGCAGTCTCCCTGGCAGACCTCTCTGGGGGTCCTGTCCTTGCTAGCTTCTCCACTATCTTACCGTGTCCGGCAGCCCTATCTAGCACCGTGTCAGGTCTTTACCTCCCCTCGTTCTCTACGAACTTGGTAAGTGGTGCTGACCTACAGGATGGACGGGTTGACCAGTTCACTCCTGCGAGTCCGCGAGTGACCCACTGTACGTATGCTCGGACGGGCCGACACTTGGCCACGTTTACCCGTCAGCCGGGGTCGAGCCTGTATACACCGTCTACTGAGTCTCCTCCGGTTGCTGCGTCTGGTTAGGTAGCTGCGTCGGGTGAGGTGTTTGCTGCAGCGTCTAGGTCTGGTCCTTAGTCTGCCCCCTGCTCGTGTCGTCTCCTGTCTCACCAGACTCTCCTCTGGCACCACCGCCTTGGTCACCCCTCCCTGCCTCGTCTCCGAGGCATGGCCTCCCGTGTCCTTGTCTCTGGTCTCCCCCGGTCCCTCCCTCCTCTTCCCCCGGGGCTTGCCCCTACCTGCGTTCCCTGCGTCAAGGGGCGGCAGCGCGCCGCTCCTCACTCCTCCGTGTTTCCTCCGACAGAGGCTCCGCTGCAGACGCTTCACCTGGACGTGTGGGGCCCCGCCCGCGTCCGTGGACAGGGTCACGAGCGTTACTTCCTGCTGGTAGTTGACGACTACTCGCGTTACACCACAGTCTTCCCCTTGCGCAGCAAGGGTGAGGTCACTGAGATGTTAGATCGAATGGATCCGCGCAGCTCGTCTCCAGCTCAGAGAGAGTTCCGGCTCGGACTTTTCTGTTCTGCGTCTGCACTCCGACAGAGGCGGAGAGTTTTCCTCTGACCTTCTGCGAGCCTACTGTCGTGCACGGGGCATCCGCCAGACGTTCACGCTTCCAGCCTCTCCACAACAAAATGGGATTGCTGAGCGCCACATTGGTATGGTCGTGGACGTCGCTCGTACGTCCATGATCCATGCGGCTGCTCCCCATTTCCTGTGGCCGTTCGCGGTTCAGTACGCGGCGCATCTGATCAACCTTCAGCCCCGGGTCTCCTTGCCGGAGACCTCTCCTACTTTGCAGTGGACGGGGAAGGTTGGCGATGCGTCTGCGTTCCGTGTCCGGGGATTTCGAGCTTTTGTCCGCGACTTGTCTGCGGACAAGCTGTCCTGCCGTGCTGTTCTCTGCGTCCTCCTTGTCTTCCGCCTTGACGCGCCTGGTTGGCAGTTTTACCACCTTACCTCGCGCCGTGTTTTGTCCTCCCAGGACGTCGCGTTTGACGAGTCAGTTCCTTACTACCGTCTCTTCCCCTACCGCATTGCACCCCTCCCCCCGCCGCTGCTCATCCTCGCGCCAGGTCCCTTCCCGATAGACCCGCTTCCCCCTCAGGGTCCTGCCCCCTCTGGTGTGTCCCAGGTAGACGCAGTCGAGCCTGTCAAGGTAGGTGTTGACTCTGGTGCTGCTAGGGGTGCTGAGCCTGCGGGTGCGGAGTCTGGGGGTGCTGAGCCTGAGGGTGGTGAGCCTGGGGGTGCTGCGAGTGGGGGTGCGGAGCCTGAGGGTGCTGGGCCTGCTAGTGTGGAGTCAGGCGGTACTGGTTCTGGAGGTCCTTCGGGTGCTTCGTCCTGGCGGGAGCTACCCTCTCCACAGGAGCTGCGCGAGTGGTTTGCTCGGCGCTGGAGCCGTGCTGCTGGAGCTGGAAGTGCTGCTGGAGCTAGAGGTTCTACTGGAGCTGGAGGTGCTGCTGGAGCTGGAGGTTCTATTGCTGCTGAGGGTGCTGGTGCCACGGGTCCCAGAGGTGCTCGTACTGGAGGTACTGGAGCTGCTGGGCCTGGGGGTGCTCGTGGTGCTGGAGCTGCTGGCGGTGCTGGAGCTGGCGGTGCTACTGGAGTAAGTGCTGCTGGAGGTACTGGAGCTGGGGCTGTTGAGTCTTCAGGTGGTCCTGCTGGAACTGGAGCTGCTGGTGTTGGTGCTTCTAAGGGTGGTGGAGTTGGCGCTGCTGGAGCTGGGGGTGTCAGAATGTTATTCTTATGTTCTAGCCTGTAGTGGGGTGCTCTATAGCGAGTACAACCCTTCTAGGGTTTGCTATTTGTGTCCCCATTTCTGCTAGTTCAACCCTCTTTTTTCTTCTAATTTTGACATGCTATCAGAGCAGGTCGATCCCTTTTGGATCGATCCTGTGGGTGTGTCCCCACCTCGCTTCCGCTGCTACTTTTTTTTACCTCCCGCCGTGCGCCCCGAGGCGCGCGGCGGTTTTCTGCCCGCCGTGCGCCCCGAGGCGCGCGGCGGTTCTTTGCCCGCTGTGCGCCCCGAGGCGCGCGGCGGGCTTCTGCCCTACGCCCCGCCCCGACCGTCGCGGCCCCGCCCTTCGACGCGGCCCCGCCCTTCGTCGCGGCCCCGCCCCGGCCCGTCGCCGCCCGTGCGCCTGCCCGGCTCGGCCCCGCTCTACGTCGCGGCCCCGCCCCGGCCCGTCGCCGCCCGTGCGCCTGCCCGGCTCGGCCCCGCCCTACCTTTGCGGCCCCGCCCTATGTCGCGGCCCCGACCGTCGCGGCCCCGCCCCTCGTCGCGGCATCGGGCCCCCCCCCCCCCCCCCCCCCCCCCCCCTCCCCCCTTTTCTCCCCTCCCTGCCATTTCCCGTCGCCCGTCGCGGCTCCTTCGGGGGCCGCAAGCGGCCCCCTCAGGTCGCCACGACGGACGACGGGAGGGGCGAGCTGTTGGGTGGCGGGTATGGGGGTGCTCGGTGGGCCTTCCTCCCTTTGCTCCTCCTCCTCCTCCGTCTCCCACTGCTGCAGCTGTCGCTGAGGGGGGTGGTTGTGTGGGAGACTCGGGTTTAGGGTTTAAGGGGGGTGCGTGGGAGTGGAGCTAGGGGTGTATCAGCGGGTGTGTGTTGGGGGAGTTGGATAGTTAGGGAAGCTGCATGGAGGTTGCCGTCGTGTCGTCAGCAGCACCTGTATTCCGGGGGCTTCGCCCGGTAGCCCAGTCGTAGCCAGCTGTGCCAGCCGCCCGTGGGTCCGTTGCTCGTCTGCCGCTACTTTAGCCGCGGGGCCAGTTACTCCAGTAGTCCGGGGGCTTCGCCCGGTAGCCGCTGTTGCCAGTGTGCCTCCTGTTGCCCGTGTGTCTGCAGCTTCAGCCGTCGCCTCCCAACTCCTCTCGCTCTCACTCCTCCTCCTCACTTGCCCGTTGTGACCACCACTAGCTTTGCTGATAATTGTGCACTTGAACTTGCTTCTTGAACTTGTGCTCAGAATGTGTGGTGACATTGTGATCCACCCTGAGCTTGTACTGCTTTGCTTGCTCTGCTGATTACACCCCACTCTGGCTATGGGGTGTGTCAGAATGTTATTCTTATGTTCTAGCCTGTAGTGGGGTGCTCTATAGCGAGTACAACCCTTCTAGGGTTTGCTATTTGTGTCCCCATTTCTGCTAGTTCAACCCTCTTTCTTCTTCTAACTTTTGACAGGGGGTGCTACTGGCGCTGGTGCTGCCGCTGGGGGTGCTGGTACTGTACATGATGGTTCTGGAGGCGCTGCGCGGCCGCGGCCGTCCTTCGTTCCGCTCCTTGAGCATGTTCATGGTCCTCCCGCCCTTCTGCTGGTCGTGCTCCTTCCTTACAGTGTCCACCGCCTGTCCGGTCCGAGTCACAGTTACAGCCCGCATCCCCACTACCTGCCCTTTCTTCCTACACTGGTCCTACTGGAGGTCTTGCTGAACGTTGTGAGCCTACGTCTCGTCCTGCGTCGCCTGTTCGTGCTGGTCGCACTAGTCGTCGTGTTCCGCGTCAGCGTCCTCCTGCGGTCCCAGGCACGCACCAGATGGCACTGCGTCCTTCCACTGCTCCACTACTTGTCCCTTTGCCGTCTCCTCCAGAGTCCTCTCTTCCTGTTCTTGCTGACCCGGAGTCTGTCTCTCTTCGTGCTGCCAGTCCTACTGTCACGCGCCTTCTGGCTATTGTTGTCACTGACCCTTCCTTTGAGTTCACTGCTGCGTCTGCCCTATTTGCTGATCTTGTCGACTTCGCTGCTCGCTGTCGTCTAGACTACGCCGCTAGTCTTGTTGCTGAGTCTGAGTCTGTCTGTCCTCCGTCCGTCGGGGGTGAGTGTGCTCTTAGCAAGGACGTCCTTAAGGACAGGCAGGAGGAGTTCCAGTGTTTTGCTGCTGCATTACCTCATCTCGTGTCTATGCTGACTGCCCCTGAGAGAGACCCGGATGCACCAGACATCCCGACTCCGCGCTCTTAGGCATAGGCAATAGAGGGTCCCTACTCCTCTCAGTGGCAGTCAGCCATGGACGCAGAGATGGCTTCCTGGAAGTCCACAGGCACCTACGTCGACGAGGTTCCCCCACCTGGGGCGAACATCGTCAGTGGCATGTGGATTTTTAGGGTGAAGCGGCCGCCGGGGTTTCTCCGCCTGTCTTCAAGGCGCGTTACGTGGCTCGAGGCTTCAGTCAGCGGCAGGGAGTTGACTACTTTCAGACCTTGCTTCGACTTCACGTACTCCTTGCCTCAGACCACTCCTCTGTCTACTCACCACTCGCTCTCAGCTCTGCCTTCGGATGAGTCCGTAGAGCCGAGTGGCCTGTACCTAGAGCTTGTTTGGCTGCCTCATGTACCTGATGACCTGCACTCGACCTGACCTTGCATACCCTCCTAGCATCTTGGCACGCTATGTTGCTCCTGGGAGACACGGACCAGAGCACATGACTGCAGCGAAGAGGGTGTTGCGCTACTTGTGCAGTACGTCGGGCATGGGGCTTGTGCTTGGAGGGCGGAGTCCAATGGTCCTCACTGGTAACGTAGACGCTTCTTGGGCAGACGACCAGGCTACGCAGCGGTCGTCATAGGGTTACACCTTCAGCCTTGGTTCCGGCTCTGTCTCGTGGCGGTCTACCCGCTCGTCTTCTGTTCTCGGCTCCAGCTGTGAGGCTGAGATCTACGCAGGGGCCATGGCTGCACAGGAGATACGCTGGCTCACCTACCTGTTGACCGACATAGGAGAGCCGCTTCGTTCTCCTCCACTCTGTACGTAGACAACAAGGCCATGCTGGCCTTCTGTCGGGAGCACAGACTGGAGCACAGAACGAAGCACATTGCACTTGGCTACTTCCTTGCTCGTGAGCTGCAGCAACGTGGTCAGTTGCACCTTTCTTACGTGGCCTCTCGAGCCAACACGGCTGATATCTTTACCAAGGCACTTCAGCCTTGTGATCATCAGCGCTTTAGTACAATGCTAGGTCTTCTGCCTACTTGGCCTCACTTGCTCACTTCTTGACCTTGCTTGGACTCTGATCTTTCTATACCTGCACTTGCTTGTTTACCTTTATTATAATCCTTCATGTGAACTGGCCTTGTGGCCTTGAACTGGTGCTCGGAATGTCTGGTGACATTGTGATCCACTCTGAGCTTGCTTTGCTTGACTAGTCTTGTGACCCCTAGTTCTCCCCCAAATTGCTTATGGGGGTGTGTCAGATATATATGACTTAGTGTTTGTAGGCTCTAGTCGGGTAGACACTGTACAGGTCTCTAGGGTTTCATATTTGTATCACACACTTTCTAGTTCATCGTTCATTCCTCGTGAATCTCACAGAGGAAGCGCAAGCAGAGGAAGCACAAGCAGAGGAAGCACAAGCAGAGGAAGCACAGGCAGAGGAAGCGCAAGCAGAGGAAGCACAAGCAGAGGAAGCACAAGCAGAGGAAGCGCAAGCAGAGGAATCGGAAGCAGAGGAAGCGCAAGCAGAGGAAGCACAAGCAGAGGAAGCGCAAGCAGAGGAAGCAAAGCAGAGGAAGCGCAGAGAAGAAGCACAAGCAGAGAAGCAACAGCAGAGGAATCGCAAGCAGAGGAAGCACAAGCAGAGGAAGCACAAGCAGAGGATCGCAAGGAGAGGAAGCGCAAGAAGAGGAAGCGCAAGCAGAGGAAGCGCAAGCAGAGGAAGCGCAAGCAGAGGAAGCACAAGCAGAGGAAGCACAAGCACAGGAAGCACATGCAGAGGAAGCGCAAGCAGAGGAAGCGCAAGCAGAGGAAGCACAAGTAGAGGAGCACAAGAAGAGGAGCGCAAGCACAGGAAGCGCAAGCAGAGGAAGCACAAGCAGAGGAAGCACAAGCAGAGGAAGCACAAGCAGAGGAAGCGCAAGCAGAGGAAGCACAAGCATAGGAAGCACAAGCAAAGGAAGCGCAAGCAGAGGAAGCACAAGCAGAGAAAGCACAAGCAAAGGAAGCGCAAGCAGAGGAAGCACAAGTAGAGGAAGCGGAAGTAGAAGAAGCACAAGCAGAGGAAGCGCAAGCAGAGGAAGCACAAGCAGAGGAAGCACAAGCAAAGGAAGCGCAAGCAGAGGAAGCGCAAGCAGAGGAAGCGCAAGCAGAGGAAGCGCAAGCAGAGGATGCGCAAGTAGAGGAAGCGCAAGTAGAGGAAGCGCATGTAGAGGAAGCGCAAGCAGAGGAGTCACAACCAGAGGAAGCGCAAGCAGAGGAAGTGCAAGCAGAGGAAGCACAAGAAGAGGAAGCACAAGCAGAGGAAGCACAAGCAGAGGAAGCGCGAGCAGAGGAAGCGCAAGCAGAGGAAGCGTAAGCAGAGGAAGCACAAGCAGATGAAGCGCAAGCAGAGGAAGCACAAGCAGAGGAAGCGCAAGAAGAGGAAGCACAAGCAGAGGAAGCACAAGCAGAGGAGCGCAAGCAGAGGAAGCGCAAGCAGAGGAAGCACAAGAAGAGGAAGCGCAAGCGGAGGAAGCACAAGGAGAGGAAGCGCAAGCGGAGGAAGCACAAGCAGAGGAAGCGCAAGCAGAGGAAGCACAAGAAGAGGAAGCGCAAGCGGAGGAAGCACAAGCAGAGGAAGCGCAAGCAGAGGAAGCATTAGCAGAGGAAGCACAAGAAGAGGAGCGCAAGCAGAGGAAGTGCAAGCAGAGGAAACGCAAGCAGAGGAAGCACAAGCAGAGGAAGCGCAAGTAGAGGAAGCACAAGCAGAAGAAGCACAAGCAGAGGAAGCGCAAGCAGAGGAAGCACAAGCAAGGAAGTGCAAGCAGAGGAAACGCAAGTAGAGGAAGCACCAAGCAGAGGAAGCGCAAGTAGAGGAAGCACAAGCAGAAGAAGCACAAGCAGAGGAAGCGCAAGCAGAGGAAGCACAAGCAAGGAAGCACAAGAAGAGGAAGCGCAAGCAGAGGAAGCGCAAGTAGAGGAAGCACAAGCAGAGGAAGCACAAGGAGAGGAGCGCAAGCAGAGGAAGCGCAAGCAGAGGAAGCACAAGCAGAGGAAGCACAAGCAGAGGAAGCACAAGCAGAGGAAGCGCAAGCAGAGGAAGCGCAAGCAGAGGAAGCACAAGCAGAGGAAGCACAAGCAGAGGAGCGCAGCAGAGGAAGCGCAAGCAGAGGAAGCACAAGCAGAGGAAGCACAAGCAGAGGAAGCACAAGCAGAGAAGGCGCAAGCAGAGGAAGCAGCAAGCAGAGGAAGCACAAGTAGAGGAAGCACATGCAGAGGAAGCACAAGCAGAGGAAGCACAAGCAGAGGAAGCACAAGCAGAGGAAGAACAAGCAAAGGAAGCGCAAGCTAAGAAGCACAAGCAGAGGAAACGCAAGCAAAGGAAGCACAAGCTGAGGAAGCACAAGAAGAGGAAGCGCAAAGCAGAGGAAGCACAGGCAGAGGAAGCTCAAGCGGAGGAAGCGTAAGCAGAGGATGCACAAGCAGAGGAAGAACAAGCAAGGAAGCGGAAGCTGAAGAAGCACAAGCAGAGGAAACGCAAGCAAAGGAAGCACAAGCAGAGGAAGCACAAGCAGACGGAGCGCAAGCAGAGGAAGCGCAAACAGAGGAAGCGCAAGAAGAGGAAGCAACAAGCAGAGGAAATATGCAAGCAGAGGAAGCGGGAGCTGAGGAGTCACAACCAGAGGAAGCGCAAGCAGAGGAAGCGCAAGCAAAGGAAGCACAAGCAGAGGAAGCACAAGCAGAGGAAGCACAAGCAGATGAAGCGTGAGCAGAGGAAGCGCAAGCTGAGGAAGCGTAAGCAGAGGAAGCACAAGCAGAGGAAGCGCAAGCAGAGGAAGCACAAGCAGAGGAAGCACAAGCAGAGGAGCGCAAGCAGAGGAAGCGCAAGCAGAGGAAGGGCAAGAAGAGGAAGCACAAGCAGAGGAAGCGCAAGAAGAGGAAGCGCAAGTAGAGGAAGCGCAAGCAGAGGAAGCACAAGAAGAGGAAGCGCAAGCGGAGGAAGCACAAGCAGAGAAAGCGCAAGCAGAATAAGCACAAGCAGAGGAAGCACAAGAAGAGGAGCACAAGCAGAGGAAGTGCAAGCAGAGGAAACGCAAGCAGAGGAAGCACAAGCAGAGGAAGCGCAAGTAGAGGAAGCACAAGTAGAAGAAGCACAAGCAGAGGAAGCGCAAGCAGAGGAAGCACAAGCAAGGAAGCACAAGTAGAGGAAGCGCAATCAGAGGAAGCGCAAGCAGAGGAAGCACAAGCAGAGGAAGCACAAGGAGTAGGAGCGCAAGCAGAGGAAGCGCAAGCAGAGGAAGCACAAGCAGAGGAAGCACAAGCAGAGGAAGCACAAGCAGAGGAAGCGCAAGCAGAGGAAGCACAAGCAGAGGAAGCACAAGTAGAAGGAAGCACATGCAGAGGAAGCACAAGCAGAGGAAGCACAAGCAGAGGAAGCACAAGCAGAGGAAGAACAAGCAAAGGAAGCGCAAGCTGAAGAAGCACAAGCAGAGGAAACGCAAGCAAAGGAAGCACAAGCAGAGGAAGCACAAGCAGAGCAAGCGCAAGCAGAGGAAAGCACAAGCAGAGGAAGCTCAAGCGGAGGAAGCGTAAGCGGAGGATGCACAAGCTGAGGAAGAACAACCAAAGGAAAGCGCAAGCTGAAGAAGCACAAGCAGAGGAAGCGCAAGCAAAGGAAGCACAAGCAGAGGAAGCACAAGCAGAGGAGCGCAAGCAGAGGAAGCGCAAGCAGAGAAAGCGCAAGAAGAGGAAGCACAAGCAGAGGAAGCGCAAGCAGAGGAAGCGGAAGCTGAGGAGTCACAACCAGAGGAAGCGCAAGCAGGGGAAGCGCAAAGTTGAGGAAGCACAAGAAGAGGAAGCAAAAGTAGAGGAAGCACAAGCAGAGGAAGCGCGAGTTGAGGAAGCGCAAGCAGAGGAAGCGTAAGCAGAGGAAGCACAAGCAGAGGAAGCGCAAGCAGAGGAAGCACAAGCAGAGGAAGCACAAGCAAAGGAAGCGCAAGCAGAGAAGCACAAGTAGAGGAAGAGGAAGCAGAAGAAGCACAAGCAGAGGAATCGCAAGAAGAGGAAGCACAAGCAGAGGAAGCACAAGCAGAGGAGCGCAAGCAGAGGAAGCGCAAGGCAGAGGAAGCGCAAGCAAAGGAAGCGCAAGCAGAGGATGCGCAAGGAGAGGAAGCGCAAGTAGAGGAAGCGCAAGTAGACGAAGCGCAAGCAGAGGAGTCACAACCAGAGGAAGTGCAAGCAGAGGAAGCGCAAGCAGAGGAAGCACAAGAAGAAGAATAACAAGCAGAGGAGGCACAAGCAGAGGAAGCACAAGGAGAGGAGCGCAAGCAGAGCAAGTGCAAGTAGAGGAAACGCAAGCAGAGGAAGCACAAGCAGAGGAAGCGCAAGTAGAGGATAGCACAAGCAGAAGAAGCACAGCAGAGGAAGCGCAAGCAGAGGAAGCGCAAGCAGAGGAAGGGCAAGAAGAGGAAGCACAAGCAGAGGAAGCGCAAGAAGAGAAGCGCAAGCAGAGGAAGCGCAAGCAGAGGAAGCACAAGAAGAGGAAGCGCAAGCGGAGGAAGCACAAGCATAGAAAGCGCAAGCAGAATAAGCACAAGCAGAGGAAGCACAAGAAGAGGAGCGCAAGCAGAGGAAGTGCAAGCAGAGGAAACGCAAGCAGAGGAAGCACAAGCAGAGGAAGCGCAAGTAGAGGAAGCACAAGTAGAAGAAGCACAAGCAGAGGAAGCGCAAGCAGAGGAAGCACAAGCAAGGAAGCACAAGTAGAGAAAGCGCAAGCAGAGGAAGCGCAAGCAGAGAAAGCACAAGCAGAGGAAGCACAAGGAGAGGAGCGCAAGCAGAGGAAGCGCAAGTAGAGGAAGCACAAGTAGAGAAGCACAAGCAGAGGAAGCACAAGCAGAGGAAGCTCAAGCAGAGGAAGCACAAGCAGAGGAAGCACAAGTAGAGGAAGCACATGCAGAGGAAGCACAAGCAGAGGAAGCACAAGAAGAGGAAGCACAAGCAGAGGAAGAACAAGCAAAGGAAGCGCAAGCTGAAGAAGCACAAGCAGAGGAAACGCAAGCAAAGGAAGCACAAGCAGAGGAAGCACAAGCAGAGGAAGCGCAAGCAGAGGAAGCACAAGTAGAGGAAGCTCAAGCGGAGGAAGCGTAAGCAGAGGATGCACAAGCTGAGGAAGAACAAGCAAAGGAAGCGCAAGCTGAAGAAGCACAAGCAGAGGAAACGCAAGCAAAGGAAGCACAAGCAGAGGAAGCACAAGCAGAGGAGCGCAAGCAGAGGAAGCGCAAGCAGAGGAAGCGCAAGAAGAGGAAGCACAAGCAGTGGAAGCGCTAGCAGAGGAAGCGGAAGCTGAGGAGTCACAAACAGAGTAAGCGCAAGCAGAGGAAGCGCAAGTTGAGGAAGCACAAGCAGAGGAAGCAAAAGCAGAGGAAGCACAAGCAGAGGAAGCGCGAGTTGAGGAAGCGCAAGCAGAGGAAGCGTAAGCAGAGGAAGCACAAGCAGAGGAAACGCAAGCAGAGGAAGCACAAGCAGAGGAAGCACAAGCAAAGGAGTCACAACCAGAGGAAGTGCAAGCAGAGGAAGCGCAAGCAGAGGAAGCACAAAAAGAGGAAAATCAAGCAGAGGAAGCACAAGCAGAGGAAGCACAAGAAGAGGAAGCACAAGCAGAGGAAGCACAAGCAGAGGAAGCGCGAGCAGAGGAAGCGCAAGCAGAGGAAGCGTAAGCAGAGGAAGCACAAGCAGAGGAGCGCAAGCAGAGGAAGCGCAAGCTGAGAAGCGCAAGCAAAGGAAGCGCAAGCAGAGGATGCGCAAGGAGAGGAAGCTCAAGTATGAGGAAGCGCAAGCAGAGGAGTCACAACCAGAGGAAGCGCAAGCAGAGGAAGCGCAAGCAGAGGAAGCACAAGAAGAGGAAGCACAAGCAGAGGAAGCACCAGGAGAGGAAGCACAAGAAGAGGAAGCACAAAGCAGGAGGAAGCACAAGCGGAGGAAGCGCGAGCAGAGGAAGCGCAAGCAGAGGAAGCGTAAGCAGAGGAAGCACAAGCAGGAGGAAGTGCAAGCAGAGGAAGCCAAGCAGAGGAAGCGTAAGAAGAGGGAGCACAAGCAGAGGAAGCACAAGCAGAGGAAGCGCAAGCAGAGGAAGCGCAAGCAGAGGAAGCACAAGAAGAGGAAGCGCAAGCGGAGGAAGCACAACCAGAGGAAGCGCAAGCAGAGGAAGCACAAGCAGAGGAAGCACAAGAAGAGGAGCGCAAGCAGAGGAAGTGCAAGCAGAGGAAACGGAAGTAGAGGAAGCACCTGCAGAGGGAAGCGCAAGTAGAGGAAGCACATGCAGAAGAAGCACAAGCAGGGGAAGCGCAAGCAGAGGAAGCACAAGCAAGGAAGCACAAGTAGAGGGAAGCGCAAGCAGAGGAAGCGTAAGCAGAGGAAGCACAAGCAGAGGAAGCACAAGGAGAGGAAGCGCAAGCAGAGGAAGCGCAAGCAGAGGAAGCACAAGCGAAGGAAGCACAAGCAGAGGAAGCACAAGCAGAGGAAGCGCAAGCAGAGGAAGCACAAGCAGAGGAAGCACAAGTAGAGGAAGCCACATGCAGAGGAAGCACAAGCAGAGGAAGCACAAGCAAGGGAAGCAACAAGTAGAGGAAGAACAAGCAAAGGAAAGCGCAAGCTGAAGAAGCACAAGCAGAGGAAACGCAAGCAAAGGAAGCACAAGCAGAGAAAGCACAAGCAGAGGAAGCGTAAACAGAGGAAGCACAAGCAGAGGAAGTGCAAGCAAAGGAAGCGCAAGCAGAGGAAGCACAAGCAGAGGTAGCACAAGAAGAGGAAGCGCAAGCAAAAGGAAGCACCTTCAGAGGAAGCGCAAGCAGAGGAAGCGCAAGGAGTGGAAGCACAAGTAGAGGAAGCGCAAGCAGAGGAAGCGCAAGCAGAGGAAGCACAAGCAGAGGAAGCGCAAGCAAAGGAAATGCAAGCAGAGGAAGCGCAAGCAGAGGAAGCACACGCAGAGGAAGCGCAAGCAGAGGAAGCACAAGCAGACGATGCGCAAGCAGAGGAAGCACAAGCAAAGGGAGACCAATGAGAGGAAGCACAAGCAGAGGAGCGCAAGCAGAGGAAGCACAAGCAGAGGAAGCGCAAGCAGAGGAAGCGCAAGCAGAGGAAGCACAAGAAGAGGAAGCACAAGCAGAGGAAGCAACAGCAGAGGAAGCGCAAGCAGAGGAAGCACAAGGAGAGGAAGCGCAAGTAGAGGAAGCACAAGCATAGGAAACACAAGCAGAGGAAGCACAAGCAGAGGAAGCAAAAGCAGAGGAAGCGCAAGCAGAGGAAGCACAAGTAGAGGAAGCGGAAGCAGAGGAAGCACAAGCAGAGGATGCGCAAGGAGAGGAAGCACAAGCAGAGGAAGCACAAGTAGAGGAGCGCAAGCAGAGGAAGCGCAAGCAGAGGAAGCGCAAGAAGAGGAAGCACAAGAAGAGGAAGCGCAAGCAGAGGAAGCGGAAGCTGAGGAGTCACAACCAGAGGAAGCGCAAGCAGAGGAAGCGCAAGTTGAGGAAGCACAAGCAGAGGAAGCACAAGCAGAGTAAGCACAAGCAGAGGAAGCGCGAGCAGAGGAAGCGCAAGCAGAGGAAGCGTAAGCAGAGGAAGCACAAGAAGAGGAAGCGCAAGCAGAGGAAGCACAAGCAGAGGAAGCGCAAGAAGAGGAAGCACAAGTAGAGGGCAAAAGCAGAGGAAGCACAAGCAGAGGAGCGCAAGCAGAGGAAGCGCAAGCAAAGGAAGCACAAGAAGAGGAAGAGCAAGTGGAGGAAGCAAAAGCAGAGGAAGCGCAAGCAGAGGAAGCATAAGCAGAGGAAGCACAAGCAGAGGAGCGCAAGCAGAGGAAGTGCAAGCAGAGGAAATGCAAAAAGAGGAAGCACAAGCAGAGGACGCGCAAGTAGATGAAGCACAAGCAGAAGAAGCGACAAGTAGAGGAAGCGCAAGCAGAGGAAGCGCAAGCAGAGGAAGCACAAGCTATGGAAGCACAAGCAGAAGAAGCGCAAGCAGAGGAAGCACATGAAGAGGAAGCCCATTTCGAGGAAGCACAAGCAGAGGAAGCACAAGCAGAGGAAGTGCAAGCACAGAAGCACAAGCAGAGGAAGCGCAAGCAGAGCAAGCACAAGCAGAGGAGGCCACAAGCAGAGGAAGCACAAGCAGAGGAGCGCAAGTAAGTAGAGGAAGCGCAAGCAGAGGAAGCGCAAGCACAGGAAGCGCAAGCAAACGAAGCGCAAGCAAAGGAAGCGCAAGTAGAGGAAGCACAAGCAGAGGAAGCGCAAGTAGAGGAAGCACAAGCAGAGGAGCGCAAGCAGAGGAAGCGCAAGTAGAGGAAGCGCAAGCAGAGGAAGCGCAAGCAGAGGAAGCGCAAGTAGAGGAAGCACAAGTAGAGGAAGCGCAAGCAGAGGCACAAGCAGAGGAAGCGCAAGCAGAGGAAGCACAAGCAGAGGAAGCACAAGCAGAGGAGCGCAAGCAGAGGAAGCGCAAGCAGAGGAAGCGCAAGAAGAGGAAGCGCAAGCAGAGGAAGCACAAGAAGAGGAAGCACAAGCAGAGGAAGCACAAGCAGAGGAAGCACAAGAAGAGGAAGCACAAGCAGAGGAAGCACAAGCGAGAAAGCGCAAGCAGAGGAAGCGCAAGCAGAGGAAGCGCAAGCAGAGGAAGCACAAGCAGAGGAAGCGCAAGCAGAGGAAGCACAAGCAGAGGAAGCGCAAGAGAGGAAGCACAAGCAGAGGAAGCACAAGCAGAGGAGCGCAAGCAGAGGAAGCGCAAGCAGAGGAAGCACAAGCAGAGGAAGCGCAAGCAGAGGAAGCACAAGCAGAGGAAGCGCAAGCAGAGGAAGCACAAGCAGAGGAAGCACAAGCAGAGGAAGCAAAGCAGAGGAAGCGCAAGCAGAGGAAACACAAGCAGAGGAAGCACAAGCAGAGGAAGCGCAAGTAGAGGAAGCACAAGCAGAGGAAGCACAAGCAGAGGAAGCGCAAGCAGAGGAAGCACAAGCAAGGAAGCACAAGCAGAGGAAGCGCAAGCAGAGGAAGCGCAAGCAGAGGAAGCACAAGCAGAGGAAGCGCAAGCAGAGGAAGCGCAAGCAGAGGAAGCACAAGCAGAGGAAGCACAAGCAGAGGAAGCACAAGCAGAGGAAGCGCAAGCAGAGGAAGCACAAGCAGAGGAAGCACAAGCAGAGGAAGCACAAGCAGAGGAAGCACAAGCAGAGGAAGCACAAGCAGAGGAAGCACAAGCAGAGGAAGCACAAGCAAGGAAAGCAAGGAAGCAGAGCAAGTAAGAAGCACAAGCAGAGGAAACGCAAGCAAAGGAAGCACAAGCAGAGAAAGCCACAGCGAGGAAGCGCAAGTAGAGGAAGCACAAGCAGAGGAAGTGCAAGCAAAGGAAGCGCAAGCAGAGGGAAGCACAAGCAGAGGTAGCACAAGAAGAGGAAGCGCAAGCAAAGGAAGCACCTTCAGAGGAAGCGCAAGCAGAGGGAAGCGCAAGGAGTGGAAGCACAAGTAGAGGAAGCCGCAAGCAGAGGAAGCGCAAGCAGAGGAAGCACAAGCAGAGGAAGCGCAAGCAAAGGAAATGCAAGCAAGAGGAAGCGCAAGCAGAGGAAGCACACACAGAGGAAAGCGCAAGCAGAGGAAGCACAAGCAGACGATGCGCAAGCAGAGGAAGCACAAGCAAAGGAAGCACAAGCAGAGGAGCGCAAGCAGAGGAAGCACAAGCAGAGGAAGCGCAAGCAGAGGAAGCGCAAGCAGAGGAAGCACAAGAAGAAGGAAGCAACAGCAGAGGAAGCGCAAGCAGAGGAAGCACAAGCAGAGGAAGCGCAAGTAGAGGAAGCACAAGCATAGGAAACACAAGCAAAGAAGCGCAAGCAGAGGAAGCACAAGCAGAGGAAGCGCAAGCAAAGGAAGCACACAGCAGAGGAAGCGCAAGCAGAGGAAGCACACGCAGAGGAAGCGCAAGCAGAGGAAGCACAAGCAGACGATGCGCAAGCAGAGGAAGCACAAGCAAAGGAAGCACAAGCAGAGGAGCGCAAGCAGAGGAGCAACAAGCAGAGGAAGCGCAAGCAGAGGAAGCGCAAGCAGAGGAAGCGCAAGCAGAGGAAGCAACAGCAGAGGAAGCGCAAGCAGAGAAGCACAAGCAGAGGAAGCGCAAGTAGAGGAAGCACAAGCATAGGAAACACAAGCAAAGAAGCGCAAGCAGAGGAAGCACAAGCAGAGGAAGCACAAGCAGAGGAAGCGCAAGCAGAGGAAGCACAAGTAGAGGAAGCGGAAGCAGAGGAAGCACAAGCAGAGGATGCGCAAGGAGAGGAAGCACAAGCAGAGGAAGCACAAGTAGAGGAAGCACAAGAAGAGGAAGCGCAAGCAGAGGAAGCGGAAGCTGAGGAGTCACAACCAGAGGAAGCGCAAGCAGAGGAAGCGCAAGTTGAGGAAGCACAAGCAGAGGAAGCACAAGCAGAGTAAGAACAAGCAGAGGAAGCGCGAGCAGAGGAAGCGCAAGCAGAGGAAGCGTAAGGAGAGGAAGCACAGAAGAGGAAGCGCAAGCAGAGAAGCACAAGCAGAGGAAGCGCAAGAAGAGGAAGCACAAGTAGAGGAAGCACAAGCAGAGGAAGCACAAGCAGAGGAGCGCAAGCAGAGGAAGCGCAAGCAAAGGAAGAACAAGAAGAGGAAGAGCAAGCGGAGGAAGCAAAAGCAGAGCAAGCGCAAGCAGAGGAAGCATAAGCAGAGGAAGCACAAGCAGAGGAGCGCAAGCAGAGGAAGTGCAAGCAGAGGAAATGCAAAAAGAGGAAGCACAAGCAGAGGAAGCGCAAGTAGATGAAGCACAAGCAGAAGAAGCGCAAGTAGAGGAAGCGCAAGCAGAGGAAGCGCAAGCAGAGGAAGCACAAGCTATGGAAGCACAAGCAGAAGAAGCGCAAGCAGAGGAAGCACATGAAGAGGAAGCCCATTTCGAGGAAGCACAAGCAGAGGAAGCACAAGCAGAGGAAGTGCAAGCAGAGGAAGCACAAGCAGAGGAAGCGCAAGCAGAGCAAGCACAAGCAGAGGAGGCACAAGCAGAGGAAGCACAAGCAGAGGAGCGCAAGTAGAGGAAGCGCAAGCAGAGGAAGCGCAAGCACAGGAAGCGCAAGCAGAGGAAGCGCAAGTAGAGGAAGCACAAGCAGAGGAAGCGCAAGTAGAGGAAGCACAAGCATAGGAAGCGCAAGCAGAGGAAGCGCAAGTAGAGGAAGCGCAAGCAGAGGAAGCGCAAGCAGAGGAAGCGCAAGTAGAGGAAGCACAAGTAGAGGAAGCGCAAGCAGAGGAAGCACAAGCAGAGGAAGCGCTAGCAGAGGAAGCACAAGCAGAGGAAGCACAAGCAGAGGAGCGCAAGCACAGGAAGCGCAAGCATAGGAAGCGCAAGAAGAGGAAGCGCAAGCAGAGGAAGCACAAGCAGAGGAAGCACAAGCGGAGGAAGCACAAGTAGAGGCAGCACAAGCAGAGGAAGCCCAAGCAAAGGAAGCGCAAGCAGAGGAGCGCAAGCAGAGGAAGCACAAGCAGAGGAAGCACGAGCAGAGGAAGCACAAGCAGAGGAAGCACAAGCAGAGGAAGCCAAAGCAAAGGAAGCGCAAGCAGAGGAGCGCAAGCAGAGGAAGCGCAAGAAGAGGAAGCACAAGCAGAGGAAGCACAAGTAGAGGAAGCACAAGTAGAGGAAGCACAAGCATAGGAAGCACAAGCAGAGGAAGCAAAAGCATAGGAAGCACAAGCAGAGGTAGCGAAAGCAGAGGAAGCGCAAGCAGAGGAAGCACAAGCAGAGGAAGCGGAAGCAGACGAAGCACAAGCAGAGGAAGCGCAAGCAGAAGAAGCACAAGCAGAGGAAGCGCAAGTAGAGGAAGCACAAGCACAGGAAGCCCATTTAGAGGAGCCCAAGCAGAGGAGGCGCAAGCAGAGGAAGCGCAAGCAGAGGAAGCGCAAGCAGAGGAAGCGCAAGCAGAGGAAGCGCAAGCAGAGGAAGCGCAAGCAGAGGAAGCGCAAGCAGAGGAAGCGCAAGCACAGGAAGCACAAGTAGAGGAAGCGCAAGCAGAGGAAGCACAAGCAGAGGAAGCATAAGCAGAGGAAGCACAAGCAGAGGAAGCGCATGCAGAGGAAGTGCAAGCAGAGGAAGTGCAAGAAGAGGAAGCACAAGCAGAGGAGGCGCAAGCACAGGAAGCACAAGCAGAGAAAGCGCAAGCAGAGGAAGCACAAGCAGAGGAAGCGCAAGCAGAGGAAGCGCAAGCAGAGGAAGCACAAGCACAGGAAGCACAAGCAGAGGAAGCCAAGCAAAGGAAGCGCAAGCAGAGGAAGCGCAAGCAAAGGAAGCGCAAGCAGAGGAAGCGCAAGGAGAGGAAGCGCAAGCAGAGGAAGCGCAAGCAGAGGAAGCACAAGCACAGGAAGCACAAGCAGAGGAGCGCAGGCGGAGAAAGCGTAAGCAAAGGAAGAGTAAGCAGAGGAAGCACAAGCAGAGGAAGCGGAAGCAGAGGAAGCGCAAGAAGAGGAAGCGCAAGCAGAGGAAGCGCAAGCAGAGGAAGCGCAAGTAGAGGAAGCACAAGCAGAGGAAGCGCAAGCAGAGGAAGCACAAGCAAGAAGCACAAGCAGATGAAGCACAAGCAGAGGAGCGAAAGCAGAGGAAGCGCAAGCAGAAGAAGCACAAGCAGAGGAAGCGCAAGGAGAGGAAGCACAAGCAGAGGAAGCGCAAGCAGGGGAAGCACAAGCAGAGGAAGTACAAGCTCAGGAGCGCAAGCAGAGGAAGCACAAGCACAGGAAGCGCAAGAAGAGGAAGCACAAGCAGAGGAAGCAACAGCAGAGGAAGCGCAAGCAGAGGAAGCACAAGCAGAGGAATCGCAAGTAGAAGAAGCACAAGCATAGGAAGCAGAAGCAAAGAAGCGCAAGCAGAGGAAGCACAAGCAGAGGAAGCACAAGCAGAGGAAGCGCAAGCAGAGGAAGCACAAGTAGAGGAAGCGGAAGCAGAGGAAGCACAAGCAGAGGAAGTGCAAGCAGAGGAAGCACAAGCAGAGGAAGCACAAGTAGAGGAGCGCAAGCAGAGGAAGCGCAAGCACAGGAAGCGCAAGCAGAGGAAGCACAAGCAGAGGAAGTGCACGCAGAGGAAGCGCAAGCTAAGGAGTCACAACCACAGGAAGCGCAAGCAGAGGAAGCGCAAGCAGAGGAAGAACAAGCAGAGGAAGCACAAGCAGAGGAAGCACAAGCAGAGGAAGCGCAAGCAGAGGAAGCACAAGCAGAGGAAGCGCAAGAAGAGGAAGCACAAGCAGAGGAAGCACAAGCAGAGGAAGCACAAGCAGAGGAGCGCAAGCAGAGGAAACGCAAGCAGAGGAAGCACAAGAAGAGGAAGCGCAAGCAGAGGAAGCATAAGCAGAGGAAGAACAAGCAAAGGAAGCGCAAGCAGAGGAAGCACAAGCAGAGGAAGCGCAAGAAGAGGAAGCACAAGCAGAGGAAGCACAAGCAGAGGAAGCACAAGCAGAGGAGTGCAAGCAGAGGAAGCGCAAGCAGAGGAAGCACACGCAGAGGAAGCGCAAGCAGAGGAAGCACAAGCAGAGGAAGCATAAGCAGAGGAAGCACAAGCAGAGGAAGCGCATGCAGAGGAAGTGCAAGCAGAGGAAGTGCAAGAAGAGGAAGCACAAGCAGAGGAGGCGCAAGCACAGGAAGCGCAAGCAGAGGAAGCGCAAGGAGAGGAAGCGCAAGCAGAGGAAGCGCAAGCAGAGGAAGCACAAGCAGAGGAAGCGCAAGCAGAGGAGCACAAGCAGAGGAAGCGCAAGCAGAGGAAGCGCAAGCAGAGGAAGCACAAGCAGAGGAGCGCAGGCAGAGAAAGCGTAAGCAAAGGAAGAGCAAGCAGAAGAAGCACAAGCAGAGGAAGCGTAAGCAGAGGAAGCGCAAGAAGAGGAAGCGCAAGCAGAGGAAGCGCAAGCAGAGGAAGCGCAAGTAGAGGAAGCACAAGCAGAGGAAGCGCAAGCAAGAAGCACAAGCAGATGAAGCACAAGCAGAGGAGCGAAAGCGGAGGAAGCGCAAGCAGAGGAAGCACAAGCAGAGGAAGCGCAAGGAGAGGAAGCACAAGCAGAGGAAGCGCAAGCAGGGAAGCACAAGCAGAGGAAGTACAAGCACAGGAGCTCAAGCAAAGGAAGCGTAAGGAGAGCAAGCGCAAGCAGAGGAAGCACAAGCACAGGAAGCGCAAGAAGAGGAAGCACAAGCAGAGGAAGCAACAGCAGAGGAAGCGCAAGCAGAGGAAGCACAAGCAGAGGAAGCGCAAGTAGAAGAAGCACAAGCATAGGAAGCAGAAGCAAAGAAGCGCAAGCAGAGGAAGCACAAGCAGAGGAAGCACAAGCAGAGGAAGCGCAAGCAGAGGAAGCACAAGTAGAGGAAGCGGAAGCAGAGGAAGCACAAGCAGAGGAAGTGCAAGTAGAGGAAGCACAAGCAGAGGAAGCACAAGTAGAGGAGCGCAAGCAGAGGAAGCGCAAGCACAGGAAGCGCAAGCAGAGGAAGCACAAGCAGAGGAAGTGCACGCAGAGGAAGCGCAAGCGAAGGAGTCACAACCACAGGAAGCGCAAGCAGAGGAAGCGCAAGCAGAGGAAGAACAAGCAGAGGAAGCACAAGCAGAGGAAGCACAAGCAGAGGAAGCGCAAGCAGAGGAAGCACAAGCAGAGGAAGCGCAAGAAGAGGAAGCACAAGCAGAGGAAGCACAAGCAGAGGAAGCACAAGCAGAGGAGCGCAAGCAGAGGAAACGCAAGCAGAGGAAGCACAAGAAGAGGAAGCGCAAGCAGAGGAAGCATAAGCAGAGGAAGAACAAGCAAAGGAAGCGCAAGCAGAGGAAGCACAAGCAGAGGAAGCGCAAGAAGAGGGAGCACAAGCAGAGGAAGCACAAGCAGAGGAAGCACAAGCAGAGGAGCGCAAGCAGAGGAAGCGCAAGCAGAGGAAGCACACGCAGAGGAAGCGCAAGCAGAGGAAGCAATAGCAGAGGATGCGCAAGCAGAGGAAGCACAAGCAGAGGAAGCACAAGCAGAGGAGCGCAAGCAGAGGAAGCACAAGCAGAGGAAGCGCAAGAAGAGGAATCGCAAGCAGAGGAAGCGCAAGAAGCGGAAGCACAAGCAGACGAAGCAACAGCAGAGGAAGCGCAAGCAGAGGAAGCACAAGCAAAGGAAGCACAAGCAGAGGAAGCGCAAGCAGCGTAAGCACAAGTAGAGGAAGCGGAAGCAGAGGAAGCACAAGCAGAGGATGCGCAAGCATAGGAAGCACAAGCAGAGGAAGCACAAGCAGAGGAGCGCAAGCAGAGGAAGCGCAAGCTGAGGAAGCGCAAGAAGAGGAAGCACAAGCAGAGGAAGCGCAAGCAGAGGAAGCGGAAGCTGAGGAGTCACAACCAGAGGAACCGCAAGCAGAGGAAGCGCAAGTTGAGGAAGCACAAGCAGAGGAAGCACAAGCTGAGGAAGCACAAGCAGAGGAAGCGCAAGCAGAGGAAGCGCAAGCAGAGGAAGCGTGAGCAAAGGAAGCACAAGCAGAGGAAGCGCAAGCAGAGGAAGCACAAGCAGAGGAAGCGCAAGAAGAGGAAGCACAAGCAGAGGAAGCACAAGCAGAGGAAGCACAAGCAGAGGAGCGCAAGCAGAGGAAGCGCAAGCAAAGGAAGCACAAGAAGAGGAAGCGCAAGCGGAGGAAGCACAAGCAGAGGAAGCGCAAGCAGAGGAAGCATGAGCAGAGGAAGCACAAGAAGAGGAGCGCAAGCAAAGGAAGTGCAAGCAGAGGAAACGCAAAAAGAGGAAGCACAAGCAGAGGAAGCGCAAGTAGATGAAGCACAAGCAGAAGAAGCGCAGGCAGAGGAAGCGCAAGCAGAGGAAGCGCAAGAAGAGGAAGCACAAGCTATGGAAGCACAAGCAGAAGAAGCGCAAGCAGAGGAAGCACATGAAGAGGAAGCCCACTTCGAGGAAGCACAAGCAGAGGAAGCGCAAGCAGAGGAAGCACAAGCAGAGGAAGCGCAAGCAGAGGAAGCACAAGCAGACGAGGCACAAGCAGAGGAAGCACAAGCAGAGGAGCGCAAGCAGAGGAAGCGCAAGCAGAGGAAGCGCAAGCAGAGGAAGCGCAAGCAAAGGAAGCGCAAGCAGAGGAAGCGCAAGTAGAGGAAGCACAAGCAGAGGAAGCGCAAGTAGAGGAAGCACAAGCATAGGAAGCGCAAGCAGAGGAAGCGCAAGTAGAGGAAGCGCAAGCAGAGGAAGCGCAAGCAGAGGAAGCGCAAGTAGAGGAAGCACAAGTAGAGGAAGCGCAAGCAGAGGAAGCACCAGCAGAGGAAGCGCTAGCAGAGGAAGCACAAGCAGAGGAAGCACAAGCAGAGGAGCGCAAGCACAGGAAGCGCAAGCATAGGAAGCGCAAGAAGAGGAAGCGCAAGCAGAGGAAGCACAAGAAGAGGAAGCACAAGCAGAGGAAGCACAAGCAGAGGAAGCACAAGAAGAGGAAGCACAAGCAGAGGAAGCACAAGCGGAGGAAGCGCGAGCAGAGGAAGTGCAAGCAGAGGAAGCGTAAGCAGAGGAAGCACAAGCAGAGGAAGCGCAAGCAAAGGAAGCACAAGCAGAGGAAGCGTAAAAAGAGGGAGCACAAGCAGAGGAAGCACAAGCAGAGGAGCGCAAGCAGAGGAAGCGCAAGCAGAGGAAGCACAAGAAGAGGAAGCGCAAGCGGAGGAAGCACAACCAGAGGAAGCGCAAGCAGAGGAAGCACAAGCAGAGGAAGAACAAGAAGAGGAGCGCAAGCAGAGGAAGTGCAAGCAGAGGAAACGGAAGTAGAGGAAGCACAAGCAGAGGAAGCGCAAGTAGAGGAAGCACAAGCAGAAGAAGCACAAGCAGAGGAAGCGCAAGCAGAGGAAGCACAAGCAAGGAAGCACAAGTAGAGGAAGCGCAAGCAGAGGAAGCGTAAGCAGAGGAAGCACAAGCAGAGGAAGCACAAGGAGAGGAGCGCAAGCAGAGGAAGCGCAAGCAGAGGAAGCACAAGCGAAGGAAGCAAAAGCAGAGGAAGCACAAGTAGAGGAAGCGCAAGCAGAGGAAGCACAAGCAGAGGAAGCACAAGTAGAGGAAGCACATGCAGAGGAAGCACAAGCAGAGGAAGCACAAGCAGAGGAAGCACAAGTAGAGGAAGAACAAGCAAAGGAAGCGCAAGCTGAAGAAGCACAAGCAGAGGAAACGCAAGCAAAGGAAGCACAAGCAGAGAAAGCACAAGCAGAGGAAGCGCAAGCAGAGGAAGCACAAGCAGAGGAAGTGCAAGCAAAGGAAGCGCAAGCAGAGGAAGCACAAGCAGAGGTAGCACAAGAAGAGGAAGCGCAAGCAAAGGAAGCACCTTCAGAGGAAGCGCAAGCAGAGGAAGCGCAAGGAGTGGAAGCACAAGTAGAGGAAGCGCAAGCAGAGGAAGCGCAAGCAGAGGAAGCACAACCAGAGGAAGCGCAGGCAAAGGAAATGCAAGCAGAGGAAGCGCAAGCAGAGGAAGCACACGCAGAGGAAGCGCAAGCAGAGGAAGCACAAGCAGACGATGCGCAAGCAGAGGAAGCACAAGCAAAGGAAGCACAAGCAGAGGAGCGCAAGCAGAGGAAGCACAAGCAGAGGAAGCGCAAGCAGAGGAAGCGCAAGCAGAGGAAGCACAAGAAGAGGAAGCAACAGCAGAGGAAGCGCAAGCAGAGGAAGCACAAGCAGAGGAAGCGCAAGTAGAGGAAGCACAAGCATAGGAAACACAAGCAAAGAAGCGCAAGCAAAGGAAGCACAAGCAGAGGAAGCGCAAGCAAAGGAAATGCAAGCTGAGGAAGCGCAAGCAGAGGAAGCACACGCAGAGGAAGCGCAAGCAGAGGAAGCACAAGCAGACGATGCGCAAGCAGAGGAAGCACAAGCAAAGGAAGCACAAGCAGAGGAGCGCAAGCAGAGGAAGCACAAGCAGAGGAAGCGCAAGCAGAGGAAGCGCAAGCAGAGGAAGCGCAAGCAGAGGAAGCAACAGCAGAGGAAGCGCAAGCAGAGGAAGCACAAGCAGAGGAAGCGCAAGTAGAGGAAGCACAAGCATAGGAAACACAAGCAAAGAAGCGCAAGCAGAGGAAGCACAAGCAGAGGAAGCACAAGCAGAGGAAGCGCAAGCAGAGGAAGCACAAGTAGAGGAAGCGGAAGCAGAGGAAGCACAAGCAGAGGATGCGCAAGGAGAGGAAGCACAAGCAGAGGAAGCACAAGTAGAGGAGCGCAAGCAGAGGAAGCGCAAGCAGAGGAAGCGCAAGAAGAGGAAGCACAAGAAGAGGAAGCGCAAGCAGAGGAAGCGGAAGCTGAGGAGTCACAACCAGAGGAAGCGCAAGCAGAGGAAGCGCAAGTTGAGGAAGCACAAGCAGAGGAAGCACAAGCAGAGTAAGCACAAGCAGAGGAAGCGCGAGCAGAGGAAGCGCAAGCAAAGGAAGCGTAAGCAGAGGAAGCACAAGAAGAGGAAGCGCAAGCAGAGGAAGCACAAGCAGAGGAAGCGCAAAAAGAGGAAGCAGAAGCAGAGGAAGTGCAAGCAAAGGAAGCGCAAGAAGAGGAAGCACAAGCAGAGGTAGCACAAGAAGAGGAAGCGCAAGCAAAGGAAGCACCTTCAGAGGAAGCGCAAGCAGAGGAAGCGCAAGGAGTGGAAGCACAAGTAGAGGAAGCGCAAGCAGAGGAAGCGCAAGCAGAGGAAGCACAAGCAGAGGAAGCGCAAGCAAAGGAAATGCAAGCAGAGGAAGCGCAAGCAGAGGAAATACACACAGAGGAAGCGCAAGCAGAGGAAGCACAAGCAGACGATGCGCAAGCAGAGGAAGCACAAGCAAAGGAAGCACAAGCAGAGGAACGCAAGCAGAGGAAGCACAAGCAGAGGAAGCGCAAGCAGAGGAAGCGCAAGCAGAGGAAGCACAAGAAGAGGAAGCAACAGCAGAGGAAGCGCAAGCAGAGGAAGCACAAGCAGAGGAAGCGCAAGTAGAGGAAGCACAAGCATAGGAAACACAAGCAAAGAAGCGCAAGCAGAGGAAGCACAAGCAGAGGAAGCGCAAGCAAAGGAAATGCAAGCAGAGGAAGCGCAAGCAGAGGAAGCACACGCAGAGGAAGCGCAAGCAGAGGAAGCACAAGCAGACGATGCGCAAGCAGAGGAAGCACAAGCAAAGGAAGCACAAGCAGAGGAGCGCAAGCAGAGGAAGCACAAGCAGAGGAAGCGCAAGCAGAGGAAGCGCAAGCAGAGGAAGCGCAAGCAGAGGAAGCAACAGCAGAGGAAGCGCAAGCAGAGGAAGCACAAGCAGAGGAAGCGCAAGTAGAGGAAGCACAAGCATAGGAAACACAAGCAAAGAAGCGCAAGCAGAGGAAGCACAAGCAGAGGAAGCACAAGCAGAGGAAGCGCAAGCAGAGGAAGCACAAGTAGAGGAAGCGGAAGCAGAGGAAGCACAAGCAGAGGATGCGCAAGGAGAGGAAGCACAAGCAGAGGAAGCACAAGTAGAGGAGCGCAAGCAGAGGAAGCGCAAGCAGAGGAAGCGCAAGAAGAGGAAGCACAAGAAGAGGAAGCGCAAGCAGAGGAAGCGGAAGCTGAGGAGTCACAACCAGAGGAAGCGCAAGCAGAGGAAGCGCAAGTTGAGGAAGCACAAGCAGAGGAAGCACAAGCAGAGTAAGCACAAGCAGAGGAAGCGCGAGCAGAGGAAGCGCAAGCAGAGGAAGCGTAAGCAGAGGAAGCACAAGAAGAGGAAGCGCAAGCAGAGGAAGCACAAGCAGAGGAAGCGCAAGAAGAGGAAGCACAAGTAGAGGAAGCACAAGCAGAGGAAGCACAAGCAGAGGAGCGCAAGCAGAGGAAGCGCAAGCAAAGGAAGCACAAGAAGAGGAAGAGCAAGCGGAGGAAGCAAAAGCAGAGGAAGCGCAAGCAGAGGAAGCATAAGCAGAGGAAGCACAAGCAGAGGAGCGCAAGCAGAGGAAGTGCAAGCATTGGAAATGCAAAAAGAGGAAGCACAAGCAGAGGAAGCGCAAGTAGATGAAGCACAAGCAGAAGAAGCGCAAGTAGAGGAAGCGCAAGCAGAGGAAGCACAAGCAGAGGAAGCACAAGCTATGGAAGCACAAGCAGAAGAAGCGCAAGCAGAGGAAGCACATGAAGAAGAAGCCCATTTCGAGGAAGCACAAGCAGAGGAAGCACAAGCAGAGGAAGTGCAAGCAGAGGAAGCACAAGCAGAGGAAGCGCAAGCAGAGCAAGCACAAGTAGAGGAGGCACAAGCAGAGGAAGCACAAGCAGAGGAGCGCAAGTAGAGGAAGCGCAAGCAGAGGAAGCGCAAGCACAGGAAGCGCAAGCAAACGAAGCGCAAGCAGAGGAAGCGCAAGTAGAGGAAGCACAAGCAGAGGAAGCGCAAGTAGAGGAAGCACAAGCATAGGAAGCGCAAGCAGAGGAAGCGCAAGTAGAGGAAGCGCAAGCAGAGGAAGCGCAAGTAGAGGAAGCACAAGTAGAGGAAGCGCAAGCAGAGGAAGCACAAGCAGAGGAAGCGCTAGCAGAGGAAGCACAAGCAGAGGAAGCACAAGCAGAGGAGCGCAAGCACAGGAAGCGCAAGCATAGGAAGCGCAAGAAGAGGAAGCGCAAGCAGAGGAAGCACAAGCAGAGGAAGCACAAGCGGAGGAAGCACAAGTAGAGGCAGCACAAGCAGAGGAAGCCCAAGCAAAGGAAGCGCAAGCAGAGGAGCGCAAGCAGAGGAAGCACAAGCAGAGGAAGCACGAGCAGAGGAAGCACAAGCAGAGGAAGCACAAGCAGAGGAAGCCAAAGCAAAGGAAGCGCAAGCAGAGGAGCGCAAGCAGAGGAAGCGCAAGAAGAGGAAGCACAAGCAGAGGAAGCACAAGTAGAGGAAGCACAAGTAGAGGAAGCACAAGCATAGGAAGCACAAGCATAGGAAGCACAAGCAGAGGAAGCAAAAGCATAGGAAGCACAAGCAGAGGTAGCGAAAGCAGAGGAAGCGCAAGCAGAGGAAGCACAAGCAGAGGAAGCGGAAGCAGACGAAGCACAAGCAGAGGAAGCGCAAGCAGAAGAAGCACAAGCACAGGAAGCGCAAGTAGAGGAAGCACAAGCACAGGAAGCCCATTTAGATGAGCCCAAGCAGAGGAGGCGCAAGCAGAGGAAGCGCAAGCAGAGGAAGCGCAAGCAGAGGAAGCGCAAGCAGAGGAAGCGCAAGCAGAGGAAGCGCAAGCACAGGAAGCACAAGTAGAGGAAGTGCAAGCAGAGGAAGCACAAGCAGAGGAAGCATAAGCAGAGGAAGCACAAGCAGAGGAAGCGCATGCAGAGGAAGTGCAAGCAGAGGAAGTGCAAGAAGAGGAAGCACAAGCAGAGGAGGCGCAAGCACAGGAAGCACAAGCAGAGAAAGCGCAAGCAGAGGAAGCACAAGCAGAGGAAGCGCAAGCAGAGGAAGCGCAAGCAGAGGAAGCACAAGCACAGGAAGCACAAGCAGAGGAAGCGCAAGCAGAGGAAGCGCAAGCAAAGGAAGCGCAAGCAGAGGACGCGCAAGGAGAGGAAGCGCAAGCAGAGGAAGCGCAAGCAGAGGAAGCACAAGCACAGGAAGCACAAGCAGAGGAGCGCAGGCAGAGAAAGCGTAAGCAAAGGAAGAGTAAGCAGAGGAAGCACAAGCAGAGGAAGCGGAAGCAGAGGAAGCGCAAGAAGAGGAAGCGCAAGCAGAGGAAGCGCAAGCAGAGGAAGCGCAAGTAGAGGAAGCACAAGCAGAGGAGCGAAAGCAGAGGAAGCGCAAGCAGAGGAAGCACAAGCAGATGAAGCACAAGCAGAGGAGCGAAAGCAGAGGAAGCGCAAGCAGAGGAAGCACAAGCAGAGGAAGCGCAAGGAGAGGAAGCACAAGCAGAGGAAGCGCAAGCAGGGGAAGCACAAGCAGAGGAAGTACAAGCTCAGGAGCTTAAGCAAAGGAAGCGTAAGGAGAGCAAGCGCAAGCAGAGGAAGCACAAGCACAGGAAGCGCAAGAAGAGGAAGCACAAGCAGAGGAAGCAACAGCAGAGGAAGCGCAAGCAGAGGAAGCACAAGCAGAGGAATCGCAAGTAGAAGAAGCACAAGCATAGGAAGCAGAAGCAAAGAAGCGCAAGCAGAGGAAGCACAAGCAGAGGAAGCACAAGCAGAGGAAGCGCAAGCAGAGGAAGCACAAGTAGAGGAAGCGAAAGCAGAGGAAGCACAAGCAGAGGAAGTGCAAGCAGAGGAAGCACAAGCAGAGGAAGCACAAGTAGAGGAGCGCAAGCAGAGGAAGCGCAAGCACAGGAAGCGCAAGCAGAGGAAGCACAAGCAGAGGAAGTGCACGCAGAGGAAGCGCAAGCTGAGGAGTCACAACCACAGGAAGCGCAAGCAGAGGAAGCGCAAGCAGAGGAAGAACAAGCAGAGGAAGCACAAGCAGAGGAAGCACAAGCAGAGGAAGCGCAAGCAGAGGAAGCACAAGCAGAGGAAGCGCAAGAAGAGGAAGCACAAGCAGAGGAAGCACAAGCAGAGGAAGCACAAGCAGAGGAGCGCAAGCAGAGGAAACGCAAGCAGAGGAAGCACAAGAAGAGGAAGCGCAAGCAGAGGAAGCATAAGCAGAGGAAGAACAAGCAAAGGAAGCGCAAGCAGAGGAAGCACAAGCAGAGGAAGCGCAAGAAGAGGAAGCACAAGCAGAGGAAGCACAAGCAGAGGAAGCACAAGCAGAGGAGCGCAAGCAGAGGAAGCGCAAGCAGAGGAAGCACACGCAGAGGAAGCGCAAGCAGAGGAAGCAATAGCAGAGCTTGCGCAAGCAGAGGAAGCACAAGCAGAGGAAGCACAAGCAGAGGAGCGCAAGCAGAGGAAGCACAAGCAAAGGAAGCGCAAGCAGAGGAATCGCAAGCAGAGGAAGCGCAAGAAGCGGAAGCACAAGCAGACGAAGCAACAGCAGAGGAAGCGCAAGCAGAGGAAGCGCAAGAAGAGGAAGCACAAGCAGAGGAAGCACAAGAAGAGGAAGCACAAGTAGAGGAAGCACAAGCATAGGAAGCACAAGCAGAGGAAGCACAAGCATAGGAAGCACAAGCAGAGGTAGCGAAAGCAGAGGAAGCGCAAGCAGAGGAAGCACAAGCAGAGGAAGCGGAAGCAGACGAAGCACAAGCAAAGGAAGCGCAAGCAGAAGAAGCACAAGAAGAGGAAGCGCAAGTAGAGGAAGCACAAGCACAGGAAGCCCATTTAGAGGAGCCCAAGCAGAGGAGGCGCAAGCAGAGGAAGCGCAAGCAGAGGAAGCGCAAGCAGAGGAAGCGCAAGCAGAGGAAGCGCAAGCAGAGGAAGCGCAAGCAGAGGAAGCACAAGTAGAGGAAGCGCAAGCAGAGGAAGCACAAGCAGAGGAAGCATAAGCAGAGGAAGCACAAGCAGAGGAAGCGCATGCAGAGGAAGTGCAAGCAGAGGAAGTGCAAGAAGAGGAAGCACAAGCAGAGGAGGCGCAAGCACAGGAAGCGCAAGCAGAGGAAGCGCAAGGAGAGGAAGCGCAAGCAGAGGAAGCGCAAGCAGAGGAAGCACAAGCACAGGAAGCACAAGCAGAGGAAGCGCAAGCAGAGGAAGCGCAAGCAAAGGAAGCGCAAGCAGAGGAAGCGCAAGGAGAGGAAGCGCAAGCAGAGGAAGCGCAAGCAGAGGAAGCACAAGCACAGGAAGCACAAGCAGAGGAGCGCAGGCAGAGAAAGCGTAAGCAAAGGAAGAGCAAGCAGAAGAAGCACAAGCAGAGGAAGCGTAAGCAGAGGAAGCGCAAGAAGAGGAAGCGCAAGCAGAGGAAGCGCAAGCAGAGGAAGCGCAAGTAGAGGAAGCACAAGCAGAGGAAGCGCAAGCAGAGGAAGCACAAGCAAGAAGCACAAGCAGATGAAGCACAAGCAGAGGAGCGAAAGCAGAGGAAGCGCAAGCAGAGGAAGCACAAGCAGAGGAAGCGCAAGGAGAGGAAGCACAAGCAGAGGAAGCGCAAGCAGGGGAAGCACAAGCAGAGGAAGTACAAGCACAGGAGCTCAAGCAAAGGAAGCGTAAGGAGAGCAAGCGCAAGCAGAGGAAGCACAAGCACAGGAAGCGCAAGAAGAGGAAGCACAAGCAGAGGAAGCAACAGCAGAGGAAGCGCAAGCAGAGGAAGCACAAGCAGAGGAAGCGCAAGTAGAAGAAGCACAAGCATAGGAAGCAGAAGCAAAGAAGCGCAAGCAGAGGAAGCACAAGCAGAGGAAGCACAAGCAGAGGAAGCGCAAGCAGAGGAAGCACAAGTAGAGGAAGCGGAAGCAGAGGAAGCACAAGCAGAGGAAGTGCAAGCAGAGGAAGCACAAGCAGAGGAAGCACAAGTAGAGGAGCGCAAGCAGAGGAAGCGCAAGCACAGGAAGCGCAAGCAGAGGAAGCACAAGCAGAGGAAGTGCACGCAGAGGAAGCGCAAGCTGAGGAGTCACAACCACAGGAAGCGCAAGCAGAGGAAGCGCAAGCAGAGGAAGAACAAGCAGAGGAAGCACAAGCAGAGGAAGCACAAGCAGAGGAAGCGCAAGCAGAGGAAGCACAAGCAGAGGAAGCGCAAGAAGAGGAAGCACAAGCAGAGGAAGCACAAGCAGAGGAAGCACAAGCAGAGGAGCGCAAGCAGAGGAAACGCAAGCAGAGGAAGCACAAGAAGAGGAAGCGCAAGCAGAGGAAGCATAAGCAGAGGAAGAACAAGCAAAGGAAGCGCAAGCAGAGGAAGCACAAGCAGAGGAAGCGCAAGAAGAGGGAGCACAAGCAGAGGAAGCACAAGCAGAGGAAGCACAAGCAGAGGAGCGCAAGCAGAGGAAGCGCAAGCAGAGGAAGCACACGCAGAGGAAGCGCAAGCAGAGGAAGCAATAGCAGAGGATGCGCAAGCAGAGGAAGCACAAGCAGAGGAAGCACAAGCAGAGGAGCGCAAGCAGAGGAAGCACAAGCCGAGGAAGCGCAAGAAGAGGAATCGCAAGCAGAGGAAGCGCAAGAAGCGGAAGCACAAGCAGACGAAGCAACAGCAGAGGAAGCGCAAGCAGAGGAAGCACAAGCAAAGGAAGCACAAGCAGAGGAAGCGCAAGCAGAGTAAGCACAAGTAGAGGAAGCGGAAGCAGAGGAAGCACAAGCAGAGGATGCGCAAGCAGAGGAAGCACAAGCAGAGGAAGCACAAGCAGAGGAGCGCAAGTAGAGGAAGCGCAAGCTGAGGAAGCGCAAGAAGAGGAAGCACAAGCAGAGGAAGCGCAAGCAGAGGAAGCGGAAGCTGAGGAGTCACAACCAGAGGAACCGCAAGCAGAGGAAGCGCAAGTTGAGGAAGCACAAGCAGAGGAAGCACAAGCTGAGGAAGCACAAGCAGAGGAAGCGCAAGCAGAGGAAGCGCAAGCAGAGGAAGCGTGAGCAAAGGAAGCACAAGCAGAGGAAGCGCAAGCAGAGGAAGCACAAGCAGAGGAAGCGCAAGAAGAGGAAGCACAAGCAGAGGAAGCACAAGCAGAGGAAGCACAAGCAGAGGAGCGCAAGCAGAGGAAGCGCAAGCAAAGGAAGCACAAGAAGAGGAAGCGCAAGAGGAGGAAGCACAAGCAGAGGAAGCGCAAGCAGAGGAAGCATGAGCAGAGGAAGCACAAGAAGAGGAGCGCAAGCAAAGGAAGTGCAAGCAGAGGAAACGCAAAAAGAGGAAGCACAAGCAGAGGAAGCGCAAGTAGATGAAGCACAAGCAGAAGAAGCGCAGGCAGAGGAAGCGCAAGCAGAGGAAGCGGAAGAAGAGGAAGCACAAGCTATGGAAGCACAAGCAGAAGAAGCGCAAGCAGAGGAAGCACATGAAGAGGAAGCCCACTTCGAGGAAGCACAAGCAGAGGAAGCGCAAGCAGAGGAAGCACAAGCAGAGGAAGCGCAAGCAGAGGAAGCACAAGCAGAGGAAGCGCAAGAAGAGGAAGCACAAGCAGAGGAAGCACAAGCAGAGGTAGCACAAGAAGAGGAAGCGCAAGCAAAGGAAGCACCTTCAGAGGAAGCGCAAGCAGAGGAAGCGCAAGGAGTGGAAGCACAAGTAGAGGAAGCGCAAGCAGAGGAAGCGCAAGCAGAGGAAGCACAAGCAGAGGAAGCGCAAGCAAAGGAAATGCAAGCAGAGGAAGCGCAAGCAGAGGAAGCACACACAGAGGAAGCGCAAGCAGAGGAAGCACAAGCAGACGATGCGCAAGCAGAGGAAGCACAAGCAAAGGAAGCACAAGCAGAGGAGCGCAAGCAGAGGAAGCACAAGCAGAGGAAGCGCAAGCAGAGGAAGCGCAAGCAGAGGAAGCACAAGAAGAGGAAGCAACAGCAGAGGAAGCGCAAGCAGAGGAAGCACAAGCAGAGGAAGCGCAAGTAGAGGAAGCACAAGCATAGGAAACACAAGCAAAGAAGCGCAAGCAGAGGAAGCACAAGCAGAGGAAGCGCAAGCAAAGGAAATGCAAGCAGAGGAAGCGCAAGCAGAGGAAGCACACGCAGAGGAAGCGCAAGCAGAGGAAGCACAAGCAGACGATGCGCAAGCAGAGGAAGCACAAGCAAAGGAAGCACAAGCAGAGGAGCGCAAGCAGAGGAAGCACAAGCAGAGGAAGCGCAAGCAGAGGAAGCGCAAGCAGAGGAAGCGCAAGCAGAGGAAGCAACAGCAGAGGAAGCGCAAGCAGAGGAAGCACAAGCAGAGGAAGCGCAAGTAGAGGAAGCACAAGCATAGGAAACACAAGCAAAGAAGCGCAAGCAGAGGAAGCACAAGCAGAGGAAGCACAAGCAGAGGAAGCGCAAGCAGAGGAAGCACAAGTAGAGGAAGCGGAAGCAGAGGAAGCACAAGCAGAGGATGCGCAAGGAGAGGAAGCACAAGCAGAGGAAGCACAAGTAGAGGAGCGCAAGCAGAGGAAGCGCAAGCAGAGGAAGCGCAAGAAGAGGAAGCACAAGAAGAGGAAGCGCAAGCAGAGGAAGCGGAAGCTGAGGAGTCACAACCAGAGGAAGCGCAAGCAGAGGAAGCGCAAGTTGAGGAAGCACAAGCAGAGGAAGCACAAGCAGAGTAAGCACAAGCAGAGGAAGCGCGAGCAGAGGAAGCGCAAGCAGAGGAAGCGTAAGCAGAGGAAGCACAAGAAGAGGAAGCGCAAGCAGAGGAAGCACAAGCAGAGGAAGCGCAAGAAGAGGAAGCACAAGTAGAGGAAGCACAAGCAGAGGAAGCACAAGCAGAGGAGCGCAAGCAGAGGAAGCGCAAGCAAAGGAAGCACAAGAAGAGGAAGAGCGAGCGGAGGAAGCAAAAGCAGAGGAAGCGCAAGCAGAGGAAGCATAAGCAGAGGAAGCACAAGCAGAGGAGCGCAAGCAGAGGAAGTGCAAGCATTGGAAATGCAAAAAGAGGAAGCACAAGCAGAGGAAGCGCAAGTAGATGAAGCACAAGCAGAAGAAGCGCAAGTAGAGGAAGCGCAAGCAGAGGAAGCACAAGCAGAGGAAGCACAAGCTATGGAAGCACAAGCAGAAGAAGCGCAAGCAGAGGAAGCACATGAAGAGGAAGCCCATTTCGAGGAAGCACAAGCAGAGGAAGCACAAGCAGAGGAAGTGCAAGCAGATGAAGCACAAGCAGAGGAAGCGCAAGCAGAGCAAGCACAAGCAGAGGAGGCACAAGCAGAGGAAGCACAAGCAGAGGAGCGCAAGTAGAGGAAGCGCAAGCAGAGGAAGCGCAAGCACAGGAAGCGCAAGCAAACGAAGCGCAAGCAGAGGAAGCGCAAGTAGAGGAAGCACAAGCAGAGGAAGCGCAAGTAGAGGAAGCACAAGCATAGGAAGCGCAAGCAGAGGAAGCGCAAGTAGAGGAAGCGCAAGCAGAGGAAGCGCAAGCAGAGGAAGCGCAAGTAGAGGAAGCACAAGTAGAGGAAGCGCAAGCAGAGGAAGCACAAGCAGAGGAAGCGCTAGCAGAGGAAGCACAAGCAGAGGAAGCACAAGCAGAGGAGCGCAAGCACAGGAAGCGCAAGCATAGGAAGCGCAAGAAGAGGAAGCGCAAGCAGAGGAAGCACAAGCAGAGGAAGCACAAGCGGAGGAAGCACAAGTAGAGGCAGCACAAGCAGAGGAAGCCCAAGCAAAGGAAGCGCAAGCAGAGGAGCGCAAGCAGAGGAAGCACAAGCAGAGGAAGCACGAGCAGAGGAAGCACAAGCAGAGGAAGCACAAGCAGAGGAAGCCAAAGCAAAGGAAGCGCAAGCAGAGGAGCGCAAGCAGAGGAAGCGCAAGAAGAGGAAGCACAAGCAGAGGAAGCACAAGTAGAGGAAGCACAAGTAGAGGAAGCACAAGCATAGGAAGCACAAGCAGAGGAAGCAAAAGCATAGGAAGCACAAGCAGAGGTAGCGAAAGCAGAGGAAGCGCAAGCAGAGGAAGCACAAGCAGAGGAAGCGGAAGCAGACGAAGCACAAGCAGAGGAAGCGCAAGCAGAAGAAGCACAAGCAGAGGAAGCGCAAGTAGAGGAAGCACAAGCACAGGAAGCCCATTTAGAGGAGCCCAAGCAGAGGAGGCGCAAGCAGAGGAAGCGCAAGCAGAGGAAGCGCAAGCAGAGGAAGCGCAAGCAGAGGAAGCGCAAGCAGAGGAAGCGCAAGCAGAGGAAGCACAAGTAGAGGAAGCGCAAGCAGAGGAAGCACAAGCAGAGGAAGCATAAGCAGAGGAAGCACAAGCAGAGGAAGCGCATGCAGAGGAAGTGCAAGCAGAGGAAGTGCAAGAAGAGGAAGCACAAGCAGAGGAGGCGCAAGCACAGGAAGCACAAGCAGAGAAAGCGCAAGCAGAGGAAGCACAAGCAGAGGAAGCGCAAGCAGAGGAAGCGCAAGCAGAGGAAGCACAAGCACAGGAAGCACAAGCAGAGGAAGCGCAAGCAGAGGAAGCGCAAGCAAAGGAAGCGCAAGCAGAGGAAGCGCAAGGAGAGGAAGCGCAAGCAGAGGAAGCGCAAGCAGAGGAAGCACAAGCACAGGAAGCACAAGCAGAGGAGCGCAGGCAGAGAAAGCGTAAGCAAAGGAAGAGTAAGCAGAGGAAGCACAAGCAGAGGAAGCGGAAGCAGAGGAAGCGCAAGAAGAGGAAGCGCAAGCAGAGGAAGCGCAAGCAGAGGAAGCGCAAGTAGAGGAAGCACAAGCAGAGGAAGCGCAAGCAGAGGAAGCACAAGCAAGAAGCACAAGCAGATGAAGCACAAGCAGAGGAGCGAAAGCAGAGGAAGCGCAAGCAGAGGAAGCACAAGCAGAGGAAGCGCAAGGAGAGGAAGCACAAGCAGAGGAAGCGCAAGCAGGGGAAGCACAAGCAGAGGAAGTACAAGCTCAGGAGCTTAAGCAAAGGAAGCGTAAGGAGAGCAAGCGCAAGCAGAGGAAGCACAAGCACAGGAAGCGCAAGAAGAGGAAGCACAAGCAGAGGAAGCAACAGCAGAGGAAGCGCAAGCAGAGGAAGCACAAGCAGAGGAATCGCAAGTAGAAGAAGCACAAGCATAGGAAGCAGAAGCAAAGAAGCGCAAGCAGAGGAAGCACAAGCAGAGGAAGCACAAGCAGAGGAAGCGCAAGCAGAGGAAGCACAAGTAGAGGAAGCGGAAGCAGAGGAAGCACAAGCAGAGGAAGTGCAAGCAGAGGAAGCACAAGCAGAGGAAGCACAAGTAGAGGAGCGCAAGCAGAGGAAGCGCAAGCACAGGAAGCGCAAGCAGAGGAAGCACAAGCAGAGGAAGTGCACGCAGAGGAAGCGCAAGCTGAGGAGTCACAACCACAGGAAGCGCAAGCAGAGGAAGCGCAAGCAGAGGAAGAACAAGCAGAGGAAGCACAAGCAGAGGAAGCACAAGCAGAGGAAGCGCAAGCAGAGGAAGCACAAGCAGAGGAAGCGCAAGAAGAGGAAGCACAAGCAGAGGAAGCACAAGCAGAGGAAGCACAAGCAGAGGAGCGCAAGCAGAGGAAACGCAAGCAGAGGAAGCACAAGAAGAGGAAGCGCAAGCAGAGGAAGCATAAGCAGAGGAAGAACAAGCAAAGGAAGCGCAAGCAGAGGAAGCACAAGCAGAGGAAGCGCAAGAAGAGGAAGCACAAGCAGAGGAAGCACAAGCAGAGGAAGCACAAGCAGAGGAGCGCAAGCAGAGGAAGCGCAAGCAGAGGAAGCACACGCAGAGGAAGCGCAAGCAGAGGAAGCAATAGCAGAGCTTGCGCAAGCAGAGGAAGCACAAGCAGAGGAAGCACAAGCAGAGGAGCGCAAGCAGAGGAAGCACAAGCAAAGGAAGCGCAAGCAGAGGAATCGCAAGCAGAGGAAGCGCAAGAAGCGGAAGCACAAGCAGACGAAGCAACAGCAGAGGAAGCGCAAGCAGAGGAAGCGCAAGAAGAGGAAGCACAAGCAGAGGAAGCACAAGAAGAGGAAGCACAAGTAAGGGAAGCACAAGCATAGGAAGCACAAGCAGAGGAAGCACAAGCATAGGAAGCACAAGCAGAGGTAGCGAAAGCAGAGGAAGCGCAAGCAGAGGAAGCACAAGCAGAGGAAGCGGAAGCAGACGAAGCACAAGCAAAGGAAGCGCAAGCAGAAGAAGCACAAGCAGAGGAAGCGCAAGTAGAGGAAGCACAAGCACAGGAAGCCCATTTAGAGGAGCCCAAGCAGAGGAGGCGCAAGCAGAGGAAGCGCAAGCAGAGGAAGCGCAAGCAGAGGAAGCGCAAGCAGAGGAAGCGCAAGCAGAGGAAGCGCAAGCAGAGGAAGCACAAGTAGAGGAAGCGCAAGCAGAGGAAGCACAAGCAGAGGAAGCATAAGCAGAGGAAGCACAAGCAGAGGAAGCGCATGCAGAGGAAGTGCAAGCAGAGGAAGTGCAAGAAGAGGAAGCACAAGCAGAGGAGGCGCAAGCACAGGAAGCGCAAGCAGAGGAAGCGCAAGGAGAGGAAGCGCAAGCAGAGGAAGCGCAAGCAGAGGAAGCACAAGCACAGGAAGCACAAGCAGAGGAAGCGCAAGCAAAGGAAGCGCAAGCAGAGGAAGCGCAAGGAGAGGAAGCGCAAGCAGAGGAAGCGCAAGCAGAGGAAGCACAAGCACAGGAAGCACAAGCAGAGGAGCGCAGGCAAAGATAGCGTAAGCAAAGGAAGAGCAAGCAGAAGAAGCACAAGCAGAGGAAGCGTAAGCAGAGGAAGCGCAAGAAGAGGAAGCGCAAGCAGAGGAAGCGCAAGCAGAGGAAGCGCAAGTAGAGGAAGCACAAGCAGAGGAAGCGCAAGCAGAGGAAGCACAAGCAAGAAGCACAAGCAGATGAAGCACAAGCAGAGGAGCGAAAGCAGAGGAAGCGCAAGCAGAGGAAGCACAAGCAGAGGAAGCGCAAGGAGAGGAAGCACAAGCAGAGGAAGCGCAAGCAGGGGAAGCACAAGCAGAGGAAGTACAAGCACAGGAGCTCAAGCAAAGGAAGCGTAAGGAGAGCAAGCGCAAGCAGAGGAAGCACAAGCACAGGAAGCGCAAGAAGAGGAAGCACAAGCAGAGGAAGCAACAGCAGAGGAAGCGCAAGCAGAGGAAGCACAAGCAGAGGAAGCGCAAGTAGAAGAAGCACAAGCATAGGAAGCAGAAGCAAAGAAGCGCAAGCAGAGGAAGCACAAGCAGAGGAAGCACAAGCAGAGGAAGCGCAAGCAGAGGAAGCACAAGTAGAGGAAGCGGAAGCAGAGGAAGCACAAGCAGAGGAAGTGCAAGCAGAGGAAGCACAAGCAGAGGAAGCACAAGTAGAGGAGCGCAAGCAGAGGAAGCGCAAGCACAGGAAGCGCAAGCAGAGGAAGCACAAGCAGAGGAAGCGCAAGAAGAGGAAGCACAAGCAGAGGAAGCACAAGCAGAGGAAGCACAAGCAGAGGAGCGCAAGCAGAGGAAACGCAAGCAGAGGAAGCACAAGAAGAGGAAGCGCAAGCAGAGGAAGCATAAGCAGAGGAAGAACAAGCAAAGGAAGCGCAAGCAGAGGAAGCACAAGCAGAGGAAGCGCAAGAAGAGGGAGCACAAGCAGAGGAAGCACAAGCAGAGGAAGCACAAGCAGAGGAGCGCAAGCAGAGGAAGCGCAAGCAGAGGAAGCACACGCAGAGGAAGCGCAAGCAGAGGAAGCAATAGCAGAGGATGCGCAAGCAGAGGAAGCACAAGCAGAGGAAGCACAAGCAGAGGAGCGCAAGCAGAGGAAGCACAAGCCGAGGAAGCGCAAGAAGAGGAATCGCAAGCAGAGGAAGCGCAAGAAGCGGAAGCACAAGCAGACGAAGCAACAGCAGAGGAAGCGCAAGCAGAGGAAGCACAAGCAAAGGAAGCACAAGCAGAGGAAGCGCAAGCAGAGTAAGCACAAGTAGAGGAAGCGGAAGCAGAGGAAGCACAAGCAGAGGATGCGCAAGCAGAGGAAGCACAAGCAGAGGAAGCACAAGCAGAGGAGCGCAAGTAGAGGAAGCGCAAGCTGAGGAAGCGCAAGAAGAGGAAGCACAAGCAGAGGAAGCGCAAGCAGAGGAAGCGGAAGCTGAGGAGTCACAACCAGAGGAACCGCAAGCAGAGGAAGCGCAAGTTGAGGAAGCACAAGCAGAGGAAGCACAAGCTGAGGAAGCACAAGCAGAGGAAGCGCAAGCAGAGGAAGCGCAAGCAGAGGAAGCGTGAGCAAAGGAAGCACAAGCAGAGGAAGCGCAAGCAGAGGAAGCACAAGCAGAGGAAGCGCAAGAAGAGGAAGCACAAGCAGAGGAAGCACAAGCAGAGGAAGCACAAGCAGAGGAGCGCAAGCAGAGGAAGCGCAAGCAAAGGAAGCACAAGAAGAGGAAGCGCAAGCGGAGGAAGCACAAGCAGAGGAAGCGCAAGCAGAGGAAGCATGAGCAGAGGAAGCACAAGAAGAGGAGCGCAAGCAAAGGAAGTGCAAGCAGAGGAAACGCAAAAAGAGGAAGCACAAGCAGAGGAAGCGCAAGTAGATGAAGCACAAGCAGAAGAAGCGCAGGCAGAGGAAGCGCAAGCAGAGGAAGCGGAAGAAGAGGAAGCACAAGCTATGGAAGCACAAGCAGAAGAAGCGCAAGCAGAGGAAGCACATGAAGAGGAAGCCCACTTCGAGGAAGCACAAGCAGAGGAAGCGCAAGCAGAGGAAGCACAAGCAGAGGAAGCGCAAGCAGAGGAAGCACAAGCAGACGAGGCACAAGCAGAGGAAGCACAAGCAGAGGAGCGCAAGCAGAGGAAGCGCAAGCAGAGGAAGCGCAAGCAGAGGAAGCGCAAGCAAAGGAAGCGCAAGCAGAGGAAGCGCAAGTAGAGGAAGCACAAGCAGAGGAAGCGCAAGTAGAGGAAGCACAAGCATAGGAAGCGCAAGCAGAGGAAGCGCAAGTAGAGGAAGCGCAAGCAGAGGAAGCGCAAGCAGAGGAAGCGCAAGTAGAGGAAGCACAAGTAGAGGAAGCGCAAGCAGAGGAAGCACCAGCAGAGGAAGCGCTAGCAGAGGAAGCACAAGCAGAGGAAGCACAAGCATAGGAGCTCAAGCAGAGGAAGCGCAAGCAGAGGAAGCACAAGCAGAGGAAGCGCAAGGAGAGGAAGCACAAGCAGAGGAAGCACAAGCAGAGGAAGCGCAAGCAGGGGAAGCACAAGCAAAGGAAGTACAAGCAGAGGAGCTCAAGCAGAGGAAGCGTAAGCAAAGGCAGAGCAAGCAGAGGAAGCACAAGCAGAGGAAGCGTAAGGAGAGCAAGCGCAAGTAGAGGAAGCACAAGCACATGAAGCGCAAGAAGAGGAAGCACAAGCAGAGGAAGCAACAGCAGAGGAAGCGCAAGCAGAGGAAGCACAAGCAGAGGAAGCGCAAGTAGGGGAAGCACAAGCATAGGAAGCACAAGCAGAAGAAGCACAAGCAGAGGAAGCACAAGTAGAGGAAGCGCGAGCAAAGGAAGCGTAAGCAGAGGAAGCGTAAGGAGAGGAAGCACAAGCAGAGGAAGCGCAAGCAGAGGAAGCAATAGCAGAGGAAGCGCAAGAAGAGGAAGCACAAGCAGAGGATGCACAAGCAGAGGAAGCACAAGCAGAGGAAGCACAAGCAGAGGAGCACAAGCAGAGGAAGCGCAAGCAGAGGAAGCGCAAGCAAAGGAAGCGCAAGCAGAGGATGCGCAAGCAGAGGAAGCGCAAGTAGAGGAAGCGCAAGTAGAGGAAGCGCAAGCAGAGGAGTCACAACCAGAGGAAGCGCAAGCAGAGGAAGCGCAAGCAGAGGAAGCACAAGAAAAGGAAGCACAAGCAGAGGAAGCGCAAGCAGAGGAAGCACAAGCAGAGGAAGCGCAAGCAGAGGAAGCACAAGAAGAGGAGCGCAAGCAGAGGAAGTGCAAGCAGAGGAAACGCAAGCAGAGGAAGCACAAGCAGAGGAAGCGCAAGTAGAGGAAGCACAAGCAGAAGAAGCACAAGCAGAGGAAGCGCAAGCAGAGGAAGCACAAGCAAGGAAGCACAAGTAGAGGAAGCGCAAGCAGAGGAAGCGCTAGCAGAGAAAGCACAAGCAGAGGAAGCTCAAGGAGAGGAGCGCAAGCAGAGGAAACGCAAGCAGAGGAAGCACAAGCAGAGGAAGCACAAGAAGAGGAAGCACAAGCAGAGGAAGCGCAAGCAGAGGAAGCACAAGTAGAGGAAGCACAAGTAGAGGAAGCACATGCAGAGGAAGCACAAGCAGAGGAAGCACAAGCAGAGGAAGCACAAGCAGAGGAAGAACAAGCAAAGGAAGCGCAAGCTGAAGAAGCACAAGCAGAGTCAACGCAAGCAAAGGAAGCACAAGCAGAGGAAGCACAAGCAGAGGAAGCTCAAGCAGAGGAAGCACAAGCAGAGGAAGCTCAAGCGGCGGAAGCGTAAGCAGAGGATGCACAAGTAGAGGAAGCGCAAGCAGAGGAAGCACAAGCAGAGGAAGCGTAAGCAGAGGAAGCACAAGCAGAGGAAGCACAAGCAGAGGAGCGCAAGCAGAGGAAGCTCAAGCAGAGGAAGCGCAAGCAGAGGAAGCACTAGCAGTGGAAGCGCATGCAGAAGAAGCGTAAGCAGAGGAAGCACAAGCAGAGGAAGCGCAAGCAGACGAAGCACAAGCAGAGGCAGAGCAAGCAGAGGAAGCGCAAGCAGAGGAAGCACAAGCAGAGGAAGTGCAAGCAAAGGAAGCGCAAGCAGAGGAAGCACAAGCAGAGGAAGCACAAGAGGAGGAAGCGCAAGCAAAGGAAGCACCTTCACAGGAAGCGCAAGGAGTGGAATCACAAGTAGAGGAAGCGCAAGCAGAGGAAGAACAAGCAGAGGAAGCGCAAGCAAAGGAAGTGAAAGCAGAGGAAGCACAAGCAGAGGAAGCACACACAGAGGAAGCGCAAGCAGAGGAAGCACAAGCAGAGGATGCGCAAGCAGGGGAAGCACAAGCAGAGGAAGCACAAGCAGAGGAGCGCAAGCAGAGGAAGCACAAGCAGAGGAAGCGCAAGCAGAGGAAGCGCACGCAGAGGAAGCGCAAGAAGAGGAAGCACAAGCAGAGGAAGCAACAGCAGAGGAAGCGCAAGCAGAGGAAGCACAAGCAGAGGAAGCGCAAGTAGAGGAAGCACAAGCATAGGAAACACAAGCAAAGAAGTGCAAGCAGAGGAAGCACAAGCAGAGGAAGCACAAGCAGAGGAGCGCAAGCAGAGGAAGCACAAGCAGAGGAAGCACAAGCAGAGGAAGCACAAGCAGAGGAAGCCCAAGCAAAGGAAGTGCAAGCAGAGGAAGCGCAAGCAGAGGAAGCACACACAGAGGAAGCGCAAGCAGAGGAAGCACAAGCAGAGGATGCGCAAGCAGAGGAAGCACAAGCAGAGGAAGCATAAGCAGAGGAGCGCAAGCAGAGGAAGCACAAGTAGAGGAAGCGCAAGCAGAGGAAGCGCAAGCAGAGGAAGCGCAAGAAGAGGAAGCACAAGCATAGGAAACACAAGCAAAGAAGCGCAAGCAGAGGAAGCAGAAGCAGAGGATGCGCAAGCAGAGGAAGCACAAGCAGAGGAAGCACAAGCAGAGGAGCACAAGCAGAGGAAGCGCAAGCAGAGGAAGCGCAAGAAGAGGAAGCACAAGCACAGGAAGCGCAAGCAGAGGAAGCGGAAGCTGAGGAGTCACAACCAGAGGAAGCGCAAGCAGAGGAAGCGCAAGTTGAGGAAGCACAAGCAGAGAAAGCACAAGCAGAGGAAGCACAAGAAGAGGAAGCGCGAGCAGAGGAAGCGCAAGCAGAGGAAGCGTAAGCAGAGGAAGCACAAGCAGAGGAAGCGCAAGCAGAGGAAGCACAAGCAGAGGAAGCGCAAGAAGAGGAAGCACAAGTAGATTAAGCACAAGTAGAGGAAGCACAAGCAGAGGAGCGCAAGCAGAGGAAGCGCAAGCAAAGGAAGCACAAGAAGAGGAAGCGCAAGCGAAGGAAGCACAAGCAGAGGAAGCGCAACCAAAGGAAGCATAAGCGGAGGAAGTGCAAGCAGAGGAGCGCAAGCAGAGGAAGTGCAAGCAGAGGAAATGCAAAAGGAGGAAGCACAAGCAGAGGAAGCGCAAGTAGATGAAGCACAAGCAGAAGAAGCGCAAGTTGAGGAAGCGCAAGCAGAGGAAACGCAAGCAGGGGAAGCACAAGCTAAGGAAGCACAAGCAGAAGAAGCGCAAGCAGAGGAAGCACATGAAGAGGAAGCCCACTTCGAGGAAGCACAAGCAGAGGAAGCACAAGCAGAGGAAGCGCAAGCAGAGGAAGCACAAGGAGAGGAAGAGCAAGCAGAGGAAGCACAAGCAGAGGAGGCACAAGCAGAGGAAGCACAAGCAGAGGAGCGCAAGCAGAGGAAGCGCAAGCAGAGGAAGCGCAAGCAGAGGAAGCGCACGCAAAGGAAGCGCAAGCAGAGGAAGCGCAAGTAGAGGAAGCACAAGCAGAGGAAGCGCAAGTAGAGGAAGCACCAGCATAGGAAGCGCAAGCAGAGGAAGCGCAAGTAGAGGAAGCGCAAGCAAAGGAATAGCAAGCAGAGGAAGCGCAAGTAGAGGAAGCACAAGTAGAGGAAGCGCAAGCAGAGGAAGCACAAGCAGAGGAAGCGCTAGCAGAGGAAGCACAAGCAGAGGAAGCACAAGCAGAGGAGCGGAAGCAGAGGAAGCGCAAGCACAGGAAGCGCAAGAAGAGGAAGCGCAAGAAGAGGAAGCACAAGCAGAGGAAGCACAAGCGGAGGAAGCACAAGCAGAGGTAGCACAAGCAGAGGAAGCGCAAGCAAAGGAAGCGCAAGCAGAGGAGCGCAAGCAGAGGAAGCACAAGCAGAGGAAGCACGAGCAGAGGAAGCCAAAGCAAAGGAAGCGCAAGTAGAGGAGCGCAAGCTGAGGAAGCGCAAGAAGAGGAAGCACAAGCAGAGGAAGCACAAGCAGAGGAAGCACAAGTAGAGGAAGCACAAGCAGAGGAAGCACAAGCATAGGAAGCATAAGCAGAGGAAGCACAAGCATAGGAAGCACAAGTAGGGGTAGCGAAAGCAGAGGAAGCGCAAGCAGAGGAAGCACAAGCAGAGGAAGCGCAAGCAGAAGAAGCACAAGCAGAGGAAGCGCAAGTAGAAGAAGCACAAGCATTGGAAGCCCATTTAGAGGAGCCCAAGCAGAGGAGGCGCAAGCAGAGGAAGCGCAAGCAGAGGAAGCGCAAGCAGAGGAAGCGCAAGCAGAGGAAGCGCAAGCAGATGAAGCGCAAGCAGAGGAAGCGCAAGCAGAGGAAGCGCAAGCAGAGGAAGCACAAGTAGAGGAAGCGCAAGCAGAGGAAGCACAAGCAGAGGAAGCATAAGTAGAGGAAGCACAAGCAGAGGAAGCGCATGCAGAGGAAGTGCAAGCAGAGGAAGCGCAAGAAGAGGAAGCACAAGCAGAGGAGGCGCAAGCACAAGAAGCAGAAGCAGAGGAAGGGCAAGCACAGGAAGCACAAGTAGAGGAGCGCAAGCAAAGGAAGCGCAAGCAGAGGAAGCGCAAGGAGGGGAAGCGCAAGCAGAGGAAGCGCAAGCAGAGGAAGCACAAGCAGACGAAGTGCAAGCAAAGGAAGCACAAGCACAGGAAGCACAAGCAGAGGAGCGCAAGCAGAGGAAGCGCAAGCAGAGGAAGCGCAAGCAGAGGAATCGCAAGCAGAGGAAGCACAAGCAGAGGAGCGCAAGCAGAGGAAGCGCAAGCAGAGAACGCAAGCAGAGGAAGCGCAAGTGGAGGAAGCATAAGCAGAGGAAGCGCAAGCAGAGGAAGCACAAGCAGAGGAAGCACAAGCAGATGAGCGCAGGCAGAGGAAGCGTAAGCAAAGGAAGCACAAGCAAAGGAAGCGTAAGCGGAGGAAGCACAAGCAAAGGAAGCGTAAGCAGAGGAAGCGCAAGAAGAGGAAGCACAAGCAGAGGAAGCGCAAGCAGAGGAAGCGCAAGTAGAGGAAGCACAAGCAGAGGAAGCGCAAGCAGAGGAAGCACAAGCAAGAAGCACAAGCAGAGGAAGCACAAGCAGAGGAGCGCAAGCAGAGGAAGCGCAAGCAGAAGAAGCACAAGCAGAGTAAGCGCAAGGAGAGGAAGCACAAGCAGAGGAAGCGCAAGCAGGGGAAGCACAAGCAGAGGAAGTACAAGCAGAGGAGCTCAAGCAGAGGAAGCGTAAGGAGAGCAAGCGCAAGCAGAGGAAGCACAAGCACAGGAAGCGCAAGAAGAGGAAGCACAAGCAGAGGAAGCAACAGCAGAAGAAGCGCAAGCAGAGGAAGCACAAGCAGAGGAAGTGCAAGTAGAGCAAGCACAAGCATAGGAAGCACAAGCAAAGAAGCGCAAGCAGAGGAAGCACAAGCAAAGGAAGCACAAGCAGAGGAAGCGCAAGCAGAGGAAGCACAAGTAGAGGAAGCGGAAGCAGAGGAAGCACAAGCAGAGGAAGCGCAAGCAGAGGAAGCACAAGCAGAGGAAGCACAAGTAGAGGAGCGCAAGCAGAGGAAGCGCAAGCACAGGAAGCGCAAGCAGAGGAAGCACAAGAAGAGGAAGCGCACGCAGAGGAAGCGCAAGCTGAGGAGTCACAACCAGAGGAAGCGCAAGCAGAGGAAGCGCAAGCCGAGGAAGAACATGCAGAGGAAGCACAAGCAGAGGAAGCACAAGCAGAGGAAGCGCAAGCAGAGGAAGCACAAGCAGAGGAAGCGCAAGAAGAGGAAGCACAAGCAGAGGAAGCGCAAGCAGAGGAAGCACAAGCAGAGGAAGCCCAAGGAGAGGAAGCACAAGCAGAGGAAGCGCAAGCAGGGGAAGCACAAGAAGAGGAAGTACAAGTAGAGGAGCTCAAGCAGAGGAAGCGTAAGGAGAGCAAGCGCAAGCAGAGGAAGCACAAGCACAGGAAGCGCAAGAAGAGGAAGCACAAGCAGAGGAAGCAATAGCAGAAGAAGCGCAAGAAGAGGAAGCACAAGCAGAGGAAGCACAAGCAGAGGAAGCGCAAGCAGAGGAAGCACAAGTAGAGGAAGCGGAAGCAGAGGAAGCACAAGCAAAGGAAGCGCAAGCGGAGGAAGCACAAGCAGAGGAAGCACAAGTAGAGGAGCGCAAGCAGAGGAAGCGCAAGCACAGGAAGCGCAAGCAGAGGAAGCCCAAGTAGAAGAAGCGCACGCAGAGGAAGCGCAAGCTGAGGAGTCACAACCAGAGGAAGCGCAAGCAGAGGAAGCACAAGTAGAGGAAGCGCAAGCAGAGGAAGCACAAGCAGAGGAAGCGCAAGAAGAGGGAGCACAAGCAAAGGAAGCACAAGCAAAGGAAGCACAAGCAGAGGAGCACAAGAAGAGGAAGCACAAGCAGAGGAAGCACAAGAAGAGGAAGCGCAAGCAGAGGAAGCACAAGCAGAGGAGGCACAAGCAGAGGAAGCACAAGCAGAGGAGCGCAAGCAGAGGAAGCGCAAGCAGAGGAAGCGCAAGCAGAGGAAGCGCAAGCAAAGGAAGCGCAAGCAGAGGAAGCGCAAGTATAGGAAGCACAAGCAGAGGAAGCGCAAGTAGAGGAAGCACAAGCATAGGAAGCGCAATCAGAGGAAGCGCAAGTAGAGGAAGCGCAAGCAAAGGAATAGCAAGGAGAGGAAGCGCAAGTAGAGGAAGCACAAGTAGAGGAAGCGCAAGCAGAGGAAGCACAAGCAGAGGAAGCGCTAGCAGAGGAAGCACAAGCAGAGGAAGCACAAGCAGAGGAGCGGAAGCAAAGGAAGCGCAAGCACAGGAAGCGCAAGAAGAGGAAACGCAAGAAGAGGAAGCACAAGCAGAGGAAGCACAAGCGGAGGAAGCACAAGCAGAGGTAGCACAAGCAGAGGAAGCGCAAGCAAAGGAAGCGCAAGCAGAGGAGCGCAAGCAGAGGAAGCACAAGCAGAGGAAGCACGAGCAGAGGAAGCCAAAGCAAAGGAAGCGCAAGCAGAGGAGCGCAAGCTGAGGAAGCGCAAGAAGAGGAAGCACAAGCAGAGGAAGCACAAGCAGAGGAAGCACAAGTAGAGGAAGCACAAGCAGAGGAAGCACAAGCATAGGAAGCACAAGCAGAGGAAGCACAAGCATAGGAAGCACAAGTAGGGGTAGCGAAAGCAGAGGAAGCGCAAGCAGAGGAAGCACAAGCAGACGAAGTGCAAGTAGAGGAAGCACAAGCATTGGAAGCCCATTTAGAGGAGCCCAAGCAGAGGAGGCGCAAGCAGAGGAAGCGCAAGCAGAGGAAGCGCAAGCAGAGGAAGCGCAAGCAGAGGAAGCGCAAGCAGATGAAGCGCAAGCAGAGGAAGCGCAAGCAGAGGAAGCGCAAGGAGAGGAAGCACAAGTAGAGGAAGCGCAAGCAGAGGAAGCACAAGCAGAGGAAGCATAAGTAGAGGAAGCAGAAGCAGAGGAAGCGCATGCAGAGGAAGTGCAAGTTGAGGAAGCGCAAGAAGAGGAAGCACAAGCAGAGGAGGCGCAAGCACAAGAAGCACAAGCAGAGGAAGGGCAAGCAGAGGAAGCACAAGTAGAGGAGCGCAAGCAAAGGAAGCGCAAGCAGAGGAAGCGCAAGGAGAGGAAGCGCAAGCAGAGGAAGCGCAAGCAGAGGAAGCACAAGCAGACGAAGCGCAAGCAAAGGAAGCACAAGCACAGGAAGCACAAGCAGAGGAGCGCAAGCAGAGGAAGCGCAAGCAGAGGAAGCGCAAGCAGAGGAATCGCAAGCAGAGGAAGCACAAGCAGAGGAGCGCAAGCAGAGGAAGCGCAATCAGAGAACGCAAGCAGAGGAAGCGCAAGTAGAGGAAGCATAAGCAGAGGAAGCGCAAGCAGAGGAAGCACAAGCAGAGGAAGCACAAGCAGAGGAGCGCAGGCAGAGGAAGCGTAAGCAAAGGAAGCACAAGCAAAGGAAGCGTAAGCGGAGGAAGCACAAGCAAAGGAAGCGTAAGCAGAGGAAGCGCAAGAAGAGGAAGCGCAAGCAGAGGAAGCGCAAGCAGAGGAAGCGCAAGTAGAAGAAGCACAAGCAGAGGAAGCGCAAGAAGAGGAAGCACAAGCAAGAAGCACAAGCAGAGAAAGCACAAGCAGAGGAGCCCAAGCAGAGGAAGCGCAAGCAGAGGAAGCACAAGCAGAGGAAGCGCAAGGAGAGGAAGCACAAGCAGAGGAAGCGCAAGCAGGGGAAGCACAAGCAGAGGAAGTACAAGGAGAGGAGCTCAAGCAGAGGAAGCGTAAGGAGAGCAAGCGCAAGCAGAGGAAGCACAAGCACAGGAAGCGCAAGAAGAGGAAGCACAAGCAGAGGAAGCAACAGCAGAAGAAGCGCAAGCAGAGGAAGCACAAGCAGAGGAAGCGCAAGTAGAGCAAGCACAAGCATAGGAAGCACAAGCAAAGAAGCGCAAGCAGAGGAAGCACAAGCAAAGGAAGCACAAGCAGAGGAATCGCAAGCAGAGGAAGCACAAGTAGAGGAAGCGGAAGCAGAGGAAGCACAAGCATAGGAAGCGCAAGCAGAGGAAGCACAAGCAGAGGAAGCACAAGTAGAGGAGCGCAAGCAGAGGAAGCGCAAGCACAGGAAGCGCAAGCAGAGGAAGCACAAGCAGAGGAAGCGCACGCAGAGGAAGCGCAAGCTGAGGAGTCACAACCAGAGGAAGCGCAAGCAGAGGAAGCGCAAGCAGAGGAAGAACATGCAGAGGAAGCACAAGCAGAGGAAGCAAAAGCAGAGGAAGCGCAAGTAGAGGAAGCACAAGCAGAGGAAGCGCAAGAAGAGGAAGCACAAGCAGAGGAAGCACAAGCAGAGGAAGCACAAGCAGAGGAAGCGCAAGCAGAGGAAGCACAAGCAGAGGAAGCGCAAGGAGAGGAAGCACAAGCAGAGGAAGCGCAAGCAGGGGAAGCACAAGCAGAGGAAGTACAAGCAGAGGAGCTCAAGCAGAGGAAGCGTAAGGAGAGCAAGCGCAAGCAGAGGAAGCACAAGCACAGGAAGCGTAAGAAGAGGAAGCACAAGCAGAGGAAGCAATAGCAGAAGAAGGGCAAGCAGAGGGAGCACAAGCAGAGGAAGCACAAGCAGAGGAAGCGCAAGCAAAGGAAGCGCAAGCGGAGGAAGCACAAGCAGAGGAAGCACAAGTAGAGGAGCGCAAGCAGAGGAAGCGCAAGCACAGGAAGCGCAAGCAGAGGAAGCCCAAGTAGAAGAAGCGCACACACAGGAAGCGCAAGCTGAGGAGTCACAACCAGAGGAAGCGCAAGCAGAGGAAGCGCAAGCAGAGGAAGAACAAGCAGAGGAAGCACAAGCAGAGGAAGCACAAGCAGAGGAAGCGCAAGCAGAGGAAGCACAAGCAGAGGAAGCGCAAGAAGAGGGAGCACAAGCAGAGGAAGCACAAGCAACGGAAGCACAAGCAGAGGAGCACAAGAAGAGGAAGCACAAGCAGAGGAAGCACAAGAAGAGGAAGCGCAAGCAGAGGAAGCATAAGTAGAGGAAGAACAAGCAGAGGAAGCGCAAGCAGAGGAAGCACAAGCAGAGGAAGCGCAAGAAGAGGAAGCACAAGCACAGGAAGCACAAGCAGAGGAAGCACAATCAGAGGAGCGCAAGCAGAGGAAGCGCAAGCAGAGGAAGCACACGCAGAGGAAGCGCATGCAGAGGAAGCACAAGCAGAGGATGCGCAAGTAGAGGAAGCACAAGCAGAGGAAGCACAAGCAGAGGAGCGCAAGCAGAGGAAGCACAAGCAGAGGAAGCACAAGCAGAGGAAGCAATAGCAGAGGAAGCGCAAGCAGAGGAAGCTCAAGCAGAGGAAGCGCAAGTAGAGGAAGCACAAGCATAGGAAACACAAGCAAAGAAGCGCAAGCAGAGGAAGCACAAGCAGAGGAAGCACAAGCAGAGGAAGCGCAAGTAGAGGAAGCACAAGTAGAGGAAGCGGAAGCAGAGGAAGCACAAGCAGAGGATGCGCAAGCAGAGGAAGCACAAGCAGAGGAAGCACACGCAGAGGAGCGCAAGCACAGGAAGTGCAAGCAGAGGAAGCGCAAGAAGAGGAAGCACAAGCAGAGGAAGCGCAAGCAGAGGAAGCGGAAGCTAAGGAGTCACAACCAGAGGAAGCGCAAGCAGAGGAAGCGCAAGTTGAGGAAGCACAAGCAGAGGAAGCACAAGCAGAGGAAGCACAAGCAGAGGAAGCGCGAGCAGAGGAAGCGGAAGCAGAGGAAGCGTAAGCAGAGGAAGCACAAGCCGAGGAAGCGCAAGCAGAGGAAGCACAAGCAGAGGAAGCGCAAGAAGAGGAAGCACAAGCAGAGGAAGCACAAGTAGAGGAAGCACAAGCAGAGGAGCGCAAGCAGAGGAAGCGCAAGCAAAGGAAGCACAAGAAGAGGAAGCGCAAGCGGAGGAAGCACAAGCAGAGGAAGCGCAAGCAGAGGAAGCATAACTAGAGGAAGCACAAGCAGAGGAGCGCAAGCAGAGGAAGTGCAAGCAGAGGAAACGCAAAAAGAGGAAGCGCAAGCAGAGGAAGCGCAAGTAGATGAAGCACAAGCAGAAGAAGTGCAAGCAGCGGAAGCGCAAGCAGAGGAAGCGCAAGCAGAGGAAGCACAAGCTATGGAATCACAAGAAGAAGAAGCGCAAGCAGAGGAAGCACATGAAGAGGAAGCCCACTTCAAGGAAGCACAAGCAGAGGAAGCACAAGCAGAGGAAGCGCAAGCAGAGGAGCGCAAGCAGAGGAAGCGCAAGCAGAGGAAGCGCAAGCAGAGGAAGCGCAAGCAAAGGTAGCGCAAGCAGAGGAAGCGCAAGTAGAGGAAGCACAAGCAGAGGAACCGCAAGTAGAGGAAGCACAGGCATAGGAAACGCAAGCAGAGGAAGCGCAAGTAGAGGAAGCGCAAGCAAAGAAAGCGCAAGCAGAGGAAGCGCAAGTAGAGGAAGCACAAGTAGAGGAAGCGCAAGCAGAGGAAGCACAAGCAGAGGAAGCACAAGCAGAGGAGCGCAAGCAGAGGAAGCGCAAGCACAGGAAGCCCATTTAGAGGAGCCCAAGCAGAGGAGGCGCAAGCAGAGGAAGCGCAAGCAGAGGAAGCGCAAGCAGAGGAAGCGCAAGCAGAGGAAGCACAAGTAGTGGAAGCGCAAGCAGAGGAAGCGCAAGCAGAGGAAGCGCAAGCAGAGGAAGCACAAGTAGAGGAAGCGCAAGCAGAGGAAGCACAAGCAGAGGAAGCATAAGCAGAGGAAGCACAAGCAGAGGAAGCGCATGCAGAGAAAGTGCAAGCAGAGGAAGCGCAAGAAGAGGAAGCACAAGCAGAGGAGGCGCAAGCACAGGAAGTTCAAGCAAAAGAAGCGCAAGTAGAGGAAGCACAAGTAGTGGAGCGCAAGCAAAGGAAGCGCAAGCAGAGGAAGCGCAAGGAGAGGAAGCGCAAGCAGAGGAAGCGCAAGCAGAGGAAGCACAAGCAGACGAAGCGCAAGCAGAGGAAGCACAAGCAGAGGAAGCACAAGCAGAGGAGCGCAAGCAGAGGAAGCTCAAGCAGAGGAAGCGCAAGCAGAGGAATTGCAAGCAGAGGAAGCACAAGCAGAGGAGCGCAAGCAGAGTAAGCGCAAGCACAGAAGCATAAGAAGAAGGAGCGCAAGTAGAGGAAGCACAAGCAGAGGAAGCGCAAGCAGAGGAAGCACAAGTAGAGGAAGCAAAAGCAGAGGAGCGCAGGCAGAGGAAGCGTAAGCAAAGGAAGAGCAAGCAGAGGAAGCACAAGCAGAGGAAGCGTAAGCAGAGGAAGCGCAAGTAGAGGAAGCGCAAGTAGAGGAAGCACAAGCAGAGGAAGCGCAAGCAAAGGAAGCACAAGCAAGAAGCACAAGCAGAGGAAGCACAAGCAGAGGACCGCAAGCAGAGGAAGCGCAAGAAGAGGAAGCACAAGCAAAGGAAGCGCAAGGAGAGGAAGCACAAGAAGAGGAAGTACAAGCAGAGGAAGTACAAGCAGAGAAATTACAAGCAGAGGAGCTCAAGCACAGGAAGCGCAAGCAAAGGAAGAGCAAGCAGAGGAAGCACAAGCAGAGGAAGCGTAAGGAGAGCAAGCGCAAGCAGAGGAAGCACAAGCACAGGAAGCGCAAGAAGAGGAAGCAAAAGCAGAGGAAGCAACAGCAGAGGAAGCGCAAGCAGAGGAAGCACAAGCAGAGGAAGCGCAAGTAGAGGAAGCACAAGCATAGGAAGCACAAGCAAAGAAGCGCAAGCAGAGGAAGCACAAGCAGAGGAAGCACAAGCAGAGGAAGCGCAAGCAGAGGAAGCACAAGTAGAGGAAGCGGAAGCAGAGGAAGCACAAGCAGAGGATGCGCAAGCAGAGGAAGCACAAGCAGAGGAAGCACAAGCAGAGGAGCGCAAGCAGAGGAAGCGCAAGCAGAGGAAGCGCAAGAAGAGGAAGCACAAGCAGAGGAAGTGCAAGCAGAGGAAGCGGAAGCTGAGGAGTCACAACCAGAGGAAGCGCAAGCAGAGGAAGCGCAAGTTGGGGAAGCACAAGCAGAGGAAGCACAAGCAGAGGAAGCACAAGCAGAGGAAGCGCGAACAGAGGAAGCGCAAGCAGAGGAAGCGTAAGCAGAGGAAGCACAAGCAGAGGAAGTACAAGCAGAGGAGCGCAAGCAGAGGAAGCGCAAGCATAGGAAGCGCAAGCAGAGGAAGCACAAGCAGAGGAAGCGCAAGTAGAGGAAGCACAAGCATAGGAAACACAAGCAAAGAAGAGCAAGCAGAGGACGCACAAGCAGAGGAAGCACAAGCAGACGAAGCGCAAGTAGAGGAAGCACAAGCACAGGAAGCGTAAGGAGAGCATGCGCAAGCAGAGGAAGCACAAGCACAAGAAGCGCAAGAAGAGGAAGCACAAGCACAGGAAGCAACAACAGAGGAAGCGCAAGCAGAGGAAGCACAAGCAGAGGAAGCGCAAGTAGAGGAAGCACAAGCATAGGAAGCACAAGCAAAGAAGCGCAAGCAGAGGAAGCACAAGCAGAGGAAGCACAAGCAGAGGAAGCGCAAGTAGAGGAAGCACAAGTAGAGGAAGCGGAAGCAGAGGAAGTACAAGCAGAGGATGCGCAAGCAGAGGAAGCACAAGCAGAGGAAGCACAAGCAGAGGAGCGCAAGCAGAGGAAGCGCAAGCACAGGAAGCGCAAGAAGAGGAAGCGCAAGCAGAGGAAGCACAAGCCGAGGAAGCACAAGCGGAGGAGGCACAAGCAGAGGCAGCACAAGCAGAGGAAGCGCAAGCAAAGGAAGCGCAAGCAGAGGAGCGCAAGCACAGGAAGCACAAGCAGAGGAAGCACGAGCAGAGGAAGCACAAGCAGAGGAAGCAGAAGCAGAGGAAGCCAAAGCAAAGGAAGCGTAAGCAGAGGAGCGCAAGCAGAGGAAGCGCAAGAAGAGGAAGCACAAGCAGAGGAAGCACAAGCAGAGGAAGCACAAGAAGAGGAAGCACAAGCAGAGGAAGCACAAGCATAGAAAGCACAAGCAGAGGAATCACAAGCATAGGAAGCACAAGCAGAGGTAGCGAAAGCAGAGGAAGCGCAGGCAGAGGAAGCACAAGCAGAGGAGGCGGAAGCAGACGAAGCACAAGTAGAGGAAGCGCAAGCAGAAGAAGCACAAGCAGAGGAAGCGCAAGTAGAGGAAGCAGAAGCACAGGAAGCCCATTTAGAGGAGCCCAAGGAGAGGAGGCGCAAGCAGAGGAAGCGCAAGCAGAGGAAGCGCAAGCAGAGGAAGCGCAAGCAGAGGAAGCGCAAGCAGTGGAAGCGCAAGCAGTGGAAGCGCAAGCAGAGGAACCGCAAGCAGAGGAAGCACAAGTAGATGAAGCGCAAGCAGAGGAAGCACAAGCAGAGGAAGCATAAGCAGAGGAAGCACAAGCAGAGGAAGCGCATGCAGAGGAAGTGCAAGCAGAGGAAGCGCAAGAAGAGGAAGCACAAGCAGAGGAGGCGCAAGCACAAGAAGTTCAAGCACAGGAAGCGCAAGCAGAGGAAGCACAAGCAGAGGAGCGCAAACAAAGGAAGCGCAAGCAGAGGAAGCGCAAGGAGAGGAAGCGCAAGCAGAGGAAGCGCAAGCAGAGGAAGCACAAGCAGACGAAGCGCAAGCAGAGGAAGCACAAGCAGAGGAAGCACAAGCAGAGGAGGGCAAGCAGAGGAAGCGCAAGCAGATGAAGCGCAAGCAGAGGAATCGCAAGCAGAGGAAGCACAAGCAAAGGAGCGCAAGCTGAGGAAGCGCAAGCAGAGGCAGCGCAAGCAGAGGAAGTGCAAGCAGAGGAAGCACAAGCAGAGGAAGCACAAGCACAGGAAGCGCAAGCAGAGGAAGCACAACCAGAGGAAGCGCAAGCAGAAGAAGCACAAGCAGAGGAAGCACAAGCAGAGGAGCGCAATCAGAGGAAGTGCAAGCATAGGAAGCGCAAGGAGAGGAAGCGCAAGCAAAGGAAGCACAAGTAGAGGAAGCACAAGTAGAGAAAGCACAAGCAGAGGAAGCGCAAGCAGAGGAATCACAAGCAAAGGAAGCACAAGAAGAGGAAGCACAAGAAGAGGAAGAGCAAGCAGACGAAGCACAAGCAAAGGAAGTACAAGCAGAGGAGTGCAAGCAGAGGAAGCGCAAGCAGAGGAAGCGCAAGGAGAGGAAGCAAAAGCAGAGGAAGCACAAGCAGAGGAGCGCAAGCAGAGGAAGTGCAAGCAGAGGAAGCACAAGCAGAGGAAGCGGAAGCAGAGGAATCACAAGCAAAGGAAGCGCAAGCAGAGGAAGCACAAGCAGAGGAAGCACAAGCACAGGAGCGCAAGCAGAGGAAGTGTAAGCAGAGGAAGCGCAAGCAGAGGAAGCGCAAGCAGAGGAAGGGTAAGCAGAGGAAGCGCAAGCAGAGGAAGCGCAAGCAGAGGAAGCACAAGCTGAGGAAGCACAAGCAGAGGAGCACAAGTAGAGGAAGCGCAAGCAGAGGAAGCAAAAGCAGAGGAAGCTTAAGCAAAGGAAGCACAAGCAGACGAAGCACAAGCAGAGGAAGCGCAAGCAGAGGAAGCACAAGCAGAGGAAGCACAAGCAGAGGAGCGCAAGCAGAGGAAGCGTAAGCACAGGAAGCGCAAGGAGAGGAAGCGCAAGCAGAGGAAGCGCAAGTAGAGGAAGCACAAGCAGAGGAAGCACAAGTAGTGGAAGCACAACTAGAGTAAGCGCAAGCAGAGGAAGCACAAGCAGAGGAAGCAAAAGCAGAGGAGCGCAAGCAGAGGAAGCGCAAGCAGAGGAAGTGCAAGCAGACGAAGCACAAGCAGAGGAAGCACAAGCACACGAAGCGCAAGCAGAAGAAGCACAAGCAGTGGAAGCACAAGCAGAGGAGCCCAAGCAGAGGAAGAAGAAGCATAGGAAGTGCAAGCAGAGGAAGCACAAGCAGAGGAAGCGCAAGCAAAGGAAGCACAAGCAAAGGAAGCACAAGCAGAGGAAGCACAAGCAGAGGAGCGCAAAAAGAGGAAGCGTAAGCACAGGAAGCGCAAGGAGAGGAAGCGCAAGCAGAGGAAGCGCAAGTAGAAGAAGCACAAGCAGAGGAAGCACAAGTAGCGGAAGCACAACTAGAGTAAGCGCAAGCAGAGGAAGCACAAGCAGAGGAAGCAAAAGCTGAGGAGCGCAAGCAGAGGAAGCGCAAGCAGAGGAAGTGCAAGCAGAGGAAGCACAAGCAGAGGAAGCACAAGCACAGGAAGCGCAAGGAGAGGAAGCACAAGCAGTGGAAGCACAAGCAGAGGAGCCCAAGCAGAGGAAGCAAAAGCATAGGAAGTGCAAGCAAAGGAAGCACAAGCAGAGGAAGCGCAAGCAGAGGAAGCACAAGCAGAGGAAGCACAAGCAGAGGAGCGCAAGCAGAGGAAGTGCAAGCACAGGAAGCGCAAGGAGAGGAAGCGCAAGCAGAGGAAGCACAATTAGAGGAAGCACAAGCAGAGAAAGCACAAGCAGAGGAAGCGCAAGCAGAGGAAGCACAAGCAGAGGAAGCGCAAGCAGAGGAAGCACAAGCAAAGGAAGCACAAGAAGAGGAAGCACAAGAAGAGGAAGAGCAAGCAGACGAAGCACAAGCAGAGGAAGCACAAGCAGAGGAGTGCAAGCAGAGGAAGCGCAAGCAAAGGAAGCGCAAGGAGAGGAAGCACAAGCAGAGGATGCACAAGCAGAGGAGCGCAAGCAGAGGAAGTGCAAGCAGAGGAAGCACAAACGGAGGAAGCGCAAGCAGAGGAATCACAAGCCAAGGAAGCGCAAGCAGAGGAAGCACAAGCGGAGGAAGCACAAGCAGAGGAGCGCAAGCAGAGGAAGGGTAAGCAGAGGAAGCGCAAGCAGAGGAAGCGCAAGTAGAGGAAGCGTAAGCAGAGGAAGCGCAAGCAGAGGAAGCGCAAGCAGAGGAAGCACAAGCAGAGGAAGCACAAGCAGAGGAGCGCAAGCAGAGGAAGTGCAAGCAGAGGAAGCAAAAGCAGAGGAAGCTCAAGCAAAGGAAGCACAAGCAGACGAAGCACAAGCAGAGGAAGCGCAAGTAGAGGAGGCACAAGCAAAGGAAGCACAAGCAAAGGAAGCTCAAGCAGAGGAAGCACAAGAAGAGGAAGCACAAGCAGAGGAAGCGCAAGCAGAGGAAGCACAAGCAAAGGAAGCGCAAGAAGAGGATGCACAAGCAGAAAAAGCGCAAGCAGACGAAGCACAAGCAGAGGAACCACAAGCAGAGGAGCGCAAGCAGAGGAAGCGCAAGGAGAGGAAGCACAAGCAGAGGAAGCACAAGCAGAGGAGCGCAAGCAGTTGAAGTGCAAGCAAAGGAAGCACAAGCAGAGGAAGCGCATGCAGAGGAATCACAAGCAAAGGAAGCGCAAGCAGAGGAAGCACAAGCAGAGGAAGCACAAGCAGAGGAGCGCAAGCAGAGGAAGTGTAAGCAGAGAAAGCGCAAGTAGAGGAAGCGCAAGCACAGGAAGCGTAAGCAGAGGAAGCGCAAGCAGACAAAGTGCAAGCAGAGGAAGCGCAAGCAGACGAAGCACAAGCAGAGGAGCGTAAGCAGAGGAAGCGCAAGCAGAGGAAGCAAAAGCACAGGAAGCTCAAGCAAAGGAAGCACAAGCAGAGGAAGAACAAGCAGAGGAAGCACAAGCAGAGGAAGCTCAAGCAGAGGAAGCACAAGAAGAGGAAGCACAAGCAGAGGAGCGCAAGCAGAGGAAGTGCAAGCACGGGAAGCGCAAGGAGAGGAAGCGCAAGCAGAGGAAGCACAAGTAGAGGAAGCACAAGCAGAGAAAGCACAAGCAGAGGAAGCGCAAGCAGAGGAAGCACAAGAAGAGGAAGCGCAAGCAGAGGAAGCACAAGCAAAGGAAGCACAAGAAGAGGAAGCACAAGAAGAGGAAGAGCAAGCAGACGAAGCACAAGCAGAGGAAGCACAAGCAGAGGAGTGCAAGCAGAGGAAGCGCAAGCAGAGGAAGCGCAAGGAGAGGAAGCACAAGCAGAGGAAGCACAAGCAGAGGAGCGCAAGCAGAGGAAGTGCAATCAGAGGAAGTACAAGCAGAGGAAGTGCAAGCAGAGGAATCACAAGCAAAGGAAGCGCAAGCAGAGGAAGCACAAGCAGAGGAAGCACAAGCAGAGGAGCGCAAGCAGAGGAAGTGTAAGCAAAGGAAGCGCAAGCAGAGGAAGCGCAAGTAGAGGAAGCGTAAGCAGAGGAAGCGCAAGCAGAGGAAGCGCAAGCAGAGGAAGCACAAGCAGAGGAAGCACAAGCAGAGGAGCGCAAGCAGAGGAAGCGCAAGCAGAGGAAGCAAAAGCAGAGGAAGCTCAAGCAAAGGAAGCAAAAGCAGACGAAGCGCAAGCAGAGGAGGCACAAGCAGAGGAGCGCAAGCAGAGGAAGTGCAAGCACAGAAAGCGCAAGGAGAGGAAGCGCAAGCAGAGGAAGCACAAGTAGAGGAAGCACAAGCAGAGAAAGCACAAGCAGAGGAAGCGCAAGTAGAGGAAGCACAAGCAGAGGAGCGCAAGCAGAGGAAGTGCAAGCACAGGAAGCGCAAGGAGAGGAAGCGCAAGCAGATGAAGCACAAGTAGAGGAAGCACAAGCAGAGGAAGCACAAGCAAAGGAAGCACAAGAAGAGGAAGCACAAGAAGAGGAAGAGCAAGCAGACGAAGCACAAGCAGAGGAAGCACAAGCAGAGGAGTGCAAGCAGAGGAAGCGCAAGCGGAGGAAGCGCAAGGAGAGGAAGCACAAGCAGAGGAAGCACAAGCAGAGGAGCGCAAGCAGAGGAAGTGCAAGCAGAGGAAGCACAAGCGGAGGAAGCGCAAGCAGAGGAATCACAAGCAACGAAAGCCCAAGCAGAGGAAGCACAAGCAGAGGAAGCACAAGCAGAGGAGCGCAAGCAGAGGAAGTGTAAGCAGAGGAAGCGCAAGCAGAGGATGCGCAAGTAGAGGAAGCGTAAGCAGAGGAAGCGCAAGCAGAGGAAGCGCAAGCAGAGGAAGCACAAGCAGAGGAAGCACAAGCAGAGGAGCGCAAGCAGAGGAAGCGCAAGCACAGGAAGCAAAAGTAGAGGAAGCTCAAGCAAAGGAAGCACAAGCAGACGAAGCACAAGCAGAGGAAGCGCAAGCAGAGGAGGCACAAGCAAAGGAAGCACAAGCAAAAGAAGCTCAAGCAGAGGAAGCGCAAGCAGAGGAAGCACAAGCAAAGGAAGCGCAAGAAGAGGAAGCACAAGCAGAAATAGCGCAAGCAGACGAAGCACAAGCAGAGGAAGCACAAGCAGAGGAGCGCAAGCGGAGGAAGCGCAAGCAGAGGAAGCGCAAGGAGAGGAAGCACAAGCAGAGGAAGCACAAGCAGAGGAGCGCAAGCAGTTGAAGTGCAAGCAAAGGAAGCATAAGCAGAGGAAGCGCAAGCAGAGGAATGACAAGCAAAGGAAGCGCAAGCAGAGGAAGCACAAGCAGAGGAAGCACAAGCAAAGGAGCGCAAGCAGAAGAAGTGTAAGCAGAGAAAGCGCAAGCAGAGGAAGCGCAAGCACAGGAAGCGTAAGCAGAGGAAGTGCAAGCAGAGGAAGTGCAAGCAGAGGAAGCGCAAGCAGAGGAAGCAAAAGCATAGGAAGCTCAAGCAAAGGAAGCACAAGCAGAGGAAGCACAAGCAGAGGAAGCACAAGGAGAGGAAGCTTAAGCAGAGGAAGCACAAGAAGAGGAAGCACAAGCAGAGGAAGCGCAAGCAGAGGAAGCACAAGCAAAGGAAGCGCAAGAAGAGGAAGCACAAGCAGAGGAAGCGCAAGCAGACGAAGCACAAGCAGAGGAAGCACAAGCAGAGGAGCGCAAGCAAAGGAAGCGCAAGCAGAGGAAGCGCAAGCAGAGGAAGCGCAAGCAGAGGAAGCACAAGCAGAGGAAGCACAAGCAGAGGAAGCACAAGCAGAGGAAGCGCAAGCAGAGGAAGCGCAAGCAGAGGAAGCACAAGCAGAGGAAGCGCAAGCAGAAGAATCACAAGCAGAGGAAGCGCAAGCAGAGGAAGCGCAAGCAAAGGACGCGCAAGCAGAGGAAGCGCAAGCAGAGGAAGCGCAAGCAGAGGAAGCGCAAGCAGAGGAAGCACAAGCAGAGGAAGCGCAAGCAGAGGAAGCACAAGCAGGAAGCACAAGCAGAGGAAGCACAAGCAGAGGAAGCGCAAGCAGAGGAAGCGCAAGCAGAGGAAGCACAAGCAGAGGAAGTGCAAGCAGAGGTAGCACAAGCAGGAAGCACAAGCAGAGGAAGCACAAGCAGAGGAAGCTCAAGCAGAGGAAGCACAAGAAGAGGAAGCACAAGCAGAGGAAGCGCAAGCAGAGCAAGCACAAGCAAAGGAAGCGCAAGAAGAGGAAGCACAAGCAGAGGAAGCGCAAGCAGACGAAGCACAAGCAGAGGAAACACAAGCAGAGGAGCGCAAGCAAAGGAAGCGCAAGCAGAGGAAGCGCAAGCAGAGGAAGCGCAAGCAGAGGAAGCACAAGCAGAGGAAGTACAAGCAGAGGAAGCACAAGCAGAGGAAGCGCAAGCAGAGGAAGCGCAAGCAGAGGAAGCACAAGCAGAGGAAGCGCAAGCAGAAGAAGCACAAGCAGAGGAAGCGCAAGCAGAGGAAGCGCAAGCAGAGGACGCGCAAGCAGAGGAAGCGCAAGGAGAGGAAGCGCAAGCAGAGGAAGCACAAGCAGAGGAAGCGCAAGCAGAGGAAGCACAAGCAGGAAGCACAAGCAGAGGAAGCACAAGCAGAGGAAGCGCAAGCAGAGGAAGCGCAAGCAGAGGAAGCGCAAGCAGAGGAAGCGCAAGGAGAGGAAGCGCAAGCAGAGGAAGCGCAAGCAGAGGAAGCACAAGCAGAGGAAGCGCAAGCAGAGGAAGCACAAGCAGCTAGCACAAGCAGAGGAAGCACAAGCAGAAGAAGCGCAAGCAGAGGAAGCGCAAGCAGAGGAAGCACAAGCAGAGGAAGCGCAAGCAGAGGAAGCACAAGCAGGAAGCACAAGCAGAGGAAGCTGAAGCAGAGTAGCGCAAGCAGAGGAAGAAGAAGCAGAGGAAGCGCAAGAAGAGGAAGCACAAGCAGAGGAAGCACAAGCAGAGGAAGCGCAATCAGAGGAAGCACAAGCAGAGGAAGCGCAAGCAGAGGAAGCGCAAGCAGAGGAAGTGCAAGCAGAGGAAGCGCAAGCAGAGGAAGCGCAAGCAGAGGAAGCGCAAGGAGAGGAAGCACAAGCAGAGGAAGTGTAAGTTGAGAAAGCGCAAGCAGAGGAAGCGCAAGCAGAGGAAGCGCAAACAGAGGAAGCACAACAAAGGAGGTGCAAGCAGAGGAAGCACAAGCAGAGGAAGCGCAAGCAGAAGGAATCGCAAGCAGAGGAAGCAGAAGCAAAGGAAGCGCAAGCAGAGGAGCACAAGTAGAGGAAGCGCAAGCAGAGGAAGCGCAAGCAGAGGAAGCACAAGCAGAGGAAGCAGAAGCAGAGGAGCGCAAGCAGAGGAAGCACAAGCAGAGGAAGCGAAAGTAGAGGAAGCACAAGCAGAGGAAGCGCAAGCAGAGGAAGCACAAGCAGAGGAAGCACAAGCAGAGGAGCACAAGTAGAGGAAGCGCAAGCAGAGGAAGTTCAAGCAGAGGAAGCACAAGCTGAAGAAGCGCAAGCAGAGGAGCACAAGTAGAGGAAGCGCAAGCAGAGGAAGCGCAAGCAGAGGAAGCACAAGCAGAGGAAGCAGAAGCAGAGGAGCACAAGCAGAGGAAGCGCAAGCAGAGGAAGCACAAGCAGAGGAAGCGAAAGTAGAGGAAGCACAAGCAGAGGAAGCGCAAGCAGAGGAAGCACAAGCAGAGGAAGCACAAGCAGAGGAGCACGGGCAGAGGAAGCACAAGCAAAGGAAGAGCAAGCAGAGGAAGCACAAGCAGAGGAAGCGTAAGCAGAGGAAGCGCAAAAAGAGGAAGCACAAGCAGAGGAAGCACAAGCAGAGGAAGCGCAAGCAGAGGAAGCGCAAGCAGAGGAAGCGCAAGCAGAGGAAGCGCGAGCAGAGGAAGCACAAGCAGAGGAAGCACAAGCAGAGGAGCGCAAGCAGAGGAAGCGCAAGCAGAGGAAGTGCAAGAAGAGGAAGCACAAGCAGAGGAAGCGCAAGTAGAGGAAGCACAAGCAGAGGAAGCACAAGCACAGGAAAGCGCAAGCAAAGGAAGCACAAGCAGTGGAAGCACAAGTAGAGGAGCCCAAGCAGAGGAAGAACAAGAAGAGGAAGCGCAAGCAGAGGAAGCACAAACAGAGGAAGCGCAAGCAGAGGAAGCACAAGCAGAGGAAGCACAAGCAAAGGAGCACAAGCAGAGGAAGCACAAGCAGAGGAAGCGCAAGGAAAGGAAGCGCAAGCAGAGGAAGCGCAAGTAGAGGAAGCGCAAGCCGAGGAAGCACAAGAAGAGAAACCGCAAGCAGAGGAAGCACACGCAGAGGAAGCGCAAGGAGAGGAAGCGCAAGCAAAGGAAGCGCAAGCAGAGAAAGCACAAGCAGAGGAAGCGCAAGCGGACGAAGCACAAGCCGAGGAAGCACAAGCAGAGGAGCGCAAGCTGAGGAAGCGCAAGAAGAGGAAGCGCATTGAGAGGAAGCACAAGTAGAGGAAGCACAAGCAGTGGAGCGCAAGCAGAGGAAGTGGAAGCAAAGGAAGCACAAGCGGAGGAAGCGCAAGCAGAGGAAGCACAAGCAAAGAAAGCGCAAGCAGAAGAAGCACAAGCAGAGGAAGCACAAGTAGAGGAGCGCAAGCAGAGGAAGCGTAAGCAGAGGAAGCGTAAGTAGAGGAAGCGTAAGCAGAGGAAGCGTAAGCAGAGGAAGCACAAGCAGAGGAAGCGTAAGTAGAGGAAGCGCAAGCACAGGAAGCGCAAGCAGAGGAAGCGCAAGCAGAGGAAGCGTAAGCAGAGGAAGCACAAGCAGAGGAAGCACAAGCAGAGGAGCGCAAGCAGAGGAAGCGCAAGCAGAGGAAGCAAAAGCAGAGGAAGCTCAAGCAAAGGAAGCACAAGCAAAGTAAGCACAAGCAGAGGAAGCGCAAGCAAGGGAAGCACAAGCAGAGGAAGCACAAGTAGAGGAAGCTCAAGCAGAGGAAGCACAAGAAGAGGAAGCACAAGCAGAGGAAGCGCAAGCAGAGGAAGCACAAGCAGAGGAAGTGCAAGCTGAGGAAGCGCAAGCAGAGGAAGCGCAAGCAGAGGAAGCACAAGCAGAGGAAGCGCAAGCAGAGGAAGCACAAGCAGAGGAAGCACAAGCAGAGGAGCGCAAGCAGAGGAAGCGCAAGCAGAGGAAGCAAAAGCAGAGGAAGCTCAAGCAAAGGAAGCACAAGCAGACGAAGCACAAGCAGAGGAAGCGCAAGCAGAGGAGGCACAAGCAAAGGAAGCACAAGCAAAAGAAGCTCAAGCAGAGGAAGCGCAAGCAGAGGAAGCACAAGCAAAGGAAGCGCAAGAAGAGGAAGCACAAGCAGAAATAGCGCAAGCAGACGAAGCACAAGCAGAGGAAACACAAGCAGAGGAGCGCAAGCGGAGGAAGCGCAAGCAGAGGAAGCGCAAGGAGAGGAAGCACAAGCAGAGGAAGCACAAGCAGAGGAGCGCAAGCAGTTGAAGTGCAAGCAAAGGAAGCATAAGCAGAGGAAGCGCAAGCAGAGGAATCACAAGCAAAGGAAGCGCAAGCAGAGGAAGCACAAGCAGAGGAAGCACAAGCAAAGGAGCGCAAGCAGAAGAAGTGTAAGCAGAGAAAGCGCAAGCAGAGGAAGCGCAAGCACAGGAAGCGTAAGCAGAGGAAGTGCAAGCAGAGGTAGTGCAAGCAGAGGAAGCGCAAGCAGACGAAGCACAAGCAGAGGAGCGCAAGCAGAGGAAGCGCAAGCAGAGGAAGCAAAAGCATAGGAAGCTCAAGCAAAGGAAGCACAAGCAGAGGAAGCACAAGCAGAGGAAGCACAAGGAGAGGAAGCTCAAGCAGAGGAAGCGCAAGAAGAGGAAGCACAAGCAGAGGAAGCGCAAGCAGACGAAGCACAAGCAGAGGAAGCACAAGCAGAGGAGCGCAAGCAAAGGAAGCGCAAGCAGAGGAAGCGCAAGCAGAGGAAGCGCAAGCAGAGGAAGCACAAGCAGAGGAAGCACAAGCAGAGGAAGCACAAGCAGAGGAAGCGCAAGCAGAGGAAGCGCAAGCAGAGGAAGCACAAGCAGAGGAAGCGCAAGCAGAAGAATCACAAGCAGAGGAAGCGCAAGCAGAGGAAGCGCAAGCAAAGGACGCGCAAGCAGAGGAAGCGCAAGCAGAGGAAGCGCAAGCAGAGGAAGCGCAAGCAGAGGAAGCACAAGCAGAGGAAGCGCAAGCAGAGGAAGCACAAGCAGGAAGCACAAGCAGAGGAAGCACAAGCAGAGGAAGCGCAAGCAGAGGAAGCGCAAGCAGAGGAAGCACAAGCAGAGGAAGTGCAAGCAGAGGTAGCACAAGCAGGAAGCACAAGCAGAGGAAGCACAAGCAGAGGAAGCTCAAGCAGAGGAAGCACAAGAAGAGGAAGCACAAGCAGAGGAAGCGCAAGCAGAGGAAGCACAAGCAAAGGAAGCGCAAGAAGAAGAAGCACAAGCAGAGGAAGCGCAAGCAGACGAAGCACAAGCAGAGGAAACACAAGCAGAGGAGCGCAAGCAAAGGAAGCGCAAGCAGAGGAAGCGCAAGCAGAGGAAGCGCAAGCAGAGGAAGCACAAGCAGAGGAAGCACAAGCAGAGGAAGCACAAGCAGAGGAAGCGCAAGCAGAGGAAGCGCAAGCAGAGGAAGTACAAGCAGAGGAAGCGCAAGCAGAAGAAGCACAAGCAGAGGAAGCACAAGCAGAGGAAGCGCAAGGAGAGGAAGCGCAAGCAAAGGAAGCGCAAGCAGAGAAAGCACAAGCAGAGGAAGCGCAAGCGGACGAAGCACAAGCCGAGGAAGCACAAGCAGAGGAGCGCAAGCTGAGGAAGCGCAAGCAGAGGAGGCGCATTGAGAGGAAGCACAAGTAGAGGAAGCACAAGCAGTGGAGCGCAAGCAGAGGAAGTGGAAGCAAAGGAAGCACAAGCGGAGGAAGCGCAAGCAGAGGAAGCACAAGCAAAGAAAGCGCAAGCAAAAGAAGCACAAGCAGAGGAAGCACAAGTAGAGGAGCGCAAGCAGAGGAAGCGTAAGCAGAGGAAGCGTAAGTAGAGGAAGCGTAAGCAGAGGAAGCGTAAGCAGAGGAAGCACAAGCAGAGGAAGCGTAAGTAGAGGAAGCGCAAGCACAGGAAGCGCAAGCAGAGGAAGCGCAAGCAGAGGAAGCGTAAGCAGAGGAAGCACAAGCAGAGGAAGCACAAGCAGAGGAGCGCAAGCAGAGGAAGCGCAAGCAGAGGAAGCAAAAGCAGAGGAAGCTCAAGCAAAGGAAGCACAAGCAAAGTAAGCACAAGCAGAGGAAGCGCAAGCAAGGGAAGCACAAGCAGAGGAAGCACAAGTAGAGGAAGCTCAAGCAGAGGAAGCACAAGAAGAGGAAGCACAAGCAGAGGAAGCGCAAGCAGAGGAAGCACAAGCAGAGGAAGTGCAAGCTGAGGAAGCGCAAGCAGAGGAAGCGCAAGCAGAGGAAGCACAAGCAGAGGAAGCGCAAGCAGAGGAAGCACAAGCAGATGATGCACAAGCAGAGCAGCGTAAGCAGAGGAAGCACAAGCAAAGGAAGCACAAGCAGAGGAAGCGCAAGAAGAGGAAGCACAAGCAGAGGAATCGAAAGCAGAGGAAGCACAAGCAGAGGAAGCACAGGCAGAGGAAGCACAAGCAGAGGAAGCACAAGCAGAGGAAGCACAAGCCGAGGAAGCGCAAGCAGAGGAAGCACAAGCAAAGGAAGCACAAGCAGAGGAGCTCAAGCAGAGGAAGCGCAAGCAGAGGAAGCAAAAGCAGAGGAAGCTCAAGCAAAGGAAGCTCAAGCAGAGGAAGCACAAGCAGAGGAAGCGCAAGCAAAGGAAGCACAAGCAGAGGAAGCACAAGCAGAGGAAGATCAAGCAGAGGAAGCACAAGAAGAGGAAGCACAAGCAGAGGAAGCGCAAGCGGAGGAAGCGCAAGCAGAGGAAGCGCAAGCACAGGATGCACAAGCAGAGGAAGCGCAAGCAGAGGAAGCACAAGCAAAGGATGCACAAGCAAAGCAGCGCAAGCAGAGGAAGCACAAGCAAAGGAAGCACAAGCAGAGAAAGCGCAAGCAGAGGAAGCACGAGCAGAGGAATCGCAAGTAGAGGAAGCACAAGCAGAGGAAGCACAGGCAGAGGAAGCACAAGCAGAGGAAACACAAGCAGAGGAAGTGCAAGCAGAGGAAGCACAAGCAGAGAAAGCACAAGCAGAGGAAGCGCAAGCAGAAGAAGCACAAGAAGAGGAAGCACAAGCACAGGAAGCACAATTAGAGGAAGCACAAGCAGAGGAAGCACAAGTAGAGGAAGCACAAGCAGAGAAAGAACAATTAGAGGAAGCACAAGCAGAGGAAGCGCAAGCCGAGGAAGCGTAAGGAGAGGAAGCACAAGCAGAGGAAGCGCAAGTAGAGGAAGCACAAGAAGAGGAAGCGCAAGCGGAGGAAGCACAAGTAGAGGAAGGGCAAGCAGAGGAAGCACAAGCAGAGGAAGCACAAGCAGAGAGCAAGCAGAGGAAGCGCAAGCAGAGGAAACGCAAGCACAGGAAGCACAAGAAGAGGAAGCGCAAGAAGAGGAAGCACAAGCAGAGGAAGAACAAGCAGAGGAAGCAAAAGCAGAGGAAGCACAAGTCGAGGAAGCACAAGAAGAGGAGCCCAATCAAAGGAAGCGCAAGCAGAGGAAGCGCAAGCAGAGGAAGCGCAAGGAGAGGAAGCGCAAGCAAAGGAAGCACAAGCAGAGGAAGCACAAGTAGCGGAAGCACAACTAGAGTAAGCGCAAGCAAAGGAAGCACAAGCAAAGGAAGCAAAAGCAGAGGAGCGCAAGCAGAGGCAGCGCAAGCAGAGGAAGTGCAAGCAGAGGAAGCACAAGCAGAGGAAGCACAAGCACAGGAAGCGCAAGCAGAGGAAGCACAAGCAGAGGAAGCGCAAGCAGAAGAAGCACAAGCAGAGGAAGCACAAGCAGAGGAGCGCAATCAGAGGAAGTGCAAGCATAGGAAGTGCAAGGAGAGGAAGCGCAAGCAGAGGAAGCACAAGTAGAGGAAGCACAAGTAGAGAAAGCACAAGCAGAGGAAGCGCAAGCAAAGGAAGCACAAGCAGAAGAAGCACAAGAAGAGGAAGCACAAGAAGAGGAAGAGCAAGCAGACGAAGCAAAAGCAAGGAAGTACAAGCAGAGGAGTGCAAGCAGAGGAAGCGCAAGGAGAGGAAGCACAAGCAGAGGAAGCACAAGCAGAGGAGCGCAAGTAGAGGAAGTGCAAGCAGAGGAAGCACAAGCAGAGGAAGCGCAAGCAGAGGAATCACAAGCAAAGGAAGCGCAAGCAGAGGAAGCACAAGAAGAGGAAGCACAAGCAGAGGAGCGCAAGCAGAGGAAGGGTAAGCAGACGAAGCGCAAGCAGAGGAAGCGCAAGCAGAGGAAGGGTAAGCAGAGGAAGCGCAAGCAGAGGAAGCGCAAGCAGAGGAAGCACAAGCAGAGGAAGCAGAAGCAGAGGAGCACAAGAAGAGGAAGCGCAAGCAGAGGAAGCAAAAGCAGAGGAAGCTTAAGCAAAGGAAGCACAAGCAGACGAAGCACAAGCAGAGGAAGCGCAAGCAGAGGAAGCACAAGCAGAGGAAGCACAAGCAGAGGAGCGCAAGCAGAGGAAGCGTAAGCACAGGAAGCGCAAGGAGAGGAAGCACAAGCAAAGGAAGCACAAGAAGAGGAAGCACAAGAAGAGGAAGAGCAAGCAGACGAAGCACAAGCAAAGGAAGTACAAGTAGAGGAGTGCAAGCAGAGGAAGCGCAAGCAGAGGAAGCGCAAGGAGAGGAAGCACAAGCAGAGGAAGCACAAGCAGAGGAAGCACAAGCAGACGAAGCACAAGCAGAGGAAGCACAAGCAGAGGAAACACAAGCAGAGGAGCGCAAGCAGAGGAAGCGTAAGCACAGGAAGCGCAAGGAGAGGAATCGCAAGGAGAGGAAGCGCAAGTAGAGGAAGCACAAGCAGAGGAAGCACAAGTAGTGGAAGCACAACAAGAGTAAGCGCAAGCAGAGGAAGCACAAGCAGAGGAAGCAAAAGCAGAGGAGCGCAAGCAGAGGAAGCGCAAGCAGAGGAAGTGCAAGCAGAGGAAGCACAAGCAGAGGAAGCACAAGCACAGGAAGCGCAAGCAGAAGAAGCACAAGCAGTGGAAGCACAAGCAGAGGAGCCCAAGCAGAGGAAGCAGAAGCATAGGAAGTGCAAGCAGAGGAAGCACAAGCAGAGGAAACGCAAGCAGAGGAAGCACAAGCAGAGGAAGAACAAGCAGAGGAAGCACAAGCAGAGGAGCGCAAGCAGAGGAAGCGTAAGCACAGGAAGCGCAAGGAGAGGAAGCGCAAGCAGAGGAAGCGCAAGTATAAGAAGCACAAGCAGAGGAAGCACAAGTAGCGGAAGCACAACTAGAGTAAGCGCAAGCAGAGGAAGCACAAGCAGAGGAAGCAAAAGCAGAGGAGCGCAAGCAGAGGAGCGCAAGCAGAGGAAGCGCAAGCAGAGGAAGTGCAAGCAGAGGAAGCACAAGCAGAGGAAGCACAAGCAGAGGAAGCGCAAGCAGAGGAAGCACAAGCAGTGGAAGCACAAGCAGAGGAGCCCAAGCAGAGGAAGCAGAAGCATAGGAAGTGCAAGCAGAGGAAGCACAAGCAGAGGAAGCGCAAGCAGAGGAAGCATAAGCAGAGGAGCGCAAGCAGAGGAAGTGCAAGCACAGGAAGCGCAAGGAGAGGAAGCGCAAGCAGAGGAGCGGAGGCAGAGGAAGTGCAAGCAGAGGAAGCACAAGCGGAGGAAGCGCAAGCACAGGAATCACAAGCCAAGGAAGCGCAAGCAGAGGAAGCACAAGCAGAGGAAGCACAAGCAGAGGAGCGCAAGCAGAGGAAGTGTTAGCAGAGGAAGCGCAAGCAGAGGAAGCGCAAGTAGAGGAAGCGTAAGAAGAGGAAGCGCAAGCAGAGGAAGCGCAAGCAGAGGAAGCACAAGCAGAGGAAGCACAAGCAGAGGAGCGCAAGCAGAGGAAGCGCAAGCAGAGGAAGCAAAAGCAGAGGAAGCTCAAGCAAAGGAAGCACAAGCAGACGAAGCACAAGCAGAGGAAGCGCAAGCAGAGGAGGCACAAGCAAAGGAAGCACAAGCAAAGGAAGCTCAAGCAGAGAAAGCACAAGAAGAGGAAGCACAAGCAGAGGAAGCGCAAGCAGAGGAAGCACAAGCAAAGGAAGCGCAAGAAGAGGAAGCACAAGCAGAAAAAGCGCAAGCAGACGAAGCACAAGCAGAGGAAGCACAAGCAGAGGAGCGCAAGCAGAGGAAGCGCAAGGAGAGGAAGCACAAGCAGAGGAAGCACAAGCCTAGGAGCGCAAGCAGTTGAAGTGCAAGCAAAGGAAGCACAAGCAGAGGAAGCGCAAGCAGA